GAATTTACAGCTGAAACACGGGTTGTGACATTCCTCTGCCAGCTGGAGGTCTGCCTGTAAATCTGGCACCTTTACCTGAGGAGCCTCCCCCAAAGCACACGGAAACCGCTAGAACCTTCTATGGAAAGCCTCAGGTGTGGGTTCACGCTTTCGGCGCGAGCTCAGGACTCAAGATGATCTATTTAGGACGATAGCAGGAAGGCAGAGTTGATATATTTTCATGATTTATGGTACGCCTCATCAGCTTGATTTATTTTCACCAAAAGAAAATGAGATAATGAGTTTATACTTACTGATTCAAAGGGAAATCAGAGTGCGTGTTTTTGTTTAAGATTATGCTTATCTGACCCTTGACAGCTTCACACATTGTTGATGCCAGCTATTTAAAAACGGGTGTTGGTCTGCCACTAGCAACTCCCTGGTAAAGATAGTTGAGCGTTTAGCAGCTAAAGTACCAATTGATTCCATTGGGATTTGGTGGTGACCAAAATAGAGCAAAAAACGACAGAGCAAATGAACATTTGTGTCTTGAAATACAACCTCCAGATAAGTAGCAAATACTTTGTCTGTGCTTGATGTGTGAACAAGCAAGCGTTTGCTCGCCAACGACAGCAACACGTTTTTTAGGTGACACGATGTTGTAACGCTCTCTAGTGGTCAACATTGCAGTTAATGGAGGTTTGAAGTAATCATTGAGAAAAAGATGATTGGCTCACTTCCTTCTCGATATCTAAATTGTGTTAAAGTGATATCATACATTGTGACAAGATTATGAAATACAAAATCACGTCTGTTAAAACAGCGCGCTCAAGGCTGGACTACCAAGTACTTTGCTCGTAAAACTGAACATTTTGCCAGAGAAAACTGCACAAGTTGTACATGAAAACCAAACGCGCTCCCACGCAAAAAACACACGAGAAACGCTTCTATCTACGCAGCCAAAGTAGTTCCTGACCAGGTAGAATCCGGGTCACGGCCTCGCCCATGTGCTCATTTACTGTAACCGTAGACCTCCCGAGGCTCGCTAGGTCTATGTCTCAATGATCCCACGTATGAAAGGGAGGATTACACCGGGCAGGTGTTGCGGGAATGGGGACACACGGGTTCTTTTAGGTTCAATCCTCTGTGGAATTCATCATCTTCACATAGATTTTCAGATTAAAACTTCTGAGAGGTCCACTCGACGGTTCCGCCCCGGAGCACGAAGGGGGGTGAGCAAGAACGCCACTTATAATTGTCAAACGGGCTGGTGGCTCCACGAGGTCACAGGGTAGAGAGGAGATGGAGAGGGGGAGGGAGAAGCCCAGAGTTGGGCATGAACTGCCGCCAGAGGACGTGAGCCATGACTGGGTCTGAGTCATGAGGCCTTCTGATGCCAATCGAACCCGGGAACCTCATGTGTCATTACAGTGCTCTGGGAATGTGTTGATGTAGCTGCTGAGAGAAACCTTATAAGTTGAAACTCAGAGAGGTGTACAGTTTATGGTTCTTCTATTTGCACCAAAAGACTGTCACTCTGTCCATGGCTTAAGACCGCCTACGTCTCCGCAGAACGAGAACACAGACAAGGGAGGAATTATCTGAGGGGTGTTCTGAGGCGCTTTGAGCTGACGCTATCGTCATCGTTGCAGTTAACAGTTTTAAGGACACTTGATTCCAAATTGCAAACATCCACCTTGTGGTGGAGCTGAAGGAAAAGTGGGAGGATCCCCATAATCATTACAACACATCTGCTAACAACCAAAGGTGTATGTGCCAATCCCGCTTGCATATTTATGCCTGATTTAGACATTGGACAACACGGAGTTGTGTCGGGCCGAACTTCTGGAACCATAGAATCACACGCATCAAAGAAATCAAAGACTGCCTGTTAAAGTGTTTAACTATTCCGAATGCCCACACCAGCGTTAGGTTGAACCGCTCACCAGATGACCGGGCATCTGCTTAGATTTACGTCCTCTCCCTATTACCTCACAGAAAACAGCCAATTCACAGACTACAAAGACAAAGTGGAGGACCTAACCCTCGGGGCTGGTTGAACCCACTGAACCCTTTAACGTTCAAGCAGAAGTGCTTCAAGGCAGAATAGGATGGGGAGGGGGGGGGTGGATGTAGTTTTGTTTGCTGTGATGACTGCGAGACAGAGAAAAAAAAGACAGCAGGAGACCCGACGGTGTCAAAACACATTATTATAGACCCTGCGTGGAAAACAGCGACTGGACCAGACCTCACAGAGAGAAAACGAGTGAGTGAGCACATGCAAGATGAAAGGAGTCAAGGACACGAGAAAAGAGAGCATTGATTGAGAAAAATAAAACAAAACATTGAATGACATATTGGTGAGTCTTTTTGTAAAGTAGACCTGCGCATCAGCCCCGATCGACTGCATGATGAGCTGCTCTTTTTGTTGGACTCCTCACAATGTTTCCGAGCCCCTCCTATACCAAGTTCCAAACAAATGAAGTGAGAGTAGGTCCCCCTGGATGGCAATAATGGAGGAGAGCTGTAGTCATCTCTGTCTATCATTACCTCTGTACAACCATCTGTTTCAACACAAAGACCATTGTGCTGCTAGTCATTGTGGCTGAGATTCTGAAAGGTTTTCGTTTGTTCCCAATTCTTTCTCATGCATTTAATGTATGTGGCTGCTATAAAAAAATGAAAAAAACATGACCAACTGCTCTGGGTTTCTATTTGTCCTATAATGCACCATATGTCCCAGTTTGGTGGACGCCTGAATGGCTCTGAAACTCTTTCAACTGTCAGTGTGCATCGCCATTATACCCCTACGCCCTCATTCCTCACCCCCACCGACACCCTTTGGTCTGGATCTGCAAAGCGTGGTCGCTACCAGCACCATGTGCTCACAGATAAGCCAAAGCAAGGGCGATAACCGGCACTGTGCACTGATCCTCGGAGGGGGGCCCCCGGGGGCTCGTAATCAGGTGGGCCGCACGCTGTCCTCTCGACGCGCACTCAGCACTCCGCATCGCACTCCGAGTTTGGGCCCCCCGTGCCACCCTTAGCCTCGTATCGCTCCCGGCGGTGAGCTCACCTCCAAACCATCATTCACACCCATCCACATCCCAGAAACACGTCCTCGCCAGCAGCCCGACGCCTCCGCAGCGGGTGGTTGTAAATCAGCTGCCTGGGGAGGAGTGGGTAGACTAGAGGCAACAGGGGTAGAAGGCAGAAGGTGGGTTTGGGTCATATGGAAGAGATCTCCCTCTCCGTGACCCCTGCGTCTTATGGAGCGAGGGGATGAGGTGCACACATAAACTACTGCTGTAGCAGATTGTGCTCTGGCTTTTATGACATTCAGTAAATACGATTAGCTTATTTAAGACTTCGGCAAATTTACCGCCGTGATCGACGCCCAACTGAATTATGAAGTTGTCTTTCAAATGCCAAATTGATGCAACATTTGCCTCAGGCTGCTCAGACCGGGTCTAGTGAGGCCGTATCTCGTTTGATCCCAGTTATTGTTTTGTTGAGGGCTTCCCCTGGTGTCCGACTGAGAGAAAAAAGTCCCCTTTATGATCCCCCAGTGTTTGCATATCTAATTACTAGGATAGATAGATAAAACCACAATGTCCCTGGGGTGACCTTTGAATTGGCAAAAACAGAGTTCTGGTCTGGTGATAGCAGCACGCAGGGCCTCTGTGAGTAGCCAGCTGGCCCCCGTTTAAAAGCCCATTGCCCAGGCAAATAGGTCAGTGCCGCTGGGCCACAATCTCTGCAAGTGACTGGAAACCAAAGCCTTCCAAGGTCCCGGTCTGAACCGCCGTCAACCAACGGGCGTTCCGGCCGGCGGTCAGCAGGTCGGGCCGGTTGACAAGAGCTTCAAGGAGGGGATGGAGCGAGGGAGGGCGGAGGGAGAGCTGGAGGACAAGAGCCGAGTTGTGTTGCAAGTGCTGATTATGCGTGCTGCGGGGCTTGATTCCTGGACGTTGTGTTTGTGTTGGAGCGGCTGGATCCAGGCAGATGTTGCTAATGAAGGAGGTGCTGTTCTGTGTTGTGGGGGAAATAATCCCAGACAACATCTGATTGGTGTTTTCAGGAGTTTGTAAAATCTCTGATATTGGACCGTCATTAACTTTTGATGCATACTATTGTGTAACTTACTTACCGGTAATTCTTCTAAGATGCGGAGAGCCGGGAGCCGACTTTGTGCAAAGCCGACCCAAGTGTTGCCGTCGCACATGACTGGTTCTGAAGAGAATATGATCTGTCATTGTGGGGGAAGAACTGTCGGCTTTGCTCTTGCTCACTTGTGCAGCAGAAAAGGGGGACAAACCTTGTTTTTTTAGGGAGGGTGGGTGGGAGGTTGAGAGGGGTGGGGGGGCTTCTCTTGGTCTTCGGTGTGTGTGGCACACAATCAGCCCCCAGCTGTGCCCACCGTCCACACACACACACACATAAGCACACAAACACCGCTTCAACAAACAAGAAATGACCTTTTGACTTTTGAAGAAACGGCCACCCACGTACACAATTTGACACCTGCAAACACAAGTGAGCACGGATTCATCCACACAAAAGGTAAGTCTGGGGAAATAAATGTTTGATGGTCTTTGACAGTTAATGGCTGCATTGTCCAACAGAGCCTTGCTGTAAATGAGGGAAGGAGTGTTCAGACTGTATATTGTATTCTAATTCATCATCATTAATCATAGTCCAATCTCGTATGTACACACTCATAATGGTGTAGTGTCATAAAGAGAGTACTGCAGATTGAGTAAAATATGCTTTTCTTATGCCAACATTCTGCTTTATTATGTTTCAAGTATTTCATATCTGTTTTCAAACCAGCAAAGGAAGCTGAACTGCAGTGACTTACAGAACACGTAACTAAGCAATAAGCAACTCCGAGTTGCGTCATTGCGCAACACGGAGACAGCTGCCGAGCGGGGACACATCAGTTCCAATCCGCCCCCCTTTGGCTCCTTGTGATTGGTCGGGGAATGTGTCAGTCAATGGGAAGGGGGGGGGTGCGTCGCTAATTTCCATATGCCTGTGAAACAATTCAGAAGTCACATTGCGCTCTCGTGCGTCGCTGTCAGCCGCATCCAGCCTCAGTGGACGTCACCAGCCTCGGTCTTTGGATTGGTTACTCAGATGAGACGCTCGGACGTGCGTCTACCTGCCCTACCTGAACCTTTAGACATCCGCACACACAACGTCTGGTGGCATTTTGGCGTCTGGAGCGAGCTGCGGTGCGTTAAAATCAGCGCGCCACGGAAACTTCGAGGAAGTCTTTCAACTGTTGGTGTGCGCATCGCGGCGAGTCCATGTGGCTCCTCGTCTGACACAAGCGGACTACTTCGTCGGGGGGAAACTCAACGGAAAGCTTTTCTTTTTTCCCCTTTTTCCTCAAAAAACAACAAACATGTTCAGCAAGTGCTCCGTTGTCTTATTGAATGCCCTTTTTCTGGTGCGTGCGCTCTCGGCTCACGAGTGCACGCCGTGTAGTCTCCGCGCTTGCGTTGCCAAAGCGCCGCACGGCTGCGAGGGCGGCCGGACGCTGGCCAGGGATCCCTGCGGATGCTGTGACCAGTGTGCCCGGCTGGAGTGGGAGCCGTGCGGCGGACAGGACTGGGCGCACGGCTACTGCGCCCTGGGGCTGACCTGCGCGTCCGTTAACGGAACCGGAGCGGCCGCGATCCCTGAAACTGGAGTGTGTAAAGGTGGGTGGTGCCTTTTTTTTTCTGAATGAAATCGTGTAACTGGGAGCAGTGTTGAAATACTTAAGTGTGCTGCTAAATGGAATAAATGAATGAATTCGGTGAGCAACCGCCCCCCGGGGATCACTATTGAAGTGTCACTTAAGCCCTGACTGCAGTGACTGTGTCGGTGTGCGCCGTTTTCTGTTGCCCCCTTTTGGAGCAGCTCCCCAGGACCCGGGGGTGCTCTTGGCAGCCAGGAGAGGAGTCATGTTCAACCGCTCCTTCTTCTCCTCACAGCCTTGAGAAAAGTGTCTGGAAGCAGTGATTTGGCATCAGGTTCAGCTTTAGTAGCCTCGTTTCTCTTTTTGCTTTATGACCCAAAGAGGCACTCAAGAGCCTGGGATGATTTAAACATGGGCACTGTTTAATAATAAGCTGCATGTAATAATTACCACCTGCACCATTGCAAAGGTCTCCTGCAGATTTACAATCTGGTTAATCCTCAGTGTTATACAGATCGGTTCGGGCCAAGACAAACTCACGATATGGCACATCTGGCACACCTTCTGAACATCCTAGTCCTAGTAGGGTGTCAGGTTCATAACATAAGTAGCACCTCTCCTGAGGAACAAACAACCAACCCACCCAGCGGCTCCTCCACCTGCACTTTGTCCAGCCGGGTTTCTGAATGATCGAATTGGACTGCGGACCCTGTATGTGTCTGGATGGCCTGACCCTGCCCTCTCACCATCCCTCTGTGGGGGTGGTCCAAGTCAGGGCTCCGGGAAGGGTCTGAAGCCCCAGGCCGTCCCAGGAGACGCCGCCGCCGCCGCTGCTGCTGATTGGGCCCGCAGGTCGGGCTGGCGCCTGGAGGACCGCTACCTCGGCAAAAAGAGCGACTTTGGGAGCGAGTGGCAGACTTAATGGCTCCTCCTGATTGAGCGGTGCCTCTTCTGGTCCTCTGGCTTCAGGGGTCTCAGAGCACGCCGCTGACCCCTAAATCAGACACACACGCGAAAACACACAATCTCAATATCCTAGCAAGTCCACAGGTGGGGGTAAATCAACACCTCCCGCTGTGTTTCAAGGGGCCACAGTAGGCAGGCTGCTGGAGGCTGATCCCAGATTTCCCTCTTCAAGCTCCAAGGGTCTTAAAGTGATTAGGCTCGCAATCAGGAGTAAGGGGTAAATGTTTCCGCTTTCTGATCCCCTGCTTTTCTCCTCCATAGTTTTGATATTCTGGGTGGTCGCAATTTGTTAGTGTTTTGTTGTTCGACGCAGCAACCTGTTATAAGTGACATATTCCATATCCGGAATATACCCTGGCAATGCACCAGCCCCAGTCATCATGAAAAATGTGTTCTTCAGACTTGGAAGTGTAATATAAATATACACGGGTATCTAAAAATGAAGTGGAAATGAGCTGGAGATAAAGTGTGCACTGTGTTTAAAGTGTTTAAATCCGGGCTGCCAGTTATTTAGGGACCAAAATCAATCTTAAACCGGTTCTAGTTTTCCATAAATACTAACTGCGATATTGAAATCAGTTGTTCTCATAACGGAACCAAATGTTGCGGCTTCACGTTGTGTGTTGAGTGTGTCAGGCGTCTTGTGAGTACACAACCACCTGCTCTAGGGGGAAAAGTCACCGGGGGCCCGTCACCTTCTCATGTTTGCTTCAGCGATCAGCCTGCGAGGGGACATGGTTCAGTCTTTGTAGCTAGATATCTCGTTTTGATGCTGTCATTGTCCTCGCTGGTTTCCACCAGCTCCAGAAGCACTTAACATACCACGTAACAGAACGTCTATCTTACATGGACGCAATGCCCACTCGCATACCTTCTATTTCTCCCTTCCTTTGTTATTATCTAATGTTTCAAAGACTTCCTTTTTAGCTCACTATCAGCCAGAGGGCCTCTAGAGGTCAGCTTTCTCATCCTGGTTGCCAAGACAAGTAGTCTCAGTGGCTGAGAGAGGAATCCCTCTGGGATGAAGCCACGGACCTTGGTTTCAGCCGTGCCCAGCCAGATAATGGATAGAAGTGCCAGACCACACCAGGGTCAGGCCAAAGGCGGTTCTGGGCTGAGGTAGACCGGTTCACGACAAGCTGGGCCGACAAGGGGTCAAGCAAGAAGCGAGTTAATGGGACAATGCCTTCAGTGTTCAGCCTTTCATTCATTGTTTTGACTTCTACGTCATTTTCTGCACGCCAGATTTAGCACTCTACAGACAGGCAATCCTGCCGCCACCACCTCAAATGAGAATTCCCTCCCAGGCGCAGGAAAGCCCCGGGATGGAAACCTTGTGGAGGTGAGGATCATTTTAAGGTGAAAGGAAATCGCAGTTTTGGTCAAAGTAGGCCGCTTGTGTTTTTCCCGTCCCGATGGCCGTCTGTTAGAGCTGTTAACAGCAAGGACCAGCTAAAGGTCGTCTCACCTTCATTTTAGTGCTTGTGAGCGTCGCACACTACCAACCTCAACGCGGGGGAAAGAGTTTTCTTTCTTCTACAGATATATTGAATTACCTACCTATATTAAACATCTATTTTAGTTAATATAATATATAATACCTTTTTTATATTGAATTGAATTGAAAAGACATCACTTTGAGTCCTCGTATTATTCTTGCTCCGAGACCGATTTTTATTTTAAGAGGCCTTATTTTCAGGTAGGATTACTACAACATTCCGATAAACACACCATGAGGCGGGAGTGTTTGTATTGTATAGTTAGACCTATTCACCGGACCGTTTCCTCTGGTGGCTGTGTGTAGAAAAGAAAGCCAGACTATTATGATAAGCTCCGATCGAGCTTCCACCCTGTTGACTGAGGCCTGGGAGCTAAATGCCTGGCGGGGGGGGTTACTCTAGGTTACAGTTTGTCTCATCCTGTTTACTCTGCTGCCACTCTGCTGGCGAGATTGGACAACTGTGAAGGAGTGTAATTTGGAAGTACAAATATACGTTTATTCATGCGCGCATGGGAAAGTATTTCAAGACACATTAATCTAACATTCCTTCTCAGGGGTGAAGTTTGGTCCAAGTTGGGCAAAGCCCAAAAGGTGCCATCTCGCTAGCTGAAGGAACAATGAGTTGCGCAAGTGGCGACGGTACAGAAGAGGCCTTCCAGCGGCCTACGGAGGCGGAAACCCTGGGAGGGCCCCTTGCTTTGGAACAAAAGCTAACGAATGGAATCAATGGCTGAAGTAGCGGGGCACGATGAGGGAGGGGAGGATGGATGGCAGCCCAGAAAATACACTACTCACCTCAACGGTTGTGGTGGTGGTGGTGCCAGGGCAATGTGTTGCAACCGGAGCTGGATGCTGGCTAACCGCTAATCGGCTCTTGGCACACGTTAGCTTGCGTTGCGCTTTATCTGTTTCTTTATTCCCGGTTCAAACGGGGGGGCGGAGGGCGGAACAGTCCACGTGAGAGGTTCATTATCCCCCCCCTGTACACCCTAATGTCCTCTGTTCCCCGCCCTCGCAGCGCTCCCCTCGCATCCAGAGGCCGGCCTGGAGGACGAGCGCTGTCCCCTGATGACGGGCTGCGACAGAGCCGCGGGCCAGTGCGTGTGCGATGCCCGTCACTCCTGCCTGGCCTCTTTCCCCTACGCGGACCAGGAGAGCTGCATGAAGGCCGGCAAGTCAGGTGAGCCGCACTTCTCTCTCTCTCTCACTCACACACGTATGTTCAAACACACACACACATGCGCACGGAGTCAGAGGGGATAATGCTGTCCATTGAGAAGAGCTAATCCATAACAGATGTGGCTGTGACTAATGCTACTTGCATGTCATAGCGATGACACAGGCTTTATGTAGAGGTCCCTCACTCTCCCTTGAGCGGTGCCATTGTGACTCATTGATGACTGGCGTTTGCGTGTGCGTGTGTGTGTGTGTGTGTGTGTTTGTGTCCACGGCGGTGTTTCAGAGGGTCGGAGGCACGAGCACCGGGAGAGACACCGAGAGAAGTATGTGGGTCCATCCAACCCGGCCTGCACGTTCTCTGGGTGTAACCTGACCAGGGACGGCTGTGTGTGCGAGTCCCAGAGCTGCCACCGCCACTTCGCCTACACCAACCGCAGCCAGTGCCAGGACGCCGCAGGTAACCGTCACATGACCCGCCACAGGAGCGCGACGGACCACGCGCACGGCCGGTAGCTTTCCTTCAGGGTCGAAATGTGCGGCTTTCTACCAGAGTATGAAGTGCTCTGCAACTGCAAAGTGACTCTTCAATGGGATTTTTATCAGTCATATCCATTTCAAGTACAAACATTTATATGAAGAAAGCTACAGCTTTGCACACTTTGCGTGGAACACAGAATATATACAGTATGTTTGACATGAAGCATATAGCCGGCAACCAATGGAAACTTTCAACGTGGTTACCTTTTAAATATTAACCCATGGGTCGCGCAGTGGGAAAAGTAAAGGCAGAGGAGGTTGAGGGAAAGTAAGTGAGACGGAAAGATGGAAGGTGTGAATCTGACTGACCGAGTAGAAAAAGGAAGGAAAAGTCTCTGAAAGCTCCAGAGAGTGTCGGATGGATGCCTGAGAAGAAAAGAACATCCCTTGAATGATGTGTGAGGATACAACAATGTGTGTTCTCCCCCTCTTATTAGCACCCCGCGCGATGGACACTACCGAGGGAAAAATGTTGGCACAGAGCGTTTAGTTTCCTCCTTTGGGCTGCGAGGCGTCTGGTGGAGAGACACAGGCGCAAAGTGGCGGCTGCCTCCTGAGTGACAGGACTTCCACGGAGGGAACTCGCTGAACCTCTGCGTAATGTTGGGTCAACCTCGTCCTAATGAACAAGCAGGAGACTGAAAAAAATGTCCCCCGCTGTAGTGAACTGAGTGACTGATTAAGTCCAAAGCCTGCGAGTGAGTGTTTTCTTTATCTTCCCGCTGGATTCTCCCTTCAAAACCTGCCGGCATTTCAGACCGAGGACGAGACAAAACGCCGTCTGGTGACCTGCCCTGGAAACATATTTGAGATTATTTAGTCTGCGAATACCCCAGCGGGGTGGGGGGGGGGGGGGATGTTCTCCATCGATGTACGCCGGCGTCTTCGTCGAACGCAACGTAATTACAGTCTGTTGTCATCGCGAAAGAAATACCGCTAGTTCCCCGTTTCGTAACAGCTTATGAGTTCTCACTGCAACACCCCCCGCCCTTTTGATGGCCCCTCATTAAGTAAGAGACCAGGATGTGTGTGTGTCTGTTATGTCTGCGCCTATGCACGCGCACGGGGACCGATGCGCGCCGTCACACACGACCCACGTGTGCGTTTGCGCCGTCTGTGTGAGATAATTATCTTAGTTTGTCTACAATGTTCCCGGCAGAGACCTCCCCTCCCCCCCCCCCGTATCCGTCACCAGCGGGAGCGTCCTCGCCGACGGGACCGGGACTCTGTGGTCAGGATCTTTTCCCTCAAGGCGCAGGCGGTCGTTTAAGGCTCACCGGGACGCGGAGGCTCCGCTCGCCTGCACAACACACGGCGCTCTGTTCCCCTCAACGCCCGTCGGGAACATCTCCTCTCTAAGTTCACCCCTCCCCTGTGACACACTGTGATCTGCTGAAGCTCAACGTCTCGCTCCGCTCCGCCGCACCGTAGGTGTCCAATCTCCCCGTGTGTGCGCTGGTGTTGTCCCAGCGGGATCCTGTTCTCTCCGCTGGTATTCGAGATGCAATTTGGCTGCAGACGTTCAATCGGAAGCAACACGACGTAATGGCCACATGTCAGGGAAAGAGGATGTGATAAGTATGAGAGGAAGGGGGGGTGGGAGGCAGACGCAGGAAGATAGGAAATCACAAGTGAAGCAGACCGTTTTGTTGAGGTATTTGTGTCGAGCACAGGCTCCAGGGGCTTAGTAGGGTGGTGTCTGGTAGTTTTTTTTTTTTTTTTTACATATTTCATTTATGATAACGGTCCTAACTGCTATTTTAGAGGAATTCCATTTGCCAACGGAAAAAAAAGCTGTGGCATTTTGGACGCGTTTCAGTCACCGTTGAAAATCCAAGCGACTTCAGAACGATGGCGGTGATGGAACAGAGCAAACTGCGTTCACAACCGGACAGCGAAGCGGTGCTCACTATGATTGCATGGCACCCACAAATCCTTCCACCTTTTTGCCCCCCCCCGCCCGTTTCCCCCGTCCTGCCCCTCTCTCCGCCCCGGTGAACGGACTGTTAGTTCTGCTTGGCTGCCGCCTCTTTGTGGCGGAGCTATTACTGGCCGAGCCAGACCGCCGCCGCCGGGCTGGCAGGGGCGCGAGACGTCTCAGCGCTGTGTGTTAGTGTGCCGTCCGCGGAAGCAGTGGCCCCCTTGTTGTACCCTGTCAGCTGCTCGTTTCCCAGTGTGTCATCTGTGTGTGTGCGTGTGTGCGTGTGTGCGTGTGTGCGTGTGTGTGTGTGTGTGTGTGTGTGTGTGTGTGTGCGTGTGTGTGTGTGTGTGGGTAGTGATTTCAGAGAGGGGACAAAAGTCCTGTGCAGCCAACGAGACAAAGAACTTCCCCTTAATGGCATGTTGGGATTGCTGTCTGCCCGCTCGCTGCTCGCGGTTTGTGGTTCAACCAAACCAGCCATAATCAGACCGGTGGTATAAGCCACAGACACACACACACACACACACACACACACAACCTCGCAGACCATTCCTCTGCGCCTAACCTTAACCCTCACTCCATTCACTAAATCCTGACCTAAAACCCCAGATCCATTCCAACTGCAGCCTAAGTCAACTCCTTTAGCTCCCAGGACGATTTCATCCATCATCCGCCGTTCTTTCCCCCCCCCCCCGAATGGGAACAAATCCACACAGCCCAATCCGCCCACGGCAACACTGCCTCTGACGCAATTTCACACACCAGGTGTTCTATGCGTTTGCTACGTATTTGCTGAGATATGAATGGAGCTATAGTGTGGCCTGAGTGACAGTATGTGTGACATTTATTGGAGCATGGCTCCCCCGTGGTGGCTGGACCACGGGCCCTCTATGAGGTTGCATGGGAAGCCCCCCGCCCCCCCCCCTCCCCGAATTAAGAATTCCTTCCTGATGTAACCATTAACCATGGCCCGCGTTCACCACTTGCCCCCCACCTATTGGACACACTGTGTGAGGGAAAAGGTGTGTGTTCATAGGAATGCGCACTGTTGCGCTCCCACACACACACGAAGACTCGATGAGCCAAAGGGCCCCTACATGTGGACCTGTACTTATTACACTCACCAAAAATGCTTCCTCTTCACCGACAAGGACGTTACATAAGAGCTGAAAAACACGTTTTCTTGTTGGCAATAATTTATCACAAAGGGCGGACGTGCAGGCACAAAACAGGCCTTGCGGCAGTAGCGCGCCTCCAGCCTCCAGCGTCTGAACATGGTGCAAAGTCCCCGCAAAAATGATTTTTGGTTCCGGTGACCCAGTTGGTGCCTTTCGGGCCCCCGGACCTCCTCCCATACCTGATGCACACCGTGGTCCCGGGCTGCAGGTTTGCGTGACGGACGGCCCTGATGCGTCCCGTTCGCGGAGAAACTTTTTACAAAACTTGAGGACACACCAGAAAACCCACGGAGGGTGGCCGGACTGAGACAGCTTTGTTCTCCGCTGACTTGCTTCCAAAGTCAGTCAGTGAACAGAACTCACATTGTGCGCATTTTCCATGAGTAAACTGGGCCTGTCAACACAGCCTCTTCTGCAGGGCCGAGCCGCTCTGGTTTAAGCAAAGACTGCCCCCCTTGTACGTGGGCTCGAAGAGAAGAAAACCCCCTTTAGATAGGAGGTGTTTTTCTTTATTCAATCAATGGAGGTGCCAGAAATATGCATTGGTAACAAAAGGGGCCGTTCTGTGGTAATTAAGAGATTTCCGCATCCCACCTCATGGAGACCTGTGTGTGTGTGTGTGTGTGTGTGTGTGTGTGTGTGTGTGTGTGTGTGTGTGTGTGTGTGTGTGTGTGTGTGTGTGTGTGAGACTGTTCCTTTTGAGGTCAAAGGTTTTCCATTCTCTGCTATACTACAGTTATTAGGCAATATGTGCTTTTCAATCTGCAGGGAGAACTTCTCAAACACACCACATCAGGCCTTGTGTGTTTGTGCAAGCTGGAGTACGTCCACCATTGTGACACAAGAATGGTTCTGTGGTCGCTGACTCTCTCTAATTACAACCATTTATGCTCGGAGATAGAACACAAACAGCACAGAATAAAAATCCATTTGCTGCTGACTTTTCCCGTCCTCGCTGCCGCCTATTGTGCCTTTTCGAATATGCCAGCTAGAAAATTATATTAATTGGACCTGCAAGGGCTGGACTATTTCCACGGATGGATACAATTCTATTCATTTAAATGACAATGGTGTGTCTGCCAGCTGCTTTTCCCAGCGCACTCTAACCCCCGTCATTATCACAACTGAAGGAGTAATCAGCCTTCTGTGGGAAACATACAATACACAGAAAGTGTCTGTCAGAGCAGAACGTTGTAAAAGATCGTCTCGGGGCATTTTCCTTGGCTTAAAGCAGTGTGAGGTTTTCATATGCAAAACCAGTCTTCAACGGAGCACTGGAAGACTTTGTTTTAATGTGAAACATTCGCCAATCAGAGCTTCCAGATGAAGTTTATTTAACTCCAGCTTGGTAATTGGGCCTAAACCAGTTAAACGTGTTGTAGCCTCCCTTAATTCAGGGGTTTTCCCTTCATTTTCTATGAGGCTATTCAGCCTCAAAGTCTATCAATGAGAGCTTTGTGGCGGCGCTCACTGTTCCCAGGTTGCTTGAGTAAACAGTACAGTACAGATACCTCACACTCCGGCTCTATTTATCTGAAGCCAGAAAAATTCAACGTTTCCCCCTATCCTCAATTTCATCTGACAGAAATGTTACCCCCACCCACCAAAACACAGCGGTCAGTCATACAGCTCCTCTCATCCGTGTTTATTCTGGGTCAGGTAGGCATCAACGGTCACCCAAAATCTCAGCAGAGCATCATGTCTTAAAAAGAGCTGGAATGGTTGACTAAATACAGGATGAATGAAAGGTCTTGGCTCCGGAGTTGAGGACCGGCTGAGCAGAATCATTATCAGGGGATCAGCGGTCTGGACCCCAAACTGCTCGTCGGTTCAATTCCCCACATGTTGTGGTGAAACCCAGAGAGATCCATTTACAGGTCTTTTTAATTTTTAGGGATGAGGCCCATCCACTGAGAGACTCGCGTTGCACTGTCAAGAATACCTCATAACTAAGACATATCTTTCCAATGAGGCCGACTTTTGTTGATTCTTCTTCTGCTTTAAATGTCAGCAAAAATTTGGACCAAATTTCACTCTTTCTCACCCTTAATTACCGCACTAGTTTATGCCGCCTTTCCGCTCTCTCACTCTCAGCTGTCAAAGTGTGTGTTTAGTGTGTTTTCAGCAGGATATCTATCGACAATTCTAGGGACAGGACGAGAATATGCTCACCCCTCTTTTCTGCCAATTACACTGAGAACCAAAATAAACACACCCCTTTGGTTTGGGTAATCCAATCTTTGTAAGGTAGCTACTGTTCTCGCACAATGGCCGTATAGAGGGGAGCTCCACTTTTCTTTTCCTGAACCGGCTCCAAAATACACCCCTGAGCCCCCCGTGCCCAAATATCCAGTACCCTAGCACCTCTTTCCCCTTTTAACAAGCGGTATCAGAACCATTAGGTTGGCTCTGGCAAATGAAAAGACAAACACATCCTGGTATGCTAAGTGAAGGGGTGATTCTAAACTGGCAAGAAGAGGATCTCTGTTGAAGGTCGGCTGGTATTAATGGCTGGTTTTAGAGCGCGAGAGGCTGTTTGGATTGGGAGCCCGGCTGGGTGGGATCAGGGGCCCGTAGACAGGATGTGCACGGGACCCTTTCGTGTCTAGAGCGGCACTCTCACTTCTCTGACAGGGTGCTGCTGTCGCTGAAGTGAACTCAGCCTTTGAACAGTAACACGAGTAGCGCTGTTCTGAAGTGGCTCAACTGACGCGACAAGAAGCCCTCACGCCACACAGACACACACACACGTGTGCGGTCATAGAAAAAAAAACCTCCCTCCTCTTCGGAAAACAGGGTGGGGACTGTCGGAGCGCACAGCAGTTGGCGTTGGTGTCGGTGCCTCTTGCAACACACCCGCCCGCCGTTAACGTGCATCCGTTTCCATGTGTTTCAGAGGAGCTGAGGTGTGCCGGCGTGACGTGTCCCGCTCTGCCAGCGCCCTCCTGCCCCGAGGGTTCGGTCCTGACCAAGAGTTACACCCCGCCTGCCGCTTGCTGCCCCTCCGTACTGCCACAGTGCACTTGCGACCTGCGTGCCTGCCACAAGCCCAAGTGCCCGGGCGGTCGGCGCGTTGTACCGCTCAGCCAGGCCAGCGGGCGGCCGGGAGACTGCTGTGACGTCTTCGAGTGCCAGAAAGGTGATCGCACTGAACCGCGCACGTAATCTGCCTCTGATTGGTCCCCCACTGGGGGGGGAAAAGAGAGGGGGGGGGGGTAGCACTGGCACAGTCGGTGTGAGAATCATCGCCTTTGAGGAAGCAATTATTTTCCTCAAGAGTAAGGTTTTCCTCCCCGCTGACCGAACGGCAACAGATGAAAAGGAGAGTTGCTGATTGGATAATTGCCGTTGTGCGCCGTTTATCAGGCCTGGGCCACGGTTAAGACCGTGCTTCAAAGACATATTTGCAAGGGTGTATCCACAATATTTCTATTGCCTGACGGGATATTACATATAATGGGTCTTGTAAAGCAAAGCAGTAGTTTGGCATTTTTTTGTGACAATAAATGCGGGGAGAGGCGAGGTACGGCAGACGTGGAACACAAACGGAGACACCTCAGCGGCCTCCGACGTGGCAGCAAGGAGAGTCAGCAAGGCAGGGAGGTGGACCCGTGGTATTGGTCTGTTTACTTTGCGCTCCCAACAAATATGCACTGTTTTACCAACAGAACGAATTCCCATTCTGGCCCCTCCGCATGCATAAATGAGTGCCGTGTCCCGGAATTAATGGACTTAACGAGCCCAGTGACCAGAAAAGTGCTTAGGCTACAAATTTGCTCAACAGAAGTGCAGTGTCAAAGGGTTCCTGTCTGGTCACACGTCCAAGGGGAAAGGGTTCAACAGTTCATTGGTGGGAATGCTTTTTATGTGCTCCCGTCTGCCAGTGGGGAGGGTAATCGAGTCCGGCAGGCCAGCGTGGGCTGAATGGCGGCCGTGGGGGCCATGGGATCAGTGTTTTGATAACAAGTGTCTGCTGCCCTTTGGGCCCGGGGCTTGAAGCCTTTTGTTGCTGCCCCTACTGTCCGTTAGGCCTGCGTGACTGCGCGGCGTGTCACAAAGCTCCACAGACCGGGACATGGCGCAGGACGCCGACGCCCCCCCAAAGCGCTCCCCAGATGTACTCGAATCGAACTGGGGTGCTTTCAAATGGGCATACGTGTCCTCTGAACACCCATTAACACAACACCCCCCCCCAGTCCCCGTCCGCTCGGGGCCTGGACTGATTCACTTGTTTCCACTCCCCACTTGGCCGACGACGGACTCTTTCCACCGCTTGCAGGAGGATGGATGTATCCGAGTGGTGAGCCCAACCTGGCAGCGGCGCCCGCACATGATCTTCATCCCATGATACAGGAGATCCCGTTTGGTTCTGTTTAGCTGTTGCCTGCTGTTCATCAACACTTGGCTGGCAAATGTTCTGTCCCCCTTTTTTAGTGATCCCTGGATGCTGGGTAGGTTCGGTAGACTGCACATGCTCTCTTTTTTTGAGATGCACGCTGGTGTTGAGCAATACGGCTGAGATCACCAGCCAAAGCATCTCAGGGGGGCTCAGCTTGAGTTTGTTCTAAACACGCAACAACAGTGTCCTCAGACATCGATTGCGTAGTTGTTTTGCTGACATAAGTTAAACTTGTTGTTCTAAATTGGCAATCGGTTCACGGCCGATACTGATATGAATAAATGACTATTCTGCTTTGGAAATAGCCATGTTTTCCAATGTGGCTTTGCTTCGTTGTGAATGATTTAGACAAGTTTAGGGTCAATGCTTTATGGCTCATTCTACTTATTCAATTATTCAAAATTAGAGAAGACTGCACATCACAAAGCATGTCTGGAATTTAGATCCTCGGACGCAAGTTGTTTTAGGGATTACCGTTAACAAACACCGCGGAAGTCACACGTGAGCGTCCCCTCATGTGACTTCCTCTAGCGCCAGCGAGAGGTAAAAATCACCGCGGGGCCTTTTGATTCTGTGCAGCTTCGGGTGCTTATTGCATTTTCTTTGCTTGGTTTTTCTGCACGCAATGCTGGACTGCAGGAACACTGAGGAAGAAAGAGGACGAGACCGAAGGAAAAGCGAATGTATTATCAACCGAATTCCCCCGGCTTGGCTTTAAACCTAATGGTCCCACCTGCTCTGAATCAGACTGTCTGTCGGGACGCATACGGGTCATCGCTACAGACGCCATGAGTCTCAAAGGCGCGGCGTACAGATGGCGGCGTAACCTCTGCCTCTCATTAATAGAAACTGCTGGCCCCACATCTGGCTGCATCTGTGCAACACATTTACTCGCACTTACAACTGTAGCTACTCCTCTGAATCCCAGAGACTTCCCTTACGTGACCACATTGCCTCACTCCGCGTTGGTTGGAGTGGGGTTTGATGAAAAGATGCTGCGTGGTTTGTCTTTAGGATGTTGAGTCACCCCGACCATTGGCGGTGCATTCGACCGCGTTCTCTACTATTAACCGCGGAGATGTCGGGCTGTAACCCTCCTGCTGGTTGTTTTTGCATAATTAACAGTGCAATTTGCTTGGTTTGGAAATAGTATAATATATATCTTCTGCATACAGTCATGTGTGCATGGATTCAGCCCTCAAGGGCCGAGTGCACAATGAACTCTGTTTTTGGTTGGACCCTGGTTTTCCAACAGCGCTGTAACGAACCTTGTTTTAGTTTCGTAACGCAGAGAAAAGACGTTTTTAAGTGCTTTGATGCTTTCGCGAAAGCCCGGCCAGCGCATTGATTCACTCCACCTGCCACCAGCACGCTGAGCCCAGATCCTGCCAAAGCCTCAGACCCACTACTGTTTTCTTTTACCCGCCACTGCAGGAGTTTGACTCCTTTTCAAGACCTAGATGTATCCCTGTGAAATTCCTTCTCATGGACTTGGCTTGCTCCATTGTCTGACAAATGCCATTCCCCTCCACCGGCTTAAGCCATCAGTGTCTGCGTCAGCACCATTTGGTTCGGATAAACATTTGCATCAATGGCAGAGCATGAATGGGTGTGTGTATTGCATTTGTAATTGATTGTATACAGTTGTGAGGTTCCCTCACTGATCGAGCTTGACGTTTGTGATTTTAAAAACTGCATTTTTCTGACATCCAGTCATGAGGAGGCAAATCCTTGTGTTAAGTCTTTGCACAAATGGACACGGGACTGCACGGCACGATTCCCTTCATCACACGGTTCTGTCAGCAGCTGTCTGATTCCTCTCTTGCTTGTTCCCCTCCTCAGTCTCTCCTAAGTGCGTCCACAACGAGAAGGAGTACTCCGAGGGGCAGGTGTATCGCATGGACCCCTGCTGGCTGTGCCAGTGCCGGGGAGGAATCTCCTTCTGCTCCAAGGCGGAGTGCGCTGAGCTGGAGTGTGAAAACTTCTACATTCCTGAGGGAGAGTGTTGCGCCGTCTGCCTAGGTACACGCCTTCCATTTCATTTTGTTAAAAGGTGGCGACTCGATTCTTAACTTTGCAAAAACAATGAGGCAGAGGCGAGAAGGCCTGTGTGGCCGGCTGGCAGGGTGGAGAGTCTGTGCTGTAGAGGTGATATCAAAATTCACCACGCCTAACACCTACGACCAGTGAGCCCCACTTTATTGGCTTCCTCATATAAGCGGTTTCCACAGTTGTTAACATGGCTGGCAAACAAGAAACACACACACACACACACACGAACGGACCAACCGGGGAAAGACTGTAGAACATAAGAACTCTTTGAGAGTGTTCAGCTTGGCTGTTTAATATCTGGTCCTTGCCTAATGTGTGGGGGGTGCTCTGATAGGCGCACCTGTTAAAAAGGGGGTTTGCAGCGCACATGGCAACCACATTACGGTCTGCCGGAGGCCAGTGGATGGAGACGGTTATAGCCTCTGCTCGCTTGTGTACAGTTCACGATTAAGAGCCCGAGTGGCCCAGCTAAAATCCTGGAGCGACCCTTTAAAGTTCCATAAAAAAGGGTCAGAGTACAGCGGCTATAAAGAAAAATGGATCCTGTGCAGGTTAATCACTGCCAGGTGGAAGGAGCCAAAACTCTGCTGGGATCAGATAGGGCAAATAGGACCCCCTCCCCCTCTGTGCACTATATAATTTAAACGGTTTATAGTAAATGAAAAAAGGGCTTCCAGAGTTGGGCCTCGAGCGACGTACAGCGCCTCGAGCTGAGCAGAGCGGCCTCACAGATTTTCTTACAGATCGAAACACTCAATTCAAAGTTCTTTCTTTTGCTTTGGGCCAAACTCTATCACACGTACTCGACCTGCAGGGTCACGGCTGAAACTCGCGTGGGGTTTGTTCAAGCTTTCAGCCAAAAGGTGAGCGGACACGTCGGGGACCGGCAGTTACAAACGTCCTCCGCCTCGCTGTTTTTACAATGATCACATCTCCCTCAGGACGGTAATACCCGAAAACATGCCTCATGTCAACTTAAATCCCTATACGTTTAGTTGCAAAGCCAAGGGCCTCTCCTCACTTGTAGATGTAGATAAAACATGTGAATTCAACAGCTCTTGGGGAGACGCCGTCTCGTTAGCTCCCTCGTGGAGTATCCGGCTGCCTTCGGCTCGCCTCTCACTCGGCCTCCTGTTAATCCGATCACAGTAGAAGATGTAGTGTAACGTTAATTGGACCGTGAGCTCGGGTTGTAGATGTGACTTTTGCTGACAATCATATCAACGATTCACCTCCTCGCCCAGCGATTGGGGATGGCCGATGTGGAGAAAAATCAAGCATCACAACCATTGGTGTTATCAAATGTTTACCCAATGACAATTATCATCAGTAATGTGGATATAATGATCATGATGACAATGTATCCAGTCCCATTTCCCGGTATATCAACATAATGCCGATACACTCCCTGGCCGAGCCACAATGTGTCCTTCCGTCCTCTCAGATGTGGAGTTGCTGTCTATGGACAGCACCAAGGCCAGCTGCTGGGTGGACAACAAGCTGCGGGCCCACGAGGAGCAGTGGAAAGAGGACGACTGCACCTTCTGCCAGTGTGTGGACGGAGAACCACACTGCACGGCCATGGCCTGCAAACAGAGCTGCCAGTACCCTGTGAAGATCCCCGGAGAGTGCTGTCCCTTCTGCGAAGGTACGGCGATCTGACGATGTGATGCATAAGCTCCTGGCTGCGCGGCGCACGTTAGAACCACGCGGCCGAGGCTCCTACGGCCCCCGCGCGGCCACGGGGGGGGGGGGGGGGGGGGGGGGGTTTTTTCCACCCCCTCTCAATTAAAGAGGAGGCCACCGAACATTCTTCGAGCCGCAGGGTTCTTTGTGTTCCTTTATTGCCCTTGCCCGCCAAAATGAGACCCACCTGTGTTGGTGAGCCGCGGCCGCGCTCTCAACGCGCCGGGCTGCGTAATTGAAGTGGATCTTTTTTTTTTTTTCTTTCTTTTTTGTGGGTGAGCGTAATTAGTAACAGCTACGTGGCAGCAGACCTCTGACGGGAACGGCCGCGGCGCTTCGTCGATCCGGCCTCCCGCAGTGTGGCTTCACAATAAAAGCTGGCCCTGATTCAAGAGGCGTCCGTCTTACTTCCTACCAGCGGACACTCTTTTGTCTTCTCTGGGAGACCCTCGAGATAAAGAGTGCTTTTTAAAAGGCATTCGACCTATTAATGGGAGACAGTTCCAAGCAATAAGACGGAGAGGTATAACCCCCCCTTACTGTGCGACCCACCCTGGTGTAATTGCTCCACATTTATCTGTAATCGCTGTTTAGTCCATAATACGAGCAGCGTAAATAGGCAGCTATTACAGTTGGCACCAAAAGGCATCGATGAGGAAGAGCATGTGAAGGGATCCCAGCACACGTGTGTAAAAGAAAAGCCATAGTCCTAAAATAAATCCCCAATCTTTATGTACTGTCGCTCTCACGCACGAGTTCTTAACCCTCCATCATCTCCTTTGTACCCTAGAACCTTCTTACGAGACGGTCAGCCCCCTGCTGTGCCCTCCGCTGGAAAACTGCTCGCTGTCCGCGAACGACTGTCCCTACGGCTTCCAACAGGACACGAACGGATGTCTGCTCTGCCAGTGCCTCGGCAGTAAGCATGAACGTCACACATTGGCTGCTCTTAACGGGGCTCTCGGTCACCCGTGAGGAGCCCCGTAGACCCTCATGCCGTCCCCTGGTCAGGTGACCTCTCGTTCAACTCTTTCAGATGACTCCTGCCCTGACCTGGGAAAATACTGTTCGCTCCAATGCCCGATGGGACACAAGACGGACGATTTTGGCTGTGAGGTGTGTGAGTGCAGCATTCCCGTGCCAAAGTGCCGCCCCTTGACCTGCACTAAGACCTGCCCCTATGGATTTGTGTAAGTACGCCCTGTGACCCCGTGGGACTCTCATTTATCTCGCAGGGTTTTTGAAAGGCATCTGCAGACGTGGAAAGAGCATGTTTTTTTTAAAGAATTTTTTTTTTAAATCATACATATGTGATTTTCTGGATTCGTTTTAGATTCCGTCACTCACAGTTAAAGTGCCTATGATACAAAAATGAGACTCCTACATGCTTTGTAAGTGGGGAAAACCTGCAAAATCGGCAGTGTATCAAATACTTTTGACACACTGCCAATCTTTTAAAAAAACAACGTTATTACATAGTATCATATATTAGGTCAGAATATGTCATTGGATAAATAGTATTTACATTTGTACGGTCAAGAAAAAGTTAAAATAAGAAATATATGTCAAAAAAAAGTCTAAAAAAGTTACTATCGTAGTCCAGAGTCTTTTTGGTCCTGGTCTAAAGGAAGTGGAACACGCTATTGCAGCAGTAGTTTGGCATCCAAGATCAAAGGGCCGACCTTGGTGGCAAATTCCAGGTCTTTAAATGTGCGTGTGTGTGTGTGTGTGTGAGAGTCATTTAATGGGATGCCCTCGCCAGCCTCTGAGCCCCCATGCAAACTCATCTCCCCCTAATCCCATTTTACCTAATCAAACATCTGGAACTGCTCTCTACCCGGACGCTCTGTCTCCGTGCACCGCTCTCATTTCATAAATCCTCATACCTGTCTCCAAATTTTACGATATACTTCATGAAACCTATCCCGTCGGGATTGTTACGGCATCTCGGCCTCGCTGTGCGGAGCCGGCGCTTCAGACGGCCCGAATACGTCTGAGGAAAGGAGCGCGGATGAGGACGACCCTGTGGGGGGGAGGGGGGGGGGAAGAGGAGCAGGAAGTCGTGGCTTGATGCTTCATAAGCAAGCAGCCAAGGTCGAGCCTCAGAAGTCTGAAATCCTCCAAGAGCTGGCCATCTTCTCAATGCATCAATGCAGATCCATCTTCTCGCATGAGACCTCCGCTTGCAGAAACACCAGGCACACAAAGGGCTTCTGTGTGTGCATTGGCTGTATTGACGACATCCTGTGTGTGTGCAGTAACGTACGCATCCGACAATAAACCGGTGCAGGCCTCCATCCGTCATGACAGAAAAGAAAAACTAATCACCAGCGGCATTCTTCTGCTCATCACAGTTGCTGCACACTGGAAATTGTGCCGTGCCAGCAGTGGCAGCGTCCCAGGGGCCCCCCCGGAGGCTCCCCAAGCGCCTCCCCCAAGGGCCTCCGTCCCCCCCCCCCGGGGCCCCAGGCTCTGCTTGGCATTCCACACACCATCTTTAAACAAAGAGTGCTCGGCGGTCGCTGCACTCTCTGCCTCTGTATTTGTACAGTGAGGCACCGGCCGAGCCCTCACAATGTTGTTTTTCGGCGGCTGCTATGCTGTTTTCGGCACACGCGGGTCCCGCTGTTTGTGGAGCCACGAGACGCTCTGTCCTCTCCACGGGACGCGCCCCTCCCCCGTCCGTGTGGGTCCTTCTGTCCATGCTGCCCTGGTAGATTCAGATGAATGGCCCGGCGGCGCCGGCGCTTCACGGTAATGGGTGTCATCACTTACCTCCAGGGAGAGACGCGAGGGAGGAAGGGTAGCTGGGCTGAGAAGAGAAGAGGAGCCCAGGATGAGAGGATCAGAGGTTTTTCCACAATGTATCAACCTGCAGCTCATCACATGTATTATAAGGCTTATATTCGTATCTAGCCGGCCAAACTCCCCCTGAAGCCTTTGCACTTCATAATGTGAGGCTCCGCTTTGACAACTGCACTCAGGTTTCATTTCTGCTCGGTTTTGTTTGATTCTCACTCAATTTCCAAGGCAACCGCTTAAACCTGAACACCAGAATCTCCCGTCTCCCCCTCTCTTTCTGTCCTTTTTCTGTAACCCCCCCCCCCCCCCCCCATCAACACGCCCACATGAGCCCCCGTCTGGCCGCTGCTCTCGCATGTCCACCGAAGGCTCCTGGAGCAATAAGGACGGCAGCAGAGGGAATTGAAAGCATCTGAGGAGGCTTTAGGTTGTTCCTCCCGGAGTCGTCGGGTCGGTATGATGTGGAAAGCACGGGGATGCCACGTGTTGGCCTTTTTATTAGGCCTTCTTCAAACGCGGCGAATACAGAGAGGGGAAAACGGGTCCAGATGTTTATTTGCACCCAGCTTGAGCATCTGGGCCGACCCTCGATCACAACATCACGTCGCTGCCCAGCTCGCAGTTCATCTCCAAGCGCTTTTCCAAACCACTCGAGCTGCACTGCAAGTGTCTTTTTTTTTCTTTTACACCCTGTCATGTGATTTTTGAGTCATTTTTTGGTTTCTTTTCTTTATAACTCAGGAGGAACAAGCATGGGTGTGAGATGTGTCGCTGCATCAGGTGTCCTCCCTTCACCTGCGACAAGCACTGCAGCGACGGCTACAGGCAGAACAGGAAGGGCTGCTCCGTCTGCACGTGCAAAGGTGACCCACTATTTATATTTCTCACCCCAATCGCACTGACGTGCAGACTTTTGTGCGTGTTTGGATGCTTGTTTGTGTCTTTGTGCTTCCATCCAGCGGCCTGTGAATAGATTCCTCGCCCCACTAGGTCTAAAAGCAAATTTGCAGGCGCCACATTTATGCTGCACCACATTTAAGAGGTGTTTATTTTGCCAGTTCAGTTGTATTATAAATATTTAATCTTCAAATATACTTTGGGTTTTGCGATGGCGAGTTGATCGTCTCCACAAATAGAGGGACGCCACACAGACGAACACCTGTGTACTGCTGTTAACCTCATTTTCAAACCCTTGTACACAACATGTGGACTGTTAAAATATTTAGGGATAGGAAACTTTCTCTGGAAGATGGTTATTTTTGTGTGTGGTTTTTTTTTTTAAAGATTTAAATAGAAAAGTCAAACCCGGTTCAGCTCGCTGTGTTTGTTCCTGACCCCAGGACGCACTTTGAGCTCAACACACGCTGTTGTCACCGGTCTCTGCCGCGATGCATCAGCTCCACGCGTCCCTCAGACACAGTAATGCCTCAAACTTTTCTGTCTTCAGAAAGCGGTCGCGTCCCGAGCACCACCGCCTCGGCCCCGACCCCCAGCCACTGCCTCACCGCCAACGGGCGCCGCTACGAGGAAGGCGACGGCTGGCACGACGGTTGTCGCGACTGCTACTGCCACTCCGGGCGGGAGATGTGCGTGCTCATATCCTGCCCCGCGCCCAGCTGTTCTCATCCAGATGTGAGGCCCGACCAGTGTTGTCCCACCTGTGAAGGTGAGTCCCCGTAACTGCAAGTGTGGCTTTGTCAAAAGGGAAACGCCAGTTTTAAATAGCTTTTCATAGTTTTTAAAGACTATTTCTGGTTGTTATACCTGTTTTTGAGTGGGGCAAGACCATTTTCAACTTCGACTGAATGGGAATTTTTGGAATGAAAGAAGAGAGAACTTGAGAACCAACCTGTTTAATCCTTAATTTGGAAAAGGAAAGTTTAATTAAATTTGGTGTTTTGTCCAATTCCAATGTTACTTGGTGGCGGTCTGGGGCTGTTCATTGATTTCGGATTCAATCTTACACTCAATTACTTGTTAGAAATGTATGTTGAGTTAATACATCTGCACGTGCGCACACATGCATATGTGGCAGTAGGACGTGCACAGTCCTCCATCGGCTCACTTAGCCGCAGGCTTTGGATCATTAGCAGCTTTTAGGCCTTAAAACTTCTCGGCTACTTAAACTCAACACAACACGTGGTCTGTTTCTCTAAAAACGAAAGGCACACGGATCCACGCCCCCACACTGCTTTTTATCATCCACCGCCCTTCGACTCATGCGGGATATTTATGGAGGAGTGACTCAGTTGGCTGTTCAAATATTTAGGAGTGAAAGAATGCCTACAACTTTCCGGGAGCTACGCACCGTCAGGGGACAGCAGGCTAACTCTTTACAGATGTCCCCTTCCCCGCGGGGGCCGAAAGATGTTTTCAACTAAACCTGCGTCATAACGCAACTCGCCCGCCGACCCCACGCGGCTCCAGGCTTCTTTTTAACGGACAGTCTTCTCCCGTGTCTTTAATGTCTCCGTTCAAAGATGAGTCGGGCAGCGGTCAGCTGGAGGGGATGGACATGGTGGTTTGCAGAGCACCCGGGGGGGAGTTTTATGTGGAGGGGGAGACCTGGTACCTGGACGAGTGCACGGGGTGCACCTGCAGGAAGGGACGTGTCCTGTGCGACGCCGAAGAGTGTCCCCCCGCCCTGTGCCAGAAGCCGATCCGGAACAAGGACACCTGCTGCCAAGTGTGCCCAGGTAACAGAGGGGGGGGGGGGGGAAAAGGCTGCAGGAGAGCTTCTCATAAAAGCCCAGCGGGCGCCGCAAGCGCCTGTTTCATCCTCAGCGGGTGGGAAGTATAAATCTGTTTTAGATGTGCTGGCAGGCGTGTGGTTTTGGAAGGTCCTGCACGTTGAACTCCGTCGAGCAGTTTTAATGTCAAGCGCACATTCTCATAAAGAAACCAGCCAAGACCGGTTGGAATTACACAGTCCTCCTCCAGGCAGCCCAACGCACACGTGGACTACTTTCACTGTGGAGGTTCATCCCGACTCCCGTACAGCTCGAAAATGTAACCGATATCTCTGAAGCTCTTGACATTCCTCTGGTTGTGGGAATAAACACAAAAAAAAAAAAAAAAACCCGCACACATATTTGATCTGCAACTGTACACAAACACTCGAGCCCCTTCACACACACACACACACACACACTTCAAGTCAACATATCCCAAGTATTCCCGAGCATGAGGCCCACAAATCAGCAACGCGTGACTGCCGCTGAGAGCTGCTCCTCGAGAATGCCTTATCCGCCTGCATCTCCCGTCACAAAAGCAGATTGTCGGGGGCCGGCCTTTGATATGCGCACGGGCCTGATCGCCAGGAATGTGGGAATAATACACGTCTGGCTGACAGGCCCTGTGATGTATGTATACAGTAGGGCAGCGCAGTTTGCACATGCTATCTGAAAGTCTTTGGTCATGAAAAGGACCATAGACGCCCCCCCCCCCCGTCCCTCCGGCCCCGCGGGGGTCCGATGAGAGGGAGAGACAAGGCCTCGGCGCTGGCTTCTGTCGGAAGGGCCTTCGGTGGATTGTGATGTTCCACTGCAGGCAGTTGTGTGTGTGTGTGTGTGTCACGGAAAACAAAAGGGGCTATTCCCTCAACCTTATCAACCCTGTTTTATACCCGCGTGCGACCACAGAGGAGGCGCTGAGCTCCGGGCTGCCCGTGAACAACAGCCAGCAGGAGTACTGCATCACCGGCGGCGGCGACGTGCTGCTGTCGGGGGACTCCTGGAGGGCCAACGCCTGCACCAGCTGCACCTGCAACAACGGCACCATTCAGTGCTTCTCCCAGCGCTGCCCGCCGGCCAACTGCAGGGTGCCCGTCTTACGCAAGGGCCAGTGCTGCCCGCAGTGTCTGGGTGAGTAGGTCGCCGCTTTCGCGAGCCCAGAAGGCTCGGTTTGTCCACTTTGGATACGCGGTTAATGTAACGCGTCCACCAAAAAAAGCGGAGAACGAAACCTGTCAAATGAGTCCGTCCCTTTTCTAACAAGCGGTGCCGCTGGAACAAGGCACGGCCTGTTGATGGGAAAGTTACGGTTCACAACGAGGGGGATGCCAGCTTCCAGGCCCGATGCGTATGCGTTCGCTCGTTAGACGCCGGCGCTACGGGGGCAAACACCCATCCAAAGCAACAACATTCCATGTGACACGCACGCACACACACACGCGCACGGTCCACTCGGAGCGAAAACATTCCTGGAGCATCCGCACATTCACACGTGTTTCCTGTCGCCGGCTGAATCGGGCCGCACCGCTCGCTCTGCGGCGGCACAGGAAGGCAAAGCTCCAAGTCAGCTTTTCCTATAGAGGGAAAACCTCAGCATTGTTCCCCCTGATATGTCGCCGTTTTCTGCCCTTTGTTTTTGTTATTTGCCCTTTCGGATAAACAGCTCTCTTAACGTAATGCCTTTATAAAGCCACACAATGGGAGGGGAGGGAGAGGGAGGGAGACCCCGGGTTGGAAATGTTGATGCATCACACCGGTGATATTAACCCCCCCCCCCCCCCCTCCTCCTCCACGTGTTCTGGACAGAGATTACAACGCCGGTGCCGGCGTCCAGCGGCGCCCCGAGGACGACCGCGGCGACCGGAGCGGAGAGCGCGACGTGGATCACCGCGGCCACCGCACCGCCCATCACGCCAGAGACAGGTACCGGCTGGTCGGCGTCCTCTCCGTGTAAACCGCACCCTAGTCAGCGTGAAGCTCCCCGTAGGACCGATGCTTGTCCGTGTCCCACAGACGAGCGAGGCTCGGGGGAGAATCGCCCCAGACAGACGGAGATGGCAGTCGTCTACCAGTCGGCCGCCTGGATCCTGGCGGGTCTCCTCCTGGCCATCATCATCTTCCTCGCGGTGGCGTTGCTCGTCAACAAGAAAAAGAAGTGGGTGCAGATGTCCTGCTACAGCGCGCCAAAGAAGGTGAGGCGTCAATCTGCACGTTTTTAGGGAAACTTACGAGATCGGCCCGACGACGAGATGCTCTTTCTGCCGCTCAGACGGTGATCCTGAAGAAGCACGTCAACAAGAACTCCGTGGTCTACATGGAGCCCTCCAAGGAGAACAAGTTTCACAACGCGAAGAACGACTGCGGCGTCGTCCACTTCTCTCCGGAAATGAGCTCCACGTGCGCGGACAGGACGACCATCCCCAGAGCCAAGCTGAGCAACAACTGGACGCCGCGCTAAAGACAACACACACACACACACACACACACACACACACACAACGCCGCTCGAACTCTGCCGATCCGGCACCGCCTGCTCTCTCTTACTGCTGTATCCATGGCGATCAGTGCAACAGAAACACACACACACACCGGCACACACACCTTGGACGCCGCTGCCTTGTTCCCTCCCTTCTGTCTGTGTGAAGCTGAGGACGTCCTTAGAGAGAGAGACCGAGCTTGTGACGTCTTGTTTCTTTCAATACGTGTCCGCATTACTTTTTTGGCGTATGTGGACGGAATGGGGGGGGGGGGGGGGGGACATTTGAAAAGGACACAAGCCACTCCGGGCTCTGCTTTGAAACCGAGAGGCCAGAGAGGACCACAACGTGACTGTGGACATCGGGAGATTATTTCTTCCCTTGAAACTGGAACTCTGGAGGCAGTAAGACGAGCGTGGAAGCTTCAGGACGGGGGGGTTCAGGCCGTGTTTAAAAGGGGAAGAAGAGGATCTCTCTCTCTCCCCTCCACCCTCCCCCAGCAGCGAGGCCAAAGGAACCGATATTTCAGTTGAGACCAAATTGGGTTCAGCAGCCAAACCAAGTCAACCGGCTTCATGGACCCCCGGCTTTAGAATGTGTGCTTTCCGTCGTAGTTCTTGTATACTGCTAAGGTATCTGTTCTAGTTGTAGTGTTGTTCTGGGCCACCTCTCACTTTAAAAAAAAAAAAAAAAAAAAGTTTTTTATTACGGACGCCAGATTGTGGCTTCCTGACGTGACAGCCTGGTTTCTCCGACCTGGGAACTCGCTCTCTCTCGCTGTACAGAAGCCAATGGACTTCCTCTTTCCCATCTGGACCTCCGGAGGAATGTGATAGCGTGCCTCCCCCCACCCCACCCCCCATAACTTCTGTGTGGGTGCAGGTGTGCGTTACGGTTGCCACCGAATGTTGAGAGACAGAACGAGTATCGAGTCATTTCTAAGCCTTAATTCTTTCGCCTTAATGCATCGCTTGTTGACATTAAATACCTGTGTTTGCTCATGGAGGAGAATCGGAAAGCGGTAATATAGTCACCCGACGTTGAAACGTAGCCGATGGTTCTCATCAACACTTCACACAGCATTTTAAAAGAGACGTAGCACTTTTGTTTGAAGAACCTTTTATTTTTAGAGCGAGCTGCCTGCAGGATTCTTGTAGGGCTGAAGTCCCTCGACGGGGATTCGAAGGCATATTAAGCCCAGAGATGTTAAACCACTCAAGTGACCCGAGGTTGCAGCTGAAGTCTGATGAGCACAGTGAAGGATCTGAGAAGCGTTGCACAACCGACGGGGGGGGTTTCACAGGAAAAGGGGTTTCGGATCGCAGTTCTCAGTGCGTTGCCAATTTCTCGATACGAAGAACTGTCCGATGCCAAAAGTGGTTTTGAGGCCAATTCGTATTGAAGTGTTTTAGTAAGTCGTAGAGTAGATTTGTGTCCGTTTGATTCATGATCATGTGCTTTAAAAATGAAGAGGCGACTGTAAAAGCTTACGCAATTCTTTTCTTCTATCCGTAAACAAGGAAAAGGAAAAAAAAAAAAAAGTAGTTTAAATTAGTAGGACCGAAGAGTACCTTATTTATTTTTTCACATAGCTTTATTTATTACTAAACTATAGTTTGCGTTTTTCTTTTTTGAAAAATGAACTGTTGGTAGCCAAAGCTGCTGTACATTGTAGACTATACCATTTCTATCTGCTATATCCTATACAAACTTATTTATTTTGTTGCTGCAAAACTTGTAAATATGTTTCCTAGATGAATGAACTGTAACATTTACACTTATTTTGAAAAATAAATGTTTGAACCAAAGTGGCCCAATGATGCTTTTTTTTTTTTTTTTTTTTTTACCCAACACGTACAATTGTGGGTTTAAATGGGACTTTATTCCCTCAGCAGCACTTGCAGATGTGTTTAGTGGTTGTGTTCTCTGTGAGCGAGGACACCTCACCTGTGCAAAGCGCTCATAAAACAGACCTGGAAACCTGGATCATCCAGCGGGGCGACGGCGCTGCTGTTTGGACTCGTCCGTCAAAGCTTGCTCGTAAACTTCAAGGTGAGGAAGCTCCTCCGGAGGGATCAATCGAGTAAACTTAAGACGGTTCCCAGGCCTTGAAGGACAAATGCTGTTGGACTGAGCAAAAGTAGTGCTATTTGCACAACAGCTCCATTTATAATGGTGAGATTAAAGGAGTATAAGCATCAGCTTAACATACTCGATCATCAGGGCAGAATGTTTAAAACACACAAAACGCCTCCATGTGGGAAAAGTTGATTTATTACAACTATCCATCCTGTTCATAAGAAATGTAAACGTACCGCCTCTGTGACCCATAATGTTCAGTAAAAAATACAAAGTTCTAGGAGAGCCGTACTTCCGGTAGTCCTTTGGTCAACGTTGATCTGGGAAAGAATTGGACGCTTTGTGGAAAGCTTTAGATTTTGCGACGACGGGTCCGTCCGTCTCCACGGAGCTGCTGCGGGTCCGAGGATGAAAGAAGCAGCAGGCCGCTGCTGCCGTCGGGCTTTCAGAGAAGGATCTTGTAGTAGTCGTCCTTGTAGCTGTACAAGATCACCACAGCCACCCTGCAAGCGGACCGCAGATTAACACAATGTTACGGGGGATTTCCAAATGGAAAACTCAGCCGGAAGGTTGGTTTTATTTTCAGATTACTCGAGGAAAAACTACACAGGATAGCAAGTAACACAGATAGCAAGTTCTGCTATCATTTAGAATAAATAAGTAGCCTTCAGACCAGCCGCAGCCAATTCATGCCGAAGCTCCAGCGTGACTGGGGACACGTACAGGTCTTCTCAGTAGTTTTGGCTGAAGGGAAAAGCTGCGGTTTATGCAGCCAGGTGAACGCGTGAGCCCTCGAGCCGACTCATCTGGCCTCGGTTGCCGTTGCCCCACATTCGATGAAAACAACCAAACAAACACATGCTGAATATTATCCATTGTTGCCTCTGTGCCGGTCATTTATCAAGAGAGGAGGCTTCTTTCCCCCCCCCCCTCAGACAGGAAATTAAAACCAACCGCTGCAGAGAGGCGGACGGGAAAAAGCAGAAAGCAGCTTTGATTTTTGTTTGTTACCGTCTCAATCATGAATGAGAAAAATATGTTCTGCTCTTTACGAGCACGCACGAGTGTCACAGCGCTGGAAGGTCACACCCCGAGCGCCTGAGATGCGTTCTGCAGGGCGGCTCGGGACACCAAGCGCTCCGTCACAAACCACAGCGGATGGAGTTAACTACACCCTGCGCCCGGGTGTTAGGCGACGGACACCCGAGGACCAAATAAGGCAAATCCTTCTCCAGATTTCACTGCAGGAAATGGCATCGTGTGAGGATTTCATGTTCCGTTAAGGCGGTAGTTATCGGTATTGAAGCGGTATGATCGCGGCTTTTGGAGCGACAAAAAGGAAGAAGTGTCCCTGTTGTTTACCTCAGTCAGCCAGCAGTGGATGGAAACGCACAACACACACACACACACACACACACGACTCACTTTTTCATGATCTTGAAATGGTGGATCTCCTCGCAGATGGACTTGAGGTAGCGCTGCTTGGGGAGGCGATTCAGCAGAGTCTTCACGCTGCTGTTGAACTGCTCTTCGCTATCGAACTGGACGAGGAGGAGGAGTGAATGCAACAAAGTGAAGAGCGAAAGTTAGCAGACTAAACGGCACGTGCAAAGCAGATCTCAGAATGGTTGCAGGCGCCTCGCGGTGTCTCAGTCCCGTCGTGTTTGCCAACAAAAGTAGATCAAATAGTGGAGGCGTAAATTGGGGGTTTTCACCTGCAGGCTTTGAGTTGCAGCAGAGGCACAAATCCTCAGTTGGCTCTTTGTGTGACTTTGGGGTAATTTGTTATATATTAAACAGGTCTTTCCTGCACGCCTGGCAACACCCACTGTGCATTGTGTGTTTTTACGCACCTCGTGTGTTTTCTCTGACACGTGCTAAAGGGGGGGAACCGTGTAGGTGGCCTGTTCGTTTGTGGAGGGAGACTTTTGCAACGGTGGCGTTCAGAGCGTTGTTTGGCTTTCTTCCTCTTTCTTGGCACAATATATATATATATATATATTTTTTTTATGAGTGCAGCCTTTGTCACACCTCTAGTATGCCTTTTGTTAACCGTAGTTACGCGTCCGTCCCATATGCAAGCCTTGTTAACGCCGTGCGGGTCAGACTCTTGGAAGAAGCGAGGGGTGTTCCCTCACTCCGCTCTCCGAGGAAGGAGACGGGATCCCGTCTTCCTGTCTGGGACGTTGACCTCTATCGGTCGGTTTTTCCCCCCACTTTCTCCTCCCACCCTTCATTAAGGACGCGGCCTTTTATTAACTCTGCAAATGGTCTTGATGTAGAGAGTAAGGAACCAACCTCCAGGGACAGGAAGTGGACGAGCGTTTCCTTCAGCAGGTCCACCTGTGGGATACAAGACAAGCTGGGTCACACAACAACACAATGGAGCCTTATCTCATGTTCCACAAAACGTATTTATAAAAGCGAGCTAAAAATATCAACCGTTGCGTAATTATTTCCAAACAAGATAATCCAGCCCACTCGTATGGAAAACGACTTATAATTCGATGCTCCCGCAGGCCTGAAAGCACTCGGTCCCTTCTACAGGAAGTGTAACGGCCTCCTGGGTTCATCGTCGGAGAGCGAGTGGTTTCCGGTCTGGCTGATGGAAAAGCAGGCTGCTCACAGACGCCTCGGTAAGAGGTAACCGACAAGACGGTCACGTTTCAATGCATGTGCTGTTGCGTTGCCGATGCAATCCAGAACCCAACACTGACGACAAATGCATTTGGAATATGCAGCGACATGGTGAATGAGACGCTTCAAGGAGGCTTTGCTTTGAAAATATCTGGCCACAAATAAACTCTTAAATATGGCGGCAACTTACATCCCCCAAAATGACGCGGCCTTCGGTGTTCATTGTTCTGTAGCGCCTGCAAAGGATTCGCAGCCCTCTTAACCTCCAGCAGGGGATTTTAGCACCGGGGCAAATAACTATAAAAAGGGCCGTCCCGCTGATGTTTGCGGTTTCAGCCATCAAGCGGCTCTTCCCCGCTCTGTGATTTCACACATGAATTCAGGAGATACGGAGGGAGAGCGGAGAACAGGAGCTGAGATAAACAGGGAAACGAACAAATGACTTACTGCCAGAACTTCAATGTCATTGCTCTTGTTCTGCAAATTGGTGCCGAGATTCTGTAATCGGGTTTGGATCTGAAAGAGAGGGTGAAATTAGAAGAAATGGGACCTTAAATGTTGCCACATGCAAGCGTTTCAATCTTTGGTGCAAAGGCTCAATGATCCATAGTGACAGCTTGTGACTTTCAGATTATTTCTTAACCACATTCGGATGCCTCGCAGAACCCGGTCGTATCTTTTTATTAATGAAATGGAATAAAATCCTCTGCGCAGGGGACACGCGTGCATCAGAAACCTGCGTCTCGTAGCGGCGTCTGGCGTTGGAAGAAACCTTTTCCGGGCTGATGACGTAGACGTTAATGTTCGTGGTGCTGCTGCTGCCGTACTGTTCTGAAGAGCCTTAAGGGAGAGAATTTCATCCAATCATGAGGCTTTTTATGTTTACAACTTCAAACAGCTAATCAATCCAATTGAACCCTTTTGTTGACTGTTGGTGGGGCGGCACGGCAGAGGTTGGAGTGACCTTTGACGACCCCTTCAGTTAACAACGATGCAACGTTTCAGTTGTAACGAGCACGTGGACATCATACCTGTGGTGTTGAGCGATGATCCTTTGGGGTTTTGGGACATGCTGTCAGAGGTTTCTCTGCCCGGGCACAAGGACAACGTCACATAAGAACAGCCGCGTTACATCACGCAGACATCGGAGCAGCTCGTTAAAATCACAGCGTCTCTACCTGATGTTTCTTTCCTCAAAGAATTTGGTTCGACATTTCTGAATGATGTGGTCCACCAGGTCCGACTCGGGGATCCGCTTCTCCGACTGTCGGTCCTTCTCGAAGGACTTCACCTGAAGACACCAGACGCAATTACCATAGGCCGCCGGAGACAACGGCTCTATAACTCGCTCCCATCAAAACAATCCGCATCGGCAATCTTCTTAAGCAAGTAAAAAGGGGACCTTCTTAAAATGTGGCGGGGTTTACCTTCACGTAGTTTCCCTCCTTGTCAGAGACCAGGACCATGCAGCTGATGGCGGCCAGCCTGCAGTGCTCCATCAACGTGTCCTGAGACTAACACACGACACGACAAAAGGCCGAGTTACAAAAGCCACACCGCGGGGGTGCAAGGGTGCAACTCTGCTGGGGGAAAAGAAAATAATCTAGTTGGCTTGAAGATGACCTTCCCCCATGTTTTACAGTTGGGTCTCGGAGATGGCGGCTGCAGCGGGAGGAGTCCAGAGGGAGGCGTTTGCCGAACCCCCAGTCACAGCTGAGTTACTGCTGGAGGCTCGCTGCCGTCATACGCGCTTCCATTAAAGCGTAAAAGAACAACACGTCAAGTTTGATGTTTAGGTTGGAAAATGAGAGCTCATTCTGGGGCAACGCCGGACCCACGGCGTCAGAAATTGTTTTATGGCGGTTTAACTTGGAACCAGATTGGAAGGTGATCCATTCGACCACGAGTGTGTGTGTGTGTGTGTGTGTGTGTGTGTGTGTGTGTGTGTGTGTGTGTGTGCGCGCATTTGGGTCAGCCCCATTGATTCACACCAACTTAAGCCCTGTAGTTCCATCTGGCTGCTCCGCTCAGCGAGCTAACGGCGGAGCAGAACAAATCCTCCTGTGTACTACGAGCGCGTGCGTGCGTGTGTCAATTTGCCTCGTCATCATGTTCGCACTAAGACTTCCTCTCTTCGCACAGCTCGCCCATTGACTGAACAAATTAAGTCAAAGGTAAGCCACTGGCCGTCGGGCAGCTCTGGGCCGTACGCCTAAGCTGACAGCATGTGGAAAAGGTTTGCCATATTTGGCTAATAAAAAGCTAAAAAGAGGGGAACCGTCTCCTGAGGATGAATTAAAGCTGCAGATTTGGGCCCATTAAGAGGGCAGCGCGCGAAAGGTGTTAACGAAAGTCTGGCGAGGGGAGAGTGAGGGGGGGGCTGGACCAGGAGGTCCGAACTGGTCGAGGCGCTGCCTGCATGCAAAATGAAAAAATGCTCGCACAAACGCGGCTGACTATTTGCACATAATGCTTGTTTTCTGCCAAATGCAACCTTCCCTACAAGCTTCTCAGGACTCCTAATGGGGAATGAAGGCAGCCAATCAACGGTGTCCTGTGCCAGTACAAATGACAATAAACCACCATTAAAGGCCAAACCCATTGAAGCGAAACGTATATATACACACACACACACACACGGACGTGTTGGCGCAGCAATACGCCCGGGGAGGCCTTTTAGAGCGAGACACAAGCGCGAGGCTGAGACCAGCTTGTCACATAAGCATGAAGAATGTGACAGATGCGTGGCACCAGGAGTTCTGGACCATAAGATAAATAACTTGCCTTTGAAGGGACTGATCTCAGTTGGAGCGTTGCCCTAAAAAGAGCTTTTTACAGGAGGTTTACTGGAAGCTTGTACAACAGATGACTCCAGTCGATTATTGCCCCATGATTGTCCTAATATGGCCGGTGAGCCCTCCGGGATGTTTACTATTTCTGATGCTGTCGCGATAAATCCGTTGCTGGCATTTTCCCCCCCGGAGCCGGAGACAGGTGTCGCCCCCTGGAGGAGGGGTGACGCCCCGACAGGGGAAATCACCCATTTAAAAAAAACAACGGTTAATTCCCCACTCAAGGACACAGACGTGGTGGAGTTTTGACGTACAACAAACCGTAGGGCTCAGTTAAACAACCGCTAGTGTGTGAACACAAACAAACGCTTGGACCACATGGAGCAGCTACGTCCTCCCTGCAGATTCCTTCCTTTTCGCATGTCCGGAAACAACAGCGAGGGAGTGACTGACTGAAGTGGACTCTGCTTCCTTGAGCCCACAGGAATTCAGGCTCGGGCCTTAATGGCTCTTGCGTGACTAGGTTTTAGGTGACTGCATTTTTGCAGCACTAACGCACATTTTTAATCTTTGGGATTTCTCTCCCCAAAAAAATACAGCACCGTTATTTTTTCCCCAACTAAGAAACAAGCTGAGCAAGAACAAAACAAAAGGGAAAGACTGCTTGAAAATGTTGAAGACATTGGCTCTGCAGAACTAATCAAGACTTATGCAAGATTTATATCCAAAAAATGGTTGGAGACTTCGTTGAAAATACAACTCCACGCTGTTAACTCAACACTGCCTTGAAATGACCGCTCGTCTGAACCCATTCACACAATTCACGGGGTCTCTCTGGAAGGCTGCTCACCTGTAAGACGTCGTAGGCGATGTCTGCAGAGACGCCGGTGCTCCACAGCTTCTGGACCACACTGATGGCTCGAGACATCGAAGATTGTCCGACTGGGACCACCAGAGCATCGCAGCAGCTCACTGATGGCTGAGACAAAGAGGAGTAAAGACTTAACCCTGTAAAGTAAAAGTAACTTGCCTTTCTTTGGAGACCTACTCGCACATCATTTCACAGGATAGAAAATAATTTTAAAAAAATGATAGACCTGCAAAAATAACTCCATGGCGTCAAGACTCACTGTGATCATAGTGATTAATGTGTTTCTAAAATTGGCTGTGTGGCAGCCAACTGCTGTGATAAGGCATCATTAAACATGCAGCTGTCTGCTGCTGCTTCATCACAATAATTAGGAATGTCAGATCTCAGTGTGTGTGTGTGTGTGTGTGTCTCTCTCACTGGCTCCTCCATGTTGGTCATGGCAGCACAGACTTTGTCCAGAGCCACACTGGCCCCGACTGCAGAGGGCACCTGCGCGGTGGAAGCTGGCCCTCGAAACTCCACGATCTAGCAACACAGAGAACAAAGCCCCTTAAAAGTTAATCAGGTAGACTGCGGCATTTGGAATACAGGCGGAAGAAGAAATATGGTCAAAATAAATGCACGAGTGGAGGGAAACCTTTCAATCGGTGCAGACTTTTGCTGGGACCGAATACCTACCAAGTGGTCATAGCGTCCCCCAGCAGCCAGGATGTCCGGAACGATTCGCTTGCGCTTCCTGATGAAAGCCACGAACTGGAAGATGATCCCGGAGTGATGCTGCACCTTGTACACTAAGCCCAAGTTGACCACCACCTACAGAGAGAATACAGCCGCGTTGAAAAGGCGTGAGAAAACGCACCACGTCTCTTACCCCAGAATCCAACTCACCTGCAGCTTGACTCCTAGACCGCGCAGCAGCGCCGTGACCTCCTCCAGGTCCTTGAGGCCCTGCTTGGCCAGCTGGGTGACGGCGGTCTTCTGTTTGGTGAGTGCTGTCAGTAGCGGCGCCAGGTCCTGCAGATTCCCCTTCTGTTCTATGTACTTGTACAGCGTCTGCAACTGGACGCAACAGCGCCGTTTACGAGCGGGAACTAAGTCCACTAATTGTTTTCCCAGGAGGTCCGTTCACCCGGAGGACTCACGCTGTTGGTTGACAGTGAAAAGTTGCAGAACTTTGCCTCCACCTCACGTTTGGTTAGCTTTTCGCTCTGTAGAAAAAAACAAGGGGCGAAAAGGGAGCCTGGAACGTTACCACTGCTACATTCAGTCAGAGCACTATTGTAAATGTTCATAACAGCATATCAGGAACGGCGACGCGAGTAACATCTGTGATGCACGTGTGAACTGCACTGACCATGGCGTCACACAGGATGGTGGAGGCCTGGCTCAGCTTGTCCTCGGGGACTCCGCTGTGGAGCAGGATGGCCTTGAACAAGCTGGTGTGGTTCAGGTAAATGTTATAGTTCCTTTCCTGCAGTCACAGAAACACGCCTTTAACCCTCCCTGCTGCAATTACAGTAACAAAAAAAAAAAAAAAAACCCGAGAGCACTGCTGTTCAACGGGCGCCTCGCTGAGTAATGACTGTTGTGTCCGGCCGCCCTCTCATTCCGTCCGACGCACATATTCTTAAGAGCTTTCACACAAAGAGCAGGGTGGCGGACGGGGATCAGAAACGGGATCAACGAGGGACAACCCGGAGGCCGGTCTCCGGGTGGACCGGGTTCACGCAGAGGCAGCTGCGCCTGCACACTGAGGCGTGTGGACAGGATATATCGATTGTACTCGGCAGCGAGGAAGGAAGTGCACAGAGCTGCGCATTACAGATTTACTTTGCGAATAATAAATATGGTGTGAATCTGTCAGGCTTACACGTAGTCTGGTATGTTAGGAATGTCGGTGGGAAGTGAGAAAACGGCATGCGGCGATAGGAAAATAAAAAAAAGAACAATGACGCGTACAGCCCGTCAACAACCTCAAGAGGAGGCGGCGCGGCACAAGCCGGCAGATCGCCGGGTCGTTTAAACACAGCTGGTTCATGTGACCTGGAGCGCGGCGAACTCCTGGACTATTTCAGAGACGGCGTAGATGGTCTCGGCGTCGGGCAGCAGGCTGTTGGTTACGGGCGTGATGATGTCAAAAGCGCACTCCAGAAGCTCCCTTGGGTGCGCGCGATCCAGCTTCCTGGGGCGGAATACTCGCTCGATGCTGTACCTTGAGAGAGGTGGCAAAGAAACACTGGTGTTGGTTTTGTTTTTTTTACAACATGAATGTCAGTTCCTGGCGGTGAATTCAATGAATGAATACCAGATAATGTAATCAGTCATTGCATTTTTCACAAAAACATCACCTAATGGCAACTACAAAAAAAAAAACTTGCAGGAAAAAATAAAATACATACAGATCTGTTCGATCATTTAACTTTACCTCTTCAGGTGAGTTATATTATTGCGAGCGACGAATCTCGAAAACGCCATCTATAGTAGACAGAGAGTTGAGACACGTAATGACGGTGAAGTTGGTGCACGCCGGGCCGTAATCTATCACACTGTGGAAACAACCATTTAGTCCTCGGGGTCTCCTGAAGCAGCAGGAGCTCGAGGCGGCTGCTGATTGTGTGCGTGTGCTGATTTCTGTGTAAATGGTGTTATGCGCACGTCGGGACTCACGCGAAGGTCGTAGGGCAGCGTAACCAGCATTCCGCTGTGGTCCATGAAGCAGGCCGGCTCGCTGCCATCGTACAACTTCCTGTTTCTCGGCAGGAGCAGCGGCGTCTGGAGACGCACCGCACCTGAAATCAAACGGCGTGAGCTACCGCGACGTGTGCCGCGGGGAAGCGTAACCCGTCACCCCGACGGGGACGCCGTGTGAGACTCACGCGCGCCCAACCAGCGCACTCACCGTGCCTCTTGAAGATCCGGGTGATCGTTTCGTACACATGCTGCTGCAATTTGGCACTGTTCAAGCTGAAGCTGCCCTGAAGGGAGACCAAACAAAACCGCCTCTGTTAGGGATCAGGAGACATCGATTAAGCACTACCAGACCTTCTGCCGGTCGGTCGCACAGACCAGACGAGTTAAGCAGCACTGAGGTGTTGCTGCAGCCGTTCGTGTGTGCGCAGTGACACCTGCAGGGCGAGCGGGGAACATCTGAGTAGACAGAACTGCTTTTTTTTTTTTTTAAACAAACGACACATGACCTTCTACCTGGTCTCGTATAAATCATGTCTCATAAACCACACACGCTTTGTCTAATCAAAAGCAAACACATCTAATGTTAAAAGTCTTGTGTTGCACCGGTCTCATGCAAGACAAAAGAAAGCAGACCTTGTGCAGGTCTATGTCGTAGGTGTAATCCATGACCGGCGAGGTGTTCTGGGCAAACAGCTGGCCAACCATGGTGCGGTAGGCCTTGCCGTTGATGTTGGCCATGGTGTGCTGCAGCACCTCGTGCAGCTCCGACTCCTCCATCTGCGGCGGGGGCAGCAGCTCGCTCTTCAGCAGCTCCTGGGCGGTGGGCCGGAGGGCCGGGTCGTGGTTCAGCAGCCACTCGATCACTTTCCTCTGACGGTTGGAAAGACGGGATGAAAGCGAGCCGTTCCATCGCTCCGCATCGAGAGGTCGTGCTCCGGCGTCCTCACCTGAGTTCCCTGCTCGTACGCGGTGAAGTCCTCGGGGAAGTTCATGGGCTCCTGCAGCGTGAAAAGAGAGGAGGTGAGAAACGAGCCCCTGCGTGCAACCCAGACGGCTCCCGGTGGGCGAAGGACGGACGGACGGACGCACCGCACGCAGCAGGCTCAGGACAGAGATGCGCTCGGCCCCCGTGGTCATGGGCCGGTAGGACATCTCGAACAGGATGATGCCCAGGCTGAACAGGTCCACTTTCTGGGCGGGATGAAGGAGAGGTCGGAGCATTAGCAGATGCTCAAAAACGAGCACGGACACCAGCAGCATGGGAGGCAAGGATTTGGTTTTAAATCAGAATCCTACTTGGTTGTAGTTGGCTTTGGTGGTTCCTTGAACCTCCGGGCTGACGTAGAGCGCCGTGCCGACCATGCCCGTCATGTTACCTGAAGAACGTTGGCGCAAAAAGCAGCAGCGCTGCGTCAGGGGAGAGCAGACGCGAGACAAAACCGGATCACACCGCGGGAATGTTGCGCGCACCTGTTGGGTCCGGTTTGACTGCCGAGCCGCTCTCCTCCGCTTCACATTTACCTGCAGCCTGTAAACAATTTCACCGCCGGAGTTACACATTTTAAACACGTTAAGCCGAGCTATCAAGACAAGACTTGGCATACCACATTAGCGGGATGGTCCGTAGCCAGGCCAAAGTCCCCGATCTTCACGTGGTCGTGCGAGTCAAGGAAGATGTTGACAGGCTTCAGGTCCCTGTGAATCATGCCCTAAAAGAGATAATTGAAAACACGCCTTCGTTTTTTTGTTTTTTCCTTCCCATGTTGCAAACCTCAAACACACAAACATCAAACACCTGCTCGTGGATGTAAGCGAGGCCATCGAGAATCTCTCTGAAGAGCCTCCACAGGCGATTGTGGTCCTGGTGCAGCCCGTGATCTATTGTGTCCCTTAAAGTGCTCTTTTCACAGTATTCCATCTGCCGGGAACAGAAGACACGCATTACACGCGAGGCAGAGGCCTCTGGTGGCAAAGAACGGCGCTTTGGCGTGACGCTCACTTGTATGTACAAGTAATGCGCTATGCGCTGAGGTCGCTCCGAGTCCGCGCTCTCCGCCGTGTCCGTCGCCGGCCTTTTGCTGGGCTCGACCTGCGTGGGCAGAGCAACCCGTTAGCTGCACCGCGCACGACACCACCGGCGCACGACCGATCACGACTCCAACGGGCGCTCAAACCTGCGACATGTCGCCCGTGCTTCCGTCGCCGTTGTCGAAGATGATGTCACTACTCGAGTCGCTATTTGACGGCCTGAAAAAAAAAATAATAATACGCGAGCAATGCGTGAGGATTTGAAGCAGGCGAAAGTCGGTGGATTCACTGAAGAAAGACGCTTACAAAAAAGAGGCACCAAACACATCTTCGTCGTCATCATCCTCTTCATCACTCGACTGGGGCGCGCTGCATTTGGCGCTGGATGACCTCTCGATGGAGGTGGACCACTCCACAGAGCTGGACAGGGCCGGGGGAGGCGCGGCGTCCTCCACGCCGTCGCCCGGCTCGCCGGCGCCCCCGCCCACCCCCCGCGGCGGCTCTTTGCGCTGAGGGGACTTGTCGCCGGCGCTCCAAGCGGCCTCGGAGCTGTCGCCGTTGCTCAGCAACCCCGACGGGGGGATCTCGTGCCGCTCGATCCACGCGTTGTAGTACCGCACAATGTTCTCGTGGTTGAGGCGCGACAGCAGCGTGACCTCGCCTTTGATCCGCCTGAACTGCTTGCTCGCCGGGTTGACCAGGATGCGCTTCACGGCGTAGTAGCAGCCGTCCAGGTTATTCTGGACCTGGCGAGGCGGGAGAAACGAAAAGTGGACGCGGGAGAATTTGCAGCAGATCCCTTCTCTGCCCGAGTGGAAAGCTCTCTGGCCCTCTGGAGAAGAGCTTACCTTAATCACAGCGCCAAAGGCTCCTTTTCCAAGGAGCTGGAGTTCCTCGAACTCATTGAAGTAGCGAGAAAACTGCCTCTCCACCCCGGAGCTGAACGGAGCATAAGGGATGTGACTCCGCGGGATAACGGACGAAGGGAAGTCCACGGCGGGAACTGAGATGAACGAAAAACATTAAGGAACCACGTTGTTGGAGTTTATCTCTCTCATTTACTCATCTACGTTTAACTTCTGCTGCCTCTGCAGAATAACAAACACTAAGTTTAGAATATATCGTCCACATCATTCAGACGGCTTCATGGACGTGTTCGATACCTTCCGGGCTGGAATTGCGGTGCAGCGGGAGGTGTTTCGGCGATGGAGGCTTGAGGAAGGCGTGGTCCAAAAGCTGCTGAGCGGTCCAGCGCTCAGCGTCATTCAGGCACAGACACCTTCGACACAACATAAAAAGACGCACTTTAGTCCACACTACGAATCCACATAACCATAATTAGGGAAATGCCTAAATGAAACAACTTTATTAAAAAAAAAAACTATTTTAAACAGTAAAGCAATCGGACGGTCAAACAAAACGATCCACAAAATGATGATGATGACCAATCAGGAGTGACAATAAACAGCGTCAGCGCTATTTCAATGATGATTACATTAATTTGTCATAATTGTGTTCATGCTTTTCAAAATCAATCTGCATGTAACACCAACTGTGACAATAACAGTTACAGTGAAAGTATAAAAGTGACAGTATGGTGTTCATCCATCCATCCGTACGTACTTGTGGAGGAAATCCTGAAAGTCTGCAGGCAGGCTGGCGGGCACCGTCACTGGATACTCCTGCGTCTCTTTCCCCTGACTCAGCGCCAGAAGCATCAGGCCCAAGTTCCACACGTCGCCCTTCTTGCCCGTTTTCGTCGGCATCGCCGCGTCCTCCGAGAAACGCACGTGGGCTTGCTCAAAAATGTCCTCTTTGCACATGTCGGCAAACCTCCTCGACAAGCTGTAATCGGTCAGTCGGACGTTGCCCTCGGAGTCCACCAGCACGCTGGAGGCCGCCAGCTGTTTGTGCACCACGGAGTTGGCGTGCAGGTAGTCGAGGGCGGCCAGCAGCTGGGCGGCGTAGTGGCACAGCTTGTCCGTGGCCAGCGGGGTGTTTGCGACGAGGCTCCGGGTCAAGTTGAAGCCGGCCACGTGCTCCACCAGCAGGTTGACCGCCAGGCAGTCCTCCTTCTCGGTGGAGCTCATCGCCATGTAGCGCACCAAGTTGGGGTGGTCCAGCCGCAGGAGGGAGTTGAACTCGGCTTCCGCCCCCTGGATCTACTCGGGAAATCAGAAGAATGGTCTCTCAGAAGAAGAGACTGTGATTCGGCGCGTGGATTTTGCAACGGAGACACTACTTGCCTGCTTTTTGCAGCTCTCGAGCCTCCCTTTCTCCTGGCTGGTGAAGAACTTGCCCATCTTCTTGTTCCAGCGGAGAGACCACTCGTAGATCACGGCAAAGTCGCCAGAGTTCGCCTCGAACCCGTGGTGAACGCTGCGGCGCAGCCGCTCGCTGACGCCTGTCGGTGTGAGACACGCGGTCGTGAGCGTACAGACGGGTCACCGGGATTGAGCCACGTTGGCGAGGTCTCCAAGACAGCCGGGCCCAAGCTCACCTAAGCTTTTCCCCCTGTGGACCACAAGCTCTCCGAAAGCGCTGCTGGAGAAGCGGAGAAGCTCTCGCGAGCGAGGGGCGTCTTCGTTAACGGTGTCACGTCTGGGGAGGGAAACAGGACGCGGCTTTAAGCATCGACGCTTCAACACGGGGGGGGAGAAGCGGCCGGTTCGCCGTGTACCTGTGCCGTGTGTTTGAGGTAGTCCGCCGGCGGCTGGCTGCCGCCTTCTTGGCCTCCATCAGCTCGGGAGGAGCGGCGCCGGGGCTGGGCGGGCTCTTCCCGAGGGGGGAGACGTTCGCGAAGTCCAGCTGCTCAATGCTCTCAAGTCGTTCCTGTGAATATAGACCTTTTATCCACGTGATTTTTCTGCATAGAATACAATGTGGTGTTTAGCTGCTTCTCTGAGGAGATCGGTGGAAATGGTGCAGACACCTGTTTGGCGATTTCCTTTCTTCTTTTTTCATCTCGTTTCTCCTCCTCTCTTCGTTGGATTTCAGCCATGATCTCTTTTTCCTACAATAACAAAAACATGCCTCAGTCCACTTCCTGTTCTGCTGGAACAGGGTGGGTAGTTATATATGAATAGGGTTTATTCTTTCGTTGATGAGTCATCGTGATTTAATTTTAATTCCACAGATAACTGAATTAAGAAATAACATTTGCACAAAAGTAACCCCCCCCCCCCAGTAGAAGTCCTAACCATCTCCTCCGCCCGCTTGCGCTGCTGGTCCACCTTCTGCTGCTCCTCCTGGTCTCGTTTCTCCTGCTGTCTCCGCTGGTTCTTCAGCATCTCCTCGTGGAAGGAGCTCGGCGGCGGCTTGTTGTGCTCGCTCAGGAAGCCCTGGATGTAGTCCGCCAGCTCGTAAATCATCACCTAGGTGAACAGGTAGGGCAAGTCAACAGCAGCAGCTGCGTTCAGATTAGTTGTTGTTCCCAGATGACGTATGAACGCATGTCGCGTCGGGTCCACTAGATTTATTCCCTTTGATTTGTATTGCTTACGTCCAGCCATATGATATAGTGCACTATCTCTACCACTTGTTTGCACTTGCCTGTTTGTGAACCACTGGTCTAGACATACTGTGTATCTGCGCGTCCACGCATCCTCACCTCCCCGCATCGTGCATCCGCCAGCTTAGCGAGTTCACTCTGAAGGTTCTGGAGGTTTTCATTTGACAGACCTTTGGCATTTTTCAGCTGCAGCTCCGGAGGCCTGTCGGTGCCACAAGACGCAAATGACCAAGAATGAATGATCACGGAGATGACATTTAACCATCCGCATTGGATCTCTGTTCAGATAATAACAAAGACAATGCAAAAAAAAACAAAAGCTCATCTAAAATACAGCACTGTCACGAATGTTTGGTTTTATGAAATAAGAATTCCCTAAGAACAACGTAAAGATCTTGTTTTTACAATAAACTTTACGTTCCCAGGCATGTGCTCACTAATGAATTAGGAGCACTTCGCCTCACATTAAACATTGTGATACGAGGTTACCTTGCAAAGGCCTTAGTGACTACATGGGTAAAGGTCAGGGGTCAGCACTCACGCGTCTGGGTACGTCGGTGGGCATTTGACGCGCAGGTCCACGGTCACGTAGCATTCCCGCCCGCTGCTCAGCCCGTTTGGCCGCAGGCAGAGGTGCACCTCTGGAGGCCTTTTAACCTGAAAACACAGCCGATGATGACGCAAACGGCGGCCCCGGATGACTACGGGTCGCGTTCCGCTCACGTCTCCCGGCCGCCGTTACCTTCCACGGGTCCTTGTCGCGCAGATCCACGAAGTCATCCGCGAAGATGGACGCGAGCGCCTGCAGCTCGTTCTCCTGCTGGACCGAGCGCTCCTCTGGCGCTTCCGTAGGAGCGCGCTGACGGCTCATTCTCCTGCCTCGCCTACATGGCGGTCGTCCCGCCGAAGGGTCGCTCCCTCGCGGCCGGCAGAGGCGAGGAGAAGGAGGAGGAGAAGGAGGAGAAAGCGCGGCCCCGCGTTCACTCGGTAAAGCTAACGAACGTGGCAGGAAGTCGCCCGGCCGTCATTACGCAGCTCACCGCACACGGACGACCGCGACAAGCAGCTGCTGCTAGCCCGCGCGTGCCTGCTGCGTCGCAGGTGTTACGTCATCACGTAAGGTTCTCAGGAACGGCCTCCAGGGGGCGGTGCTAATCCTGCACGGGGTTCACTCAAGTAAATGTAAGAAGAAATGTGTATCTAGTGTGAGAAATGTCTTCTTGCAATTACTTGAGTGAACTCCACCATGCCCCCTCAAACTGCTACGGTTAGGATGTCTTATCACTCCATTTTATAAAATATTCAGATTTTGTTTCAAGTGTACGGTGTGTTTCTCACCACCGTGGCCCCTCATATGACATGCTCACTTAAGTTCTAACCTTTACTCATCAAAAGCTTCATCAGCTGCTGCGTGATAGAACATCAGGCATTTTTGTTGAGAGATGAATTAAGATAGGGATGTGATATTGGTTCCGGGATGATATAATAAACAATGAGATAATATTCAACAGTAAAGTAAAATGTATAGTCAACTCATCACCACATACTGGTGCTTTTGTAGTTCCCCCGAAGTTGAGGTTGCCGACTCTTCGGCTCTTTCCAAATGTTTTTTTTTTCTTCTATTTCAATCACTCCTTATAATGACAATGATTCATGAAATTCCATGAGGTCTTGGCGAGCTCACAGAAGGAAGGGGCAAAATGCCGCTGTTGCTTGGCCCACGTGTCCTTAATTCATGTATCAAAACAGCATTCAATCTATGACATTATTCTTTGGCACTCAAATACCTATGAGATGCTTCAGTTGCATCCAGCTCCCACATGTATCTGTGGAGATAAAGAGGTACCACCGCTATATATAGAAGGTTCTTTATCTGGTGGGGCAGCGTGGAGCAGAAGAATGCTCTCACATACCTCCAGCTTTTATATAACCTCACATATTATTCATCCCCCTTTGACCTGTGGGTCATTATTCCTCAACCTGAATCAGATTGTTCCTTTAAAGCTCACAAAAACACGAACGCTGTGACCATCTTTGGGAATGATGTGGCATCAACAAATAATCTGTCAAATGTGTGTATCATTCCTGCATTACCTCATTAATATATAGAAAAGTGGGTGGCACAAATATGGACCTCCTCTTTGCTGTCTCACGGCTAAGGGCTCATTAATGACTCTCTTGCTCACCATAACCCTAAAAGGAGACAGCCGGGCCAATCAGGTGGGAGCACTGACACCACATGCCTCCCAGACAGCCAGATCCCACACAGAGCCGGCTGGCGTTACCATCAGCTGTTCCACAAGTCCAGGAAGCTCAGTGCACATACCAGCAGCACGGTTCACAGGCATTCGCAATGTTTTCATCTCCTTAACAAGACACGAGTGACGCCGTCCCGACCGGGTCGTCATAGTTGGTCCCTTGAGCGTATTAAAGCGTCTGAGAGATATGTTTGTTGATCGTACGTCACCCATGAGATTAACAGAAATCATAGTATTTCAAAGCTCTGATTGGAAGAAATTCAAAGTGTCTTAATTTATGGTTGCAGGGCTAAAGAAAAGTTACTGCAACACCCATGCGAGAGTGTTTTAAGACGTAAAGTTACATGTGTCATAAAGTCAATGAGAGATACATTCATCATAAAAAAGGCAGATTACTTTTTATCTTCCTTTAAGAAATGAACTGCAATAACGTACATATTGTTCTCTTGTTTAAATGATACAATAATCCCAATAATATCCCATTAAGCATTGCACAAAGTTCATAACGTTTCATTCTCAACCACCCCTTTCTTATCACTGTGTCAGAGTGTCTGGGAAGTCCCATCCATGTATGTGAAACCCACTTTCGTGTGGCTCGTTGATTTTTGAAGGCAGCTCTTATTTGGACTTCTGTGAACCCCCGGCCCCGCCCCTGGTCCCTAGAACCAGTCTGGGTCTTATTTAAGGGGCTCTTGCCTCCCTCGGTCTTTGTACCAGTGGAAGCATCCGCCTACCAGTGCACCTTGGTGAGTCCATTCACGACTTGTTCATCTGAATTGCTTTTAACTTTTGTGTCATTTGGGAGATTTGTTTCTTCATAGTTAATGTGTCTTTTAAACTAATGAGGCTTAAACAAATGAAAGGATGATGTAACTTCATGGCTTTCACGTTTATAATGACTAACTGGACACGAATGCTTCAGTTACAACTGGACTTACTGGTTATGTTATGTTGACTGCCATAGGACATTGTAATTAGCCTTATTAGTGATGATTTTCTGCGACTAACACTTCATACTAGAGAACGTTTCTGTGGAACGGTGTGGATGGAATCAAAGACGTCATAGTATAACTTGGACCAGCACATAAAAGATGTGGAGAAGTCTGCCGTAACCGCGCGGGCTCTAATGAATGAAGCCAAACGGCAGCTGGGGCACGGAGCCATGTAGTAAAACTAAAGTGCCACGGTGTGCAGACGGATGTGTGCTGGCACGGCTCTCAGACAAGATCCGAGATGCGAGTGTCATTTGTTTCACCCTGTTGAGCACAGCGTGAGTACTGAGCTTAAAATAGATATTCAGCTTTCCCCGTTATCCCCTTTTTTGGTGCTACCTCAGCAGCTCTGAGATGTCCCAGGAACAATCACGGCGGCGGTGATATGGTATCAGCAGTTGTGCAGCACGTTTGGCACCAAAATAGCACGCACCTCAGGCACGTCTAATTAGCTCTCTATAAAAAGGACCCATTGAGATGGGCTGTGTTTGTGTTTCCAACTTCAGCAGCTACGAGAGCAGGTCTTCAAAGAGCCACTGCATCACGGCAAATGCTTCTATTAATTAAACGAGTCTATGGTCTAGTCACTTCATCACAAAATGATCCGGCCATGAAGTGTCTGTGGTTGTTCAATTATAACAGCTATGTGTTCTATGACAGGCAGCTTAGACAGCTGTTTCTGAATCTCATCCTAAACCTCCTGCTGTCCCCACACTCACTTCAAATGTTAGACCGCCCCGGTGAAGCCTGATCATGTGTGACGACGAAGAGACTACTGCCCTCGTGTGCGACAATGGCTCTGGCTTGGTCAAGGCTGGATTTGCAGGGGATGACGCTCCCCGCGCTGTCTTCCCCTCCATCGTCGGAAGGCCCCGACACCAGGTGAGCTAAACAAAAGACATCTTTAAAAAAAACGAAGTTACAGAGGTATAAGAAAGAGTCTTATGTTCCTCTCGTGCTTCTCCTCTCAGGGCGTGATGGTGGGTATGGGTCAGAAGGACAGCTACGTAGGTGATGAGGCCCAGAGCAAGAGGGGTATCCTGACCCTGAAGTACCCCATCGAGCACGGCATCATCACTAACTGGGATGATATGGAGAAGGTGCGTGTTGACGGTGACCTGTTTACGTTGAGGATCCCCAGCCGTCGTAAAAGCCGCTTGTACACAGAGGACCTGGTTGTTGTTTATTCAGTTGCGTTGTTCCGCTCCTGACATCAGCTGCTGTCTCTCTCCCCTGCGGCAGATCTGGCACCACACCTTTTACAACGAGCTGCGTGTGGCCCCCGAGGAGCACCCCACCCTGCTCACCGAGGCCCCCCTCAACCCCAAAGCCAACAGGGAGAAGATGACCCAGGTACTTTACGACCACTGCCCCTACGATCCGCTTCGACGTATTTTTTCTCCTGGGTTGAGAAAAAACGTTCCGTTTGTTTTTTCTCGCAGATCATGTTTGAGACCTTCAACGTTCCCGCCATGTACGTGGCCATCCAAGCTGTCCTGTCCCTGTACGCCTCTGGCCGTACCACCGGTAAGTGACCCGCCGCTTTTAGCGAATGGACCCGTGTCTGGTCTGTAGTCGGTTAAGCAACGCGCTAAAAGAAGAAGAGGTTGTGGCGCAAAGGCAGAAACCGTTGTACACTTAGACTCTGAGGCCGGATAGATTCCTGCCTCATGGTCGAGGCCTAGGTGCTTAACACCTCTCTCGTCAGCAGCGCTGCATAGTTCATGACGCGTGACATACTTGAATGGGACGGACCTCAGCAGGCACGCGTTGCTGACAGACCGTGGTCCTTTTCTGCTCACCGAAGGTATCGTGCTGGACTCCGGTGATGGTGTGACCCACAATGTACCCATCTATGAGGGTTACGCTCTGCCACACGCCATCATGCGTCTGGACCTGGCCGGTCGCGACCTGACTGACTACCTGATGAAGATCCTGACTGAGCGTGGCTACTCTTTTGTCACGACCGGTAGGTCCTTGCCATCGCGGTTAGTACGGTACGTTTAATGAGGGGGAAGCGCGAGACCGGTTTCTCAAGACTCAAACTTTTTTGCTCCGTAGCTGAGCGTGAGATTGTGCGTGACATCAAGGAGAAGCTGTGCTACGTGGCTCTTGACTTTGAGAACGAGATGGCCACCGCTGCCTCCTCCTCCTCCCTGGAAAAGAGCTACGAGCTGCCCGACGGTCAGGTGATCACCATCGGTAACGAGCGTTTCCGTTGCCCAGAGACCCTCTTCCAGCCTTCATTCATAGGTAAGCGATTGGTCGCACTGTTCGTGTTGTGGATAGTTCTGATGTACACTGTTTTCTCGGCGCTAAACTCACTGTCATGGTTTCTACCAGGAATGGAGTCCGCTGGTATCCATGAGACCGCCTACAACAGCATCATGAAATGTGACATCGACATCCGTAAGGACCTGTACGCCAACAATGTGCTGTCCGGTGGTACCACCATGTACCCTGGTATTGCTGACCGCATGCAGAAGGAGATTACAGCTCTGGCCCCAAGCACCATGAAGATCAAGGTGAGAGAACTAAAAAGGTTTTAAGTCATTACGTTCAATCACAAACCAAATTTAAGACTCATTAAAACCTAAATGCGTCTACGCCTTGCTTAGATCATCGCTCCACCTGAAAGGAAGTACTCCGTCTGGATCGGCGGCTCCATCCTGGCCTCCCTGTCTACCTTCCAGCAGATGTGGATCAGCAAGCAGGAGTATGACGAGGCCGGTCCCTCCATTGTCCACAGGAAATGCTTCTAAACACACAACCAACCTCCTTTCGACCATGCATTTGTACGTTTGTCTCCTGTATATATATGTGTTTGTTCTATTGTAATAAAAATAAGCCACGGTGAGAGTGTCTCCTCTATTGTGTTTGCTTCCAGCAACATACACATAATGTGGGATCTCTGCACACACCTCATATTAGTGTGTCCTATGCCAGTCCATCTTCTCTCACATGCCTTTACGGAGATGCTTCCCCTGGTGGTGGAATATCAAATTTCACTTTTACTTGAGATAACTCACAGTTTACTTATCCATTTTATATCAAGTTATTTATTTGTTACATAATAATACCAAGATCTAGTGAAGGGCATACGTTAGGGTAAGTTCCATTACACAGATTTCCACAGATGTTTCAGTCCTCTCATTATTTTTTAGGTTGTCTCATGCTAAATATTGTTTTCAGAAGCATTATCATATGGTGTACACAGAGGGTAAATACAACTGCTTATTTCATAAATACACAAAAAAGAGTTCACCCGCTGCTACATAAATATATATGGGCATTGCCAGTTACAAACGTGGATGTGGTTAAAATGTGAATAATTTGACAGTAATACGTCTTCCAATCTTCCATTTAAAAGATGCGACTGCTTTGAGTTACAGAGTCAGCCGGTACACATATTGCGTCCACTTTAACTGGGCAAAAACAAACTGCTCCGCCCAACGATGCGACCGTGGTTTATAAAACAAGCGCCCCGCAGAATGTTATTCGAACCGCTACCGACCAATCACAGCACGGAGCGCAGGGAGCGCAGCCGTTTGAATGCTTTGCGGAAACAACCGACCCGAGCAGCGGACTCAGCCACAAGGCAGCTGGCTAGCTAACGAAGTAAATCCATGCAGTTCATACAGATGACCCGTTGAGTTGAGGGATCCGCCGATTGTAAGTCGTGTGACATCAATACTCTTATTTATTCTTTCTTTTTGTATGTGCTTTGTTTATGCGACGCGCTATCCTCGCCGGCTAACGTCAGGGAGCTAACTTAACCGCATCGTAACCGAAGCACGGAGCTAGCCGACAAATAGATCCTCCACAAAGTCATTCGTGCCGTAACATCCTCTTGGGACTTTACCCCCCTCTGTTTTTCATACAGTTGGAGGTCACAGTGGATACACTGTTTTCCGGGGGACCGAACGTCTATCGAGCAGCACACAGGCGAGGATGACTTGGATGTTCGGAGAAAGTCAGAAAGTCTGAACCGATCCCTCCGCGAACCACCGCTCGCCTGCTTCCCGGTCAGCAGCGCGCGATGAAGGACACGGAGAAGACCGTGATGCGTCTGGTGGCGGTGCAACACCTCCGAGCCGCGTACGGGATCAAGACAAAGAACTGGAACAAAAACAAGGCGGCCAGCTGCAAGACAGCAGCCGGCTCCTCGGTAAGGAGGCTCTCGTTTCACTTGCCACGTCTAACACGACATACGGTGGCAGTGTTTTCTTATGAATCTGATATTTGGATTTTTTGGGGACGTTTTGGCAGAAATATAACATGCCAGTCTTAACTTAATTGCAGCTGATCTGATGACTCTGAAGGTCCTGTTTTTCTTCTTGCATAATGGCTCACATGGTGACTTTTCAGAGGAACACTGAACTTCTGTTTTCGTGTATTTTGAAGGAACTGCCCAGAAATGTGGTAACACGAAACACATGAGCTTTACCTCTAAAACCCATGAGGAAAAAAAATCTAGACTTGTGTCTGAGAATAAAGGTTTCAACTTATCAGCTGATGTCTGTTTTCATAATGAGCTCTATTGCCCATGTCAGGAATTAAGAAACATTTATTGCCATAACATGTCAGACATACACGGAATTTGACTTGCCGGTTGGTGCAGACAGTACCACAATGGACGAATAAAATAAAAAATAATGCTATGGGTAGTAGTAGTAGTATACTCATGTGTACGTCTTAGTACAAGGAATATGACTTCTTGCCGCTCTAAACCACCACCACACAGATGAACAAGTAGAACGGATGCAAGCATAATCCGTATGAACGAGCTACGTCGTTTTGCCGTTCCTGTTTCAAATCGAAAAAGTCTTGAGTAACTTGTTATTTTGATTGTTCCCTCAGACAAAGGTTTTTGGGGTATCGCTGGAGACCTTACCATATTACAACATGGAATGTGGCAGCGTGCCCAGGCAAGTGGAAATGCGTATTTAGTTGTGTCTGGTCCCGTCTGGTACATTTATACTGACTAATGATGCCTTCTTAGCTTCCTGGTGGACGCGTGCATGATGCTGCAGGCGTACGTCGACACCGAGGGCCTGTTCAGGAAATCTGGCTCCGTCGTTCGCCTGAAAGCCCTGCGGGTGAGTCATCGACCCGGGGGGGGGGGAGGGGCGTGACCTCGTATCCACTAAGGCACCTTCACCCTGAGGGAGAGCTTTGAAACAACATCATTTATTCTTTTTTTTTTTTTGTCCCCCAGGCTAAACTGGACGCGGGCGAGGAATGCCTGTCCGCTGCACTTCCCTGCGACGTGGCCGGCCTGGTCAAGCAGTTCTTCAGGGAGCTGCCGGAGCCGGTGCTGCCGACGGAGCTGCAGGAGGCCTTCCTGAAGGCCCAGCAGCTCCCCGCCGAGGAGGACCGGAGCGCCGCCACCATGCTGCTCTCCTGCGTTCTACCCGACAGGAACCTGAGCGTCCTGCGTCACTTTTTCGACTTCCTGCAAAATGTGTCTAAGAGGTGCTAGAACCGCGTTTTTAAGTGGACTGCGTTCGTATCCAACGACCAGACCCCTCTATTTAAATATCTTTTTCATAGACATTAAACGGCTTTCCTTCGCTTTCTCGGCTCGATCGCAGGAGTGCCGAGAACAAGATGGACAGCAGTAACTTGTCTGTGATCTTGGCTCCCAACATCCTCCACGCTGGAGACGGTACGGAGAAGATGAACGCCAACACGGAGAAGCGCCTCAAGCTGCAGGCCGCCATTTTGCACTGTTTCATAGAGAATGCCCACAACTTTGGTAGGACTCGATGCGTCTCGCCCGCCGGTCCTCTTGCGCGCCGCCGTAAAAGCGCTTCGGCTCTGAACGCGTTGCCGTGTCTCTCGTCTCACAGGCGTCTTGCCCCAGTTTCTTCTGGAGAAAGTTCCAGCCATGATGGGCTGCGAAGCCGGGGTCATGTCCCCTGCCGATGGACTCGAGGAGCTGGACCTAAACTCCGGGATGAAGAAGAGGTCCAGGCGCAGCTTCGGAGGTGAGAGTCTTATCTGCACGGATTTCATTCAGGTCTCCGAATGGCCAGATACATTCCAGGTGCTCCGGTGCAACCATCCTGGAAAGATGCAAAGACTTTAAAACAGACATTTTTAAGTGCAATGCATCAGTGACTAAACCCATCATTTCACTTTGAAGCCGGTCATTAAATACTGTTTATATGCTTGGATTTGTCTCACGTTTCAGAAATGGTCAATGGTGCCCTGAATAAGATAAAAGCTAGTAGAACCCCCACAAATGCCACCCAGTCAGAAAGTCTCGGTAGGTACTGAGGTCAGGCAAAATCCCGTGGCCTGTCGCAGAGCATGATGATTCTGCAGTGATCCCTCCGCTTTGCTGCGCTTTCTGAAAACTGATTCAAATTTGCCTTGATGTTAAACAATTAGTCATGTGACTGTGTGTGAGTGACGCTTCGCTTCAGACATTTTTCTTTGCCCTTTGGATGAATCGCCTTTCACTTTGCAGTCGAGACCTGTCGATTCTTTCAAGTTTTGGAATGATTTTACGTGCATTAAAAAGAGAAATCGTATATGAAAAAAAAACATTGGAGATACATTTAAGATATCAACTCTGTTTTTTTTGTTTTGCCAGTGTTTTCCTCGGCAACTCCCGTGATCGCGACACCGACCTCAAAGCGGAAACTTCCCTCTGAATACGCTCCCTCTTTTGGGTTCTCGAACAAGAAACTGCGATCTGTCAAAAAGACCCTCGGGATCGAATTGCTTCCCAACACTTTGTTCAGCGGGGCGTCCACTCCTGGATCGGGTATTGATCGCTGGTTCTTTGATCACATCAACTATGCTGCTGTGTCTAAAGCTTGTGGTTAATCCTACAACCCCCCCCCCCTTCCCCTCCCTCTCTTTTTCTATCTAGCTTTAAGCGCTTCAGGGGTCTTGGACTCCTCCCACACCGCCGTGTCCCCAGCAGGGAAGTCGAGGAGGCAGTCGTCCGTCTCTGCGAGGAGGAAGAGCCGACGGATCAGCAGCAGACAGGCGCTCAACAGGTACGCCGGGCCGGGCGGGTTATTTGTACACTTTCAGAACGTAGTAATACCGAGATTCCCAGTAAATGTACGGGAATAAAAGGGTAAAACGGTCCTCACGGCGGTAAAGCTTTACTCCGAGCGCTACATGCCGTTCTCAGTTTTTTTGTACTGATGCTGGTTTGAATGTATAACTCTTTCAGGGTCGAGTCTGGAAGATCTGGATGCTTTTCTCCGAAAGTCAGCAAAAAAGAGGCGCCGCGCAAATCCCTGCGCTCGCGATTCAGCCTGGGGAAGAGCAGCAAGGAGGCTGTAAGTGTGGTCGCTCCACAGATTTCACAGTAGTCCGTGTCATTTAGGCCCATGCAGCAATTCACTGTATTAAAGTCAAGTAACGTTTGCACATAGTTTTTTTAATTTTTTTTTATGGGGTAAATTGTTGCACAATATCACACATTTAAAGTAGTCATGCACGGTTTTTAGAAGGAATAAGGATTATTTTTCCCCATTTTGTAACATCGCTTAATTATTTGTATGGTACAAAGTCGTAGCTCATGTCAGGCACTCGGGAGAGAGATTGTCATTATATGCTAATATAGTGTGTGTGTGTCTGTGTATATAATATTTGTAAATCATAATATATGTTAAACTTGGGGGAGCTGGTAAAGGTTTACAGTGCGTAACCTTCTACAGTTTATGTGTATTCTTGACTTAATAAAAAGTTGATGACGGACAAATCTGGTTTCTTCTGAGTGACGTCTCTCATCCTCTGAAGAACTAACTCAACAATCACTGAATTAATCTATTAATGCTACATTTTGGGTGACACCTGTGGACTTTTTTTTTTAACAAAATAATACACTAAAGCCTCCTCTTGCCTGAAGTTTCTTCCATCTTTCATTTCTCATTTCATGCTGCTGATAAAAGGGATCCGAGTCCATCGGCTGGCGACTCGCCACTCAGGAGAGCACCACCAGTTTTTGTTTCACCAAAGAGACGCGGTTCAGTCCTTCGGTTCTGCCTCGAAAAGCAGAACCCAGAAGTGAGTACCGGGTGGATTATTATTATTTAAATATTCTTGTGACATATTGCATATGTAGTCTTTTGAGTTCCAACCGCCTCTAATATCACGCGTTGTCTTACAGGCACCAAGTACGTCAGCAAGTCCGAGGACAACCTGCTGACCCCCCGCTGTGACTCAAGGGCCCACCGGACCCCGTGGAGCGGGGTGGCTCCTGCAGGAGGAGCCCCGGCTTTCGGCGGGGGGTCTTTCACGGACACCCCGACTTTACCCACTAACACGTGCTCAATGAGCAACTACCAGTCCGAGCCGACCGTCGCCGTGTCAAAGCGCCCGCCGGCGCCGCCCAGCTTCCCCAAGAAGCTCTGCTGTGCTTCCAGTGCCGAGAGCCTGGGGGGCGAGACCCCCGAGGCCCCGAGACAAACCGGCCCCGCCCTCCTGACAGTAAATCGGACCTTCACGGAGTCCGGCAGCGACCTCCGGACTGTCCCACCGGGCGACGTCCCGCTCCCCCCGCCGGTGACCCCCGCGGCCCGAGGTCAGCCGGGCTTCATCCCTCAGCAGCGCCCTGCGGCCGACGAGCAGAACGTCACCTTCGGCCAGATGGAAATTGCCGCTCTATCGCCTCTGCACATTGACAGCGTGGTTTTTGAGCTCGGCGCGTACCGCAGCGACGGGGGCTCGGCCTGCGCCGCCGCCGACGGCAGCCGCGAGGGCTCGGCGCTGCTGGCGGCCTGCGAGACGGAGCAGGGGAACTGCAGCAGGCTGATAGACGCCCTGGACATCCAGAGTCCGGCTCACTTCCAGCGGGGCGTCTCCCGCGGGCTGCAGTCCACGCCGTACAAGCCGGGCCTCGACCTCGGCGAGGAGTTCGGCACGCCCCCGAAGGGCGGCGGAGAGTCTCCCCCGAAGGGCGACGGCCGAGAGCCGCTGTCCCCGCGCAGCCTGGAGACGGAGAAGCGCCGCGTGGCCGACCACATCCATCACTTCAACAAGCTCACCCTCCTTTCCCCCAAAGGCCGCCTGGCCGGACACGCGCGGTCGCCGCTCAAGTTCCAGCGCACGCCGGTGCGTCAGACCGTCCGCCGGATGAACTCTCTCCTGGGGGAGGGCAGCAGGCCGCCCAGAAACGCGGCGGTGGTGAAGGCGGCGGCGAGCCTGGAGAGCGGCCTCTCCCCTCGGCGGCCGCCGCCCCCGCCGCGCCGGGGAGAGGCCCCCGCGGGGCCCGGCAAGGGAGCGCCGCCGGTCCCGCCCAAAAAGCCGAGCACCCGCCGGCCCAACGCCGCCGCTCTGGCCGACATGACCAACAAGGTCCAACCAAAGACCAAAGCGGACGTCGCTGTGGCCGCTCCATCGGGAGGCCGGAAGCCGGCGGCGGCGGCGGCGCAGCAGCTGGTGGAGAAGGACATGAGCCATTACAGAGGTTCCCCCCGAAACCCGCTCCACCAGGTGCAGCTGCTGTCCGCCACCAAGCCGGTCGATTTATAGCCTCACATCTTTTTGCCTTTCGGGGTTTGTCCTCCTCGCGCTGCAGGTGCCTGACATCTTATGTATTATCCAGACTTTCAGGGCTTTTAATTTATTTTATTTTTTAGCTACGAGAGGCGCCGTGTTTGTGTCGCGTTGGGGTCTTAGTGGGAGATGCCTGGAGTTTGTTTTACTTTAGTAAAACAAGTCATGGAGTTAAATGCGGAGTAGTGTTTAGACTGTAGTGTGCCAGTCAGATTATGTGAAATGAGATCGATGGGAAGTCTTGTGCTTTTATTTATGCGCTTTTTAAAAAAATCTAATCCTTAGTTAGATGCCCTTTAAAAAAAATAATAATACTGAAGTTGAAGCTGTTTCATAACTACTCAATATTTGTTTACAATATACGGTCTCTCGTCGCGAGAAGAAAGAAGAAATGCACCTTTTTCTTAGTGGTAAAAAAAAGCCAAGCAGTATTGATTCCATCGTCTGTGTATCGCAGTCTGTTCCTTCGCCATGTGAACTGCTTCAGACAAATAAACTCAAACGGCCTTTACTTCTCTGTCCAGTGGTTCTTGTGGTTTGCATGATGAGTCAGTACCTGCGTGGAGCCACGTGGGGGCGCAGGACCACCGCGCACACGTCCAGTGTTCATATCGTAACCAACCGCCACTGCATCTTAATGCAACGCTGTTCGCAACCAATTCGCTTCTGGTTTATTTTGACTATAAAAAAACTCAAAATAACAATCAAACTGAGGCATTTCTGAAGAATCTGAGGAGGCAGTGAGGGGCTTTTTAGATGTATCCTCCATTGGGGGGGGGGGGGGCGAGCATACTGGACAACTGCGATCGAGTTGATGGTCCTTCCTCAGCAGGACACTATGAGAAGCCCTTAGTTCATGTAGGGACTTCGGTCATTAACCTTTCACGAATACCTACCGAGTAATGCTCCTCTTTAACATCTGTTACTCAAACAATAACTAACAAATCATCTACATTAATAACGGACTAAACGCAAAGAACAGCATGCGTCTCAAAGTGGCCTCAACTACAATAATCTAAGTTCATTCTTCAATGACATTAGTCTTTATTATTCACCGTCGTGAGGCTTATTAACGGCGTTCACTTGGGGCTCGTTTGCATTTAGTTTTAATTGGCGCATGCGCAGATGCACAATGAGACAACGTACAGGCGTTCTTTTTGTAATGGGAGGACCACAGGCATTTTATTCATGTATATAAAAGCTCTATTTTGAGGATGCACGGGTGTGTGTTGCAATTGAGTACATAAAGTTGAGATCACCATCGTGTTCCACCAGTTTCCCCTCATCCAAGTGCGCGTAAACCTGAAGCCTGCCGTTCGGTTCGTCTCCCCTCCTCCTCCACCTCCTCCCCCCACCTTGCCTCGCTGTTCCCGGGTTGTCTGTTGTCTTGAAGTGGGTTCGGGGAAGTGTTGAGGGGGGCGGATAGTTTTCATTTTCTCCACATCGGGTTCAGCCAATAATGTCGAAGGGAACTGTTGTGCACATCTCAGCTGGCAGACATTTAAAAAGGGAGACAGTCCGGCGCTGGAGCAATTTGTATTAACCCCCCCCGCCCCCCGGACCCCGTCTATGTCTATGGAGCGGTTAGTCTCCCACCCATCCACATCCCCAGCGGCGAACGGTCGGCAGCAGTAGACGTCGATCACTTCGGAAGGTGCCGTTGGAGGACTGACGGGATCGTAACAACGCGCGCGCAGCCTCAAACAGGTGAGTGACTTTTAGACCAAAACATCCGCACACATCGTCTTCCGATATTTACATTTATGCGCCGTTTGGTCTGTATAAAAGTCCCCGGACTGGCGCGCGTTGTCAAATTGTGTGGTTTGAAACGGTGCTGTTTAAAATAAATACGGACGTTTGCTTTGGCTAAATCTGGACAGCAGGTTATGTTTAGTGACAGGATCGTTTTTATTTCTCAATGTTTAGACAGATGTAATTACAAAAATGTGGCCACGTTGGTTTTATACTCCAGTGTCACTTCGCAGTGTTTTTTAAAGCGCTTTTGTACCGGTGCGTTTTTACGCAGCGTAAAAGCTTCTGGCAGCTGCGCGTAAAACGGTGTTGGATCATTGTACTTCTCTCCCCGCAGGATGGCCGGCTCCACGCGTATCTTCTGCATCTTCTGCAGCGTGCTCTTCGCCGTGGGGTTGCTCTCCTTGCCCGTGGATTCCAAGAGAAACCGAGGTTCACAGGGTGCCATTCCCCACCCCGACAAAACCAACCCTAACGAATCTGAGCAGCAACCGCAGACTCCGCAGGCGGGCCCCGGGCCCCGGCAGAGGCAGGGCTCATCCTCACCGGCCGACGAGGTGCTGGAGTCCAGCCAGGAAGCTTTACACGTGACGGAGCGCCAGTATTTGAAACGGGACTGGTGCAAGACGCAGCCGCTGAAGCAGACCATCCACGAGGAGGGCTGCGTCAGCCGCACCATCATCAACCGCTTTTGTTACGGACAGTGCAACTCCTTCTACATCCCCCGGCACATCCGCCGGGAGGAGGGGGCCTTCCAGTCCTGCTCGTTTTGCAAGCCGAAGCGTTTTACCACCATGACTTTCACGTTGAACTGCCCGGATCAGCAGCCACCCACCAAGAAGAAACGCATCCAGCGCGTCAAACAGTGCCGTTGCATTTCCATAGACCTGGACTGAAGAGATGCGTTGTGTGTGTGCGCGCGCGCGTTGTTCTGGTTCATCGCAGACAACAAATGCCCGTCTCCATCTCGAAGGCGTCTTACACGTCGGCTACAAAGACTCCGTTCTTGCACAATGTGAACAAACATTGACTGGCATTTATAAACCAACGATGAAATGCAAAGAAACGTTTTGCTTCTCACCATTTAGCCAAGTTTGAAAGCAAGCATCACTGCACGGGAACGCGGGCTTGGAATGGGCACGTTTTTACGCACGGCTTCGTCACCCGGGAGGACTGCATACCTCCGGCTTATTTAATACACCGAGACCCTTATTGTGACAGGAAAACATTAGTCACTCCTTTGTATTTTTGTGTGCCTGTGATTGTTTAACTGGACGTTTCCACTGTGTGGACCACGAGGAATGAGTGGCGGTATTTGTAAATTAAAAAATTCGATTTTATTTCGATTCTTTCACGGTGAATTGATTTCTGTGAATTTCGAGTAGTTCATTTGTTTTGAGATGGATGCCTATAAATTTGTAGAGGCCTTTTCTTTTAGTTAAAACGGACAATGTACAGTGATTAAATAGTTGTAATATGTACAGCCATCTAATGTAACCGGTTTGTTTATTCCTTAGATTAAATTATCCCTGAAAACTTCAAATAAATGGATGTAGTAGAAATATTGTCTGACTGTACGTCTTATTGGAACGTGTTAAACAACCTTCCTGCGTGGATGAGAGGATGCGGGTACCAGTGATTCACACGGCTCGCAAATCTAACGCAGGAGCACGTGGTGTTCGCGTCCATCTGTCCCGGGGGGATTTCTGCAATGAGCAGGGTCGTCTTTGCGTTTGGATGAACATTGGTTCCGTGTCACCTCGCAATGACTGTAAAAAACGGGTCATAAATTCCCAGTGACAGTTGGAATTTTAGAGCTACAACAAATAGGCTAAAACACTGAAATGTCCTTCTTAAAATAAAAGTTCGTCATTTGCCAAAATTCCCTGTGTAAATATTACAAACCACAATATTTGACAAGTCTTCCAGGAACCAGAGGATGACTTCATTCTGACCCAATAAGGCGGATTTATAAGTAATCAAACCCGTTTCATATTTATACCATTTACTAGGCTGAATGCCTAAAGAACATTTAGAGATACTTTCTATTTGTTCCATATCGAGTAGTTTATTCTTGAAATTTAAAACAATTCCGTTAAATGACAAATCACCTATTTGAGAGCTACTGAAGGTCACATGAACCGACATAAAGGCTACAGCACTTCCTCTGTCAGTATCGGCTCTATTTTGCTTTTCAAACCATCTGAAGCAAAACAGTTGATGAAAGATCTAGATTCTTGTTTTACAAAATAAATGCCCAAAAGGGTAAAAAAAGAAAAAAGAAAAAAAAAGAAAAACAAAGCCATTCAAGGTGCCGTTTTTATGTATATGGAAGTCTATCCGAGGTATAACAACTCACATGGCTTCAGGTGATATAATTAAATATTCTTAAAAACCAAAATACAACCCGTGTCTCTCTAAAACTTAAAAGCACGTTGTATCCATGAGAAAATATATCCTTTATCTGACTGACCGATCGGGTGGCTTCTCAGTCTCACAACTCAAATACAAATGCATCCTAAAAAAAAAAGGAGCAAAGTTGATGCTTTTTGGCAGAAAATAAATCGTTCTTTACATAAATAGACTTTTCTTGATTCATACAGGAGCGTGGTTACATCTTACATTTGCAAAAATAAAATATACACTTTAATACACTCACTTTCTCCTTCACTTAAAAAAATAAAACAAAAATCGGGTGGGACGTCATCATGAAGCAGTGCGATTCAGAACGCTTCTAATGGCCATATACTCTTGCATAAGAAAAGAGGTGCAGCGGGATGCGATGTGGCTAAAACACGTGCAGGCGGTTAACGCGGCTTAACGTGGGAGCGCGGCACCAACGTACCGATGCTGCAAGCAGTAAAGTGCTCTGAGGAGTGCTGGACACGATGTGATGGGGGATTAACAATTAAGGAACATTTGGAATTTTAGGAGGGGGGGGGGGGGGGTGAGTGCACGGCCAACACGATGATTTGAAGTTGTGTGTGTGTGTGTGTGTCTGCTGTTCTGTGGCCGTCACCCAGCGCTACACAACCCGGTGAAACCTAACAAGCTCTTCACGCACTCCAGGTCTCAATCTGCGGCGCAGCTCGTTCATCACACTTCTCCGAGCCGCTCGGTTCTACAGCGTGACGCGTTTACAAGACCCGTGATGAGCCGCGACCAATGAAAAGCTGTTGGCTACACAGCAAAAAAACAAAAAAACAAAACACACACACACACACACACTAGCAACTGCTTCTTATTTTGTTCTTTTGCGCTTCCAGAGAGATTAGTCCTGCGGACGGGGATTTCTTTCTCTTCTGTCCACATAACAGCGGCGGCTGGAGGAGGATTGTCACTCTGCCGTTGGGAAAGAACTTGATTCTCAGCTCTTGCAGATCCAGAAGGACGCCGCCCTCCCCTCCCCTCCCCTCCTCTCCTGGATGTGTCGTCTGTGGCGAATCCCGCTGACCCCTGGAGACCTTTCACAAGCGGGGCACTCGGAGGCCGTGCCCCCGCCGGATGAAAGAGATCAACCTTTGGCCTCTAAGAATCCCATCACTTCGGCCGTGTCAACCATGCATCCTCAGCGGAGGCCCAGCTCCTCTCTGGAGAGGGTGGGGGAGGGGGGAGGGGGGTCCGGGAGTCCGTATACGGGCGGGTCAGTGCTGTTTTTTCCTCCGGCAGGTGGCAACGGCAGGAGATCTTCTCACCTGCGACGCTCCGTCACTCGTGTCTTCACTCAGCTAGAAGACACGCCTGCTTCCTTCTGCCGCAGCCTCTCTTTCTGTTGACAGACGGAAAGACGGTGGTGGGTCTATTTCAGCGCAGACACGAGAAAGGGCGGCTTCCCGCAGATCCCTTCTTACCAGGCTGTTGGCGTTGATCTTCTTGGTTTCGACTCGCTTCTCGGCTGTGATCTTCTTGATGTTTTCTTGAGCCTCCTTCAACCTATGAGAAAAAAAACGAGAAAAAAAAAAAAAAACACACTGAACTTTGGAACAAAATCATGAAACTTGCGTAACTTACAAAAGCGAAAGTCAGCAGCTTCTCATCGCTGCGTCTTTGTGAAGTTGTCTGTGAGGAAGACCTTCATCTTACTGGGCCACCTGGTGCCATTGGGCCGCGTGGACACAAACAACACGCTCTCGCTCCCTCCGGGCTGATGAGATAATGAGGAGGCCTTTAAAAAACACTTAGGGCTTTTACGACCGTACAGCTAATTGTACATAAGCACAGTCAGCTGTGAGTAACGGGAGACACAACCAGCGGCTCGAACAACGAAGAGCGAGCTCACGGCCCCACGGCGGGGTGGGGGGGGGGGGGGGGGGGCGGAAGCGCCCTTACCTGAAAAAAAAAAAAAAACGGAACCCGCGGCACGGCGCTCAAAATGACCCCTGGGAGTAAAACGGGGCCTCTGCTCTCGGGGGGCCCCGTCGGGCCGAATGTCCAGCATCAATTCCCGTGTTTATCAGCTCCGCTAGTAAACCAAGCGCCCCCCAAGTAGGTTCTGTTGCGCCGCCCCCCCCCCTTCCGGACGCGACGCCTCAGGTCAGGAGAAACCTTCATAAATTAAGGCCCCGGTGCTCGGCCTGAGGGCTCCAGCGGGGCGGTTTGGCTCCCTCTTGGATAGCCCCCCCCCCCCCCCCCACTCTGCTCTAATTAAGCATCTGCACATCACCCTCGTACAATTAGAGCCAATTTGGCGTCACGTCTAGAGGTCGTCGTCCATCTATCAGAAGGTGTCGGAGACAAGAAGTCTGACCCCGGGATGAAATAGTTCAGGCTTAGCTCGGAAGCCAAGGTTGTGTTCTGACTCGAGGAATGACATACTTCACACCGGGCTTTACAAAGGATTACTTTGAGCATTGCACTTCATTAGGTTGGAGGACCACAGGCCGATGAAGAAAAAAAAGAAAAAAAGGGTTGGAGCGAATTTGTGAATGCTTAAGCTAATCCTTGACAGAGACACCAGACTTCAACCCACCTCTCCTTGGAGATGTTCTTGCTCTGTCGTGTCCAGGCGTTCTTGAAGTCATTGCAAAACTCGTACCAAAGCATGAAAACGAGACCCGGGGACACGTCCTTCTCCCCGGACTTTGGCTTGACCCCGTAGTAGCTCGCCATGTCCTGGAAACTGCATCGGAAGAACAGAACAAAACGTTCGTATAGTCAGACGCGTATAACGAAGATGTGTTCCAGCGAGCTGAAAAGCTAAGAAAATAATAAGACAGGAAGAGCACACAGGGGAAAAGGCTGGATGAGACAGAGCTGGACGGATCCTGTCCACCCTGCAGGGTCACGGGGGAGAGCCGGTAGCGGCGGCTCCGTTATCACCATCGGCTGTCGCAGCCTGCAGGGGGGAGGGGGGGGGCAGAGGAGACGCAGACCTGCAGAACAAGCAGCACACACACACACACGCGCACACGAACATGGAACGCACACATTCATCTCCGATACGTGAATATGATTTAAAAAATGAGCTCACAAAAAAAGAAGAAAAAACAAAACAAAACACGCACAGTAGAGACGCGTCAGATTTATGTGGATGAGAAGCTCGTGGACTTTAACCCGGACATGAAAGACATTTTCTAGCCGTGCCTGTCAGAGGGTTCGTATGAGGGGGGGGGTCTGTGATTCAGAGGAGGCTCTCCGTCCCATCCACACCCGGATAGGCTCTGACCTCCACGTGCTAGTGGGCGTTTTGCGACGCTAATCTAAGACACATTCACCTGGAGCGAAAGTCTGCAGACGGCTCGCTGAACGCCGAGTAAAAAAGGGAAGAAAAAATAAAAGGGGGGGGGGGGTTCCGCATTTCCCAGAGATGCGTCATTTCGCTGTGATGCTCCAAAAAAAACAAAGAAAAAGAAAGAAGAGCGCTGTAGATCATCGCGCACCCTACAGAAGAAACCCGAGGCTGCGAGGATGTTTAGATTGACCAAACAGACCTTCCGTCCCAGGTAGCTTTGTTGCAGCCGGGCCGGGTCTGGCAGGATGAACATGGTCTCTTCCCCCCCTCCCCCCATCAGCTCCTCTGCTGACCCCGGGGTCATCATGTCAAAGCACGCACAAATCAAGCAACGGCGCTTTTCCTTTTAACCTCCCGAAGCACATGCAACAAGCGGCGCAGCGGCTTCACTCAAAACAGATGAAAAGCGCACTCACACATGCCAGTGTACCTACGAAACAAACAAAATCACGCAGGCCTTTGTTCTTTTTGCGAGCGCGGAACAATTACACACAAACACACACTGCTGGTATACACGTTATGATGCCATTGCATGAGAGGGTTTACTGCAGCACCTCTAGCCGGCATTCCTCACTGACAGCTAGAGAGAGAAAAAAAGCCCTTACGAAACCATGAGCAGAACGGGAAATATCTGGACTCCGCATTCTTTTGTTTCCTCGGTAAAAAAGAATCACAGCAGTAAACTTCACGTCGTGGTGCTCAAAGCCCTTTTGCGCCATCGGCCGTCACACAGCACCCGGGCGGAGCAGCGAACATCTGTGACGCCATGGCTGCACGGTGACGCAGCGGGGCCAAAGGAAATGGAGCACGATGTGGCAGAAGGGGACTTAATGAGACGCGGCCGCGGGGACACAACCCAAAGAACGCCGACGTGAAGCGGACAAATCAACAAAGTGTGTGTTGAGGGAACTTTGCATCCATTTAAAAACGTAGAAACAAGTCTACAGTCCCTCTCCATATGTGATTCCGCCCTGTTGCTACGGCTAATGCTAATCCTGCCAATGCTAACGTGCTGGTGTCTAGTCACCGTGTACTAACACAGACTACAGCTTTGGACTTCCATTTGTTAAGAACTTCAAATGTCTTTTAAACGACGTCTTAACACAAGAGCATCGTTTGAATAAAACGGCAGAAATAATCGTGGGATTAATCGTCTTCCTGGTCGATGACAGGCGTCTAAACCCAAAGGCCGAGGTGTTGCGTAGCGCTTGTGATGCGTTTTTATTTTTGCTTTAAAAAGAAAAACACGACAATGTTGCGGCCGGCGCTTCTGTCGTGCGTGTTTTTGTGCGAGGACTCCTCCTTTAGCGCAGATGTGCGAGCCCACCCAGGGCCCAGCGAGCCCGCTGACGCCCATATTCATCAACGGCGTGTCACTTTTACGAGGTGGCTCTGTGGGAACCTGAGAAAGCCAAACCCCCCCAACCCCCCCCGAACCCCCACCCGCCTCCTGCTCTACCTAACCAGTTTGCCAGCCCCCCTCTTGAGATGAAAATAAAAAGGAAAACTCAATTTATCAGGCAAAGGTGCGTTCAGCCGCCGGGCCCTTTTGATCAATTTCACCCTCCGAGTTCAACGCCTTCGTCACGATAGTGTCACTCAAGCAAAAGAGGGCCCACGTGTGTCTGTGTGTGTGTGTCAGTCCAGTTCAGCGGGCAGATACCAGTACATGGCGAAGGGGCGGAGCCGAGAGACCAGGGCAGAGAGCGCGAGGCGCAGCAGCACGAAAACGGAGCCTTTTGGAAGCGTTCTCCGAGTTCTAGTAATTGCAGAAAGCAAAAGCATTTCTTGATTGTTTATAGTTTCCATTTTCCGGCGTCATTCACTTTGCGCTTACGTGATTTATTTTGGAAGAGGAAGAGGTTTGCGATATAAAGCAAACAATCCTGCTCTCTATCCAAACAAGGCAAAAATAATCTATTGGCCTTGTTTGTCGGCCCCACCATCTTTTTCCAATATGAAATGTTCCAGATATGATTTCGCTGGGAGAGCGAGCTCAGCGGCTGCCAGCGCGTCTTAAATCTCTCAGGAAACTCTTCTGCACAAAACACGGCTAAGAATACGATAAGAATGATAGGAACTGAAGGGGAGGAAGCACAGGGCGTTCAAGCTTCAAATACAGTACGCTGGTTGTTAATGCCTGTGTGTGTGTGTGTGTGTGTGTGTGTGTGTGTGTGTGTGTGTGTGTGTGTGTGTGTGTGTGTGTGTGTGTATCCACCGCCTTCTCGGCTAAGCATTTTACTAAGTATTAAGTACTAAGGCCTCAAAGTCAAAAATAGTTCAAATGCATATAAAACAGTGCTTAATCCTGCAAAATAAAATAGCCACAAATCACATCCAGCAGTCCCTCTGTTGTCAAAGTGTGTGTGCAGTTTCTCAGTATGATGCCATGAAGCCCCTTTGTGTTACCAGACACATTACGCGGCTAATTTGCACTGTGATGTGATGAATACTGTGCATCCAAACAGCCTTCAGCACTTTGAATGCCTCTCGGCTCGGGGTGGTTCAAGTTGGCGTCGTACCTTCTCTGTGCGGCATTGAGTCGATCCTCTTCGGCCGAATGCTCCTTTTGAGCTGGAAAACAAAAAGGAGGAAACGTTTTATTCACGTACATCTTGGTGCAGATTATTAGGGGTTTTGGTGACATAAACAACTGAACGTCTCCCCCAGGGCGACGCGGAGTAGCGGCCGCGGGAACGCCGGCGCGTCCAGAGGGGGGCGCTGTGTTCACAAGCCGTCCTTATGGTCGTCAAACGAGGAGGGAAGAAGACGAAGAAGAAGACGAAGAAGAAGAAGAAGAAGAAGAGCAGCTCCGGGGTGGGGATGTCATTGACACAGTTGACCACACCGTAAAGTTCCACATGCTTCTGTGTGGTGAGCGCGATGCCCGGTGGGGGGGGGGGGGGGGGCCGCGCTCTGTCGGCGCGTGTGCGACAGGCAACCCATTCTGGAGTTTGACAGAGAGGCTTGAGAACTGGAGGCTTCCCGTGGACTCCTGCCATGTAAAAATGCCTAAATGCAAGGCAGATGTGTGCGGCGGGCCAGGCCGAGGTGCAAGAATTTATCTAGGGCCAGAGAGTGCCTGTGATCTCAGATTTATTGCATTTTCCAGATTCATCCTTTTTACAATGATGGGGGACCCTTCCTACTTTTAAGATTTAAGAGCGGGAAGTCTCCAAAAAATTGTTCAAAGGCAGTTTTGGGGGTCTTTTGGGAGAAGGTGAGCTTAAGCCTCCAACCAAACCACCCCTTTTACTCTTTTCCTTTAAAAAAAAAAAAAAAAAAAACATGTATGTGGGCAAGGGGGCCGAGGTAAACCTAATGAATGAAGGTTGTGGCTACGTCTGGGATAGAAAGGGGGGGGTAAACCAATGGCGTTGGTCTCAGTGGGGGTCGGGCCGGCGCCTGGAGGTGCCCCTCTGGTGCGGCTGTGCAGAGGTGGCACCGGAGCACAGAGACCGAGAGAGAGAGAGGGAGGGTGTGAAGTTTCCCCTCCCTGAGCAAACATGAAACCAGTAGTCGCTAACTGGAAAGTTATGAGTCGTGCACGCTGCGAGGGACGATAAATTAGGGCTTTAAAACTCTGGACACACTTTTGCAAACCCGCCGCTGTACCTCGCAGCGAGATGACAAACAGGGGGACGGGAGGCCGTCGGACAGAGGGATGCTGAGGGCTTTTCCCGCCGCATCGCGCGCACTTCCTCCCACAGTCGTTGTCGGCAAATTCTACGCCGGCTGCGTAATTCCCCGCTCATGTGAACAAGTGATATTTTAGTTGTTACGGTCTGACTCACTGGCAACAAAGAAAAAAAAAAAAGCGAGGCGGTGAAGTGAGCCTCACACCGGCGCAGATTAAAAGCAGGAATTTGTTTTCAATTAGTCAGGGCTTTTATCCAACGGCACAAATATGCCAGTAAGAGTATCCCCAGAGGTTTCAAAGAGCGGTTATTAAAAAGGCAAACAAAAAAAAAGGTGGTTGATTCGATGTTCCGATGTTTTTAACTTTGCTTGAGGGAACGGGACGGGAACAGGACCAGGACCAGGAGTCGGCCTTAAAAGGAGAACGCAGCACCGAAACCCGCTCAGGGGCCTTCGGGGTTCATCTTCGGGGGCCCCCCGCTGAGGGCTTCGCCTACTCTGAAACACCCGTCTCCATCCGTCCGGACGCTCGTATGCTGTGGATCCCGGCTCGTCTGAGGGTGTAAGTGTTATTCGGCTGAATTCAATATCTGACGCGGCACTGTGTCAAACACATGCTTCTGTGGTCAGCGTCCCCGGCGTTAAACCTGGGTGAGAAATTGAGTGAGTCACGGTTTAAGAGCCTCGGCCGTTCTTTGATGTGAGGAGATGGTTGCTTTGTTTGGCTCTCTGGAGCCACGGAATCATCAAGAGCGACGATTACGCAGCGAATGCGAAGCGAGGAATTCTGTTCATGAAAGAGAGGTTTACAAGTACCCCACTGGAAAGTTTATGTTCAAGATGTTCCCCTCGCAAAATCAATGCCGCTCGGTGCTTAATTAAACGGACGTGTCTTTTGTTGTACTGCAAACACAGACTCAACCATCGATTTTCACTCTGCAGCGAGAACATCTGGAAAGCGCATCCGCCACTCGCCTCCAACGGCAATCGTGGGCCTCCGAGTTCAGAGATATCCGCCATTCGGGTGTCTTCATTCACGCAGATACAATTAGAAGAATTGACTATTGACTACTCCCCGATGGCCGAATGTTTAGTTGCTTTCCACGTGCCAAATAGCTCCAATTCCGGTCATAATATATTAAAAGCAGCCACATTGAGAGGCAAGGAACCAGATACTCTAAACGGTTGATAGACACAGCTTTAGCTTTTCTTTAGAAACTGTTCCTCGGGGTGGACAAAAGTTCCAATAAAAAATGTTTTACGCTTTGTAGCGTAGCAGAGACGCGGTTTCCTGCCGTAAATCCAACTGTGAGACGGTGAGCTCCCGTTTCCTCCCGGCCCCTCGTGACCGGGATCTCCGCATATCTGCTGGATCCCGGGAGCATCTGTCCACAGGCTGCCGCACACAACGCACACTCGTGTGACCGCGGCAACCTCAGCGAGGTCAAATCGAGGATGTCGGCGAGGAAGACGAGGAGCGACCGGGCTTCCCGCAGAGCAAATGCCATTAAGGTTTAAAAGGGACGGGAGATTCAGGGCATCTTTCTTCTTCGTTGGTGTTTCCATAAAACCCTCGGCACCGGGCAGAAGGCACAGAGGTCGGGGTGCTTTAACAGTATTACTCGAACAGAAGAGGCGTCCTGCCGGCTTTATGGCAGCCGAGAGCACACGAGAAGCGTACACACACACACACACACACACACACACACACACACACACACACACACACACACCACACTTTCCGCACTCCAAGGCGCACTTAAAAGCCTTTAATTTCCTCAAAAAACGACAGTGCCTTATAATCCGGAGCGCCTTATATATATGGATCAATTGGTTAATCGGTTGATCCATACTGGTTGCACGCGGCGCTCAAGGCGCGCTGCCAAACACGCCAAAGCTCGCCTACGACGGCGAGATGCTGAGCGGCGCTCAAGCGCGTGAGATGTGGAGCTGCTTTCAGGGCGCGTCGGAGAAACAAAGCTGTCGTTCTCGCCGAGCACTTCATGAGATTAAAGAGCGAGAGACGGCGCCCTTTTCTCTACAGTAGCTGAACCGTCTTAACGGGGAAAATGAGTTATTCTAAAAGGAGCCGAAGATGTAAGGCGGCGGGAGCGGACGCACCATCGATCGGACCTTGAAAGCACCGTCTCCACCGCCCCACATCCCCCACCCATCCACCCGCCCCGACGTCAAACGTCTGACTGCAGTATCTTCTGCGCATTATAATCCGGTGCGCCCTATATATTAAAAATGTTCTAAAATAGGTCATTCGTTGAAGGTGCGCCTTATAGTGCGGAAAATACGGTACGTCCTCGGTTCAAATGAAGACATCCGAGGAGTTTTTTTTAGGGTAGAGGGCAAAATTGGTAATATATTTATTTATACTTTGCAAACCATATGTGGCACAATGTTTTCCACGTGTCTTTTACACTTTTGCCGCAGATCAACAGCATCGACTCACCGGCAGAGATGAATCCTTCCATCTTCTCCTTGAAGGGCTGGAGGAATTCCTCGGACGGGTTGGCACAGATCTTCTGCATGGTCTTCTCGCAAGCTGGTGGAGGGAACAGAGGCGTGAGAAGAGAACGATATTAGTCATGTTAATATAGGAGAGTCATTCAAGAAGAGAAACCAGTTATACAGTAATACAAAAAAAACTAATCAGGAAATGGGTTTTAATTCAAACTAGTCGAGGAAAACGACAAGAGGAAAAAAAAATGATTTCTTCATTGAATTGAAGAAAAAAAATAAAATGTTGGGCTTTACAGATTGTTACCATATTATCAAGTGTATTTAGTTGCTAACTAAATATGCTAAAGCAACGGGAGTGAAGCGTTTAACGAGGATTGAAAGCAGCATTTAATTTCCCTGAAGAGTAAACAGTGAGAGCATTTAATCATTTTAATTAAACACGCGTGTTAGTTAATTAGCCTGTAGTTTTCCCATTGCTGGAGAGTATCTCAGGGTTCACGAATCATTGAAATGTGTCGGATTCTAAAAGAACCTCAGACCCCACTGTCCACTGCTGCAGATGCGTTTGCTGTTTTTTGTTGATGGCGACCCAACTCGCACCAGCTCACGAGGTGCTCCCCACCCCGACACCGTCTCCAGCTCCCCCCGCGAGCCGGGGCGACCACAACGCGCTCGCCCGGTGAAACAACCGAGGCACATCCAGCCTGCGAGTCATTAATGGCTGCAATAAATACCTTTGCTTGCTTGCGACCGCATAGCGTAATAGCCGCGCAGCACAACAAGAGCATTAAACGGGTCTTGGGGCCTTTTGATCCGAGCGTGGCTCTCAGAGGGGTTTTTTTTGGGTGGAGGTGGGAGGTGGAGGGGGGTTTCCCCCCCCCCCCCACGTGTGGAGCGGCTGCACCTGCAGCGCGGAGAACTCAGTCCATTACATCTTTTATTTATTGGCCGTCTCAATAAATCAGACAGGAAATGCAACGTCTGCACATTAAAACGGGGCAGTGGAGTAACTGCGCGCAGCCTCGCGGTCTGGATTCCAGCGCACTTTGTGGAAAAATACATTTAAGAAGAAAAAAAAAAAAACAGAAATCAGCAACCGTACAAACATGACCACAGTATCCTGTTTGGACAAACCACGTTTCCTTACCAGAAACCCCCCCACCACCACCTCCCTAACTCAAAAGGACCCATTAAAACAGTGTTCAAAACAGCAAGTCTACAATTTAGAGGCGGCTCCGGTCCAAATGTGGTCCAGACAGCAAAGGCTGCGAGAAGGAGGCCCACAAAGACACGGCAGCTGTAAAGGATAAAAACTAAAAAGCTCCACTTTGAGACGTTGTCCTGCAGTGATGATACACACGTCAGAGGAGATACATGTAACACGTAAAAAATAAAAAATGTCTGTGCCGCACACGCACGCACCGGCACTGATAAGGAATCATGCTTTTGTTTATGGGGGAGTGAATTCTAATGTTGCACAAACTGCTCATCACAGCACAGCGAGAGGAGAACGTGGTGAGAGTACGCACTTTATTTCACGTCTCACAAAGCATATACGTCATCACAGCCAATGGAATGCTGGAAGTATTTTTAAATGAAGAAAATATGAAAAAAAGGGTGTACAAAATGTACATTTCTTCTGCTTTAATGATCATTATAATATGCGTAAAAACATGTTAAAATGTCAAAAAGAATCGCTGTCCTGAATTAACACTATGACTATTAATTTGATGTACAGTGCCAATGTGTGTGTGTGTGTGTCATAAGAAAATCATACTCTGAAAAATCTGTATCCAATCAAAGTATCCAATTCACCGTCACTACAAGCGGGAAACTAATTTATTCACCACCAAGGCCTCACCGAATAAAAGGTCTATGGATATTTGTATGGCCAAAAGCAATTTGTCCAAGCAGACCCACAGGTACATTATTTCACATTGTGGAAATATCCAGTAAGAGTGAGAGCTGGTACCATAAAGGCACCCGTACAACATCTACAAACATCTATTTAGTCATCACATCATCCATCATAACCCAAATGGGAGCAAAATGACCGGCTCCAGTTCTGTTTACTTTGTTTGTTGTAAGGAAACAAACTAAACCACCCAGACGTTTTCCCCGTGATTTACAATGTGTGGTTAGTGAAAGATGGGATCCTCCTCTGCAGCTACCAGGACAAAGCGCAACTGTGTGTGTGGATTAGAGAGAAACCCTCCTGCCGAGGACCACGCGGTGAACCTGCTGTGAGACCAACAGTTCCGTCCTCTCTCTGTAGCTCATTATTATTCAAAAGCAAAGGCCGAGGAAGCAAACCACTTCTCCATCGTACCAAAACATAAAAAGGCAGTTCTAACTGTTGTCAATGTACCACCAGGGAAAAGGCAGTAGGTTAAACCAGTCACATTCTAGAGGGAGATTCTCCACCGATCCCTAATCATCTCCAATCCTCTCGTCCGTGAGGCCGGCCAGAAGAGACCGAGAGGGAAGACACACTCTCCTCATGAATCAACCCAAAGCCATCAAGCTAAACCCTTAAAAACGCAGGATGGAGAATGTTCTCGCCGGTAGACACACGAGGAACATAAAGTGGAGCCTGTGATGTTGTTAAGATGCAAGAGGACCTCTACGTCGTGGCTGGATTGGATTCTTACTTAATTTGCTCGCTGCCTGAATCATTTTTCGTCTCATTTGCTCAGACGAGCGGCGGCCGTAACCCTCAGCGCGCCGGGCTTCACGCGTCCCCGCAGCCCCGCGTCGTAAAACAGCCCTCAGGCTAAAGGCCCTGCCTGAACTTGACATTAAATGCCATTTAAAATCAGGACACTTTCCCACAGTGGTGAACGGCTAACCTGGGCCAGGCCGTCTGTGAAACACTAAACTCCCCCGAGCAGCAAATGAGCTCTGACCGTTTATTTTTATTTGATCCTATTCCATTCGGTAGCGTCCCCGCCTCTCCGTCCGGTCCAATTACGCGGCAGTTAAAAGGGAACTTTATGCAAAGACAAATGTAATCTTTAGTTCGGCGGCGGCAACCCCGCTCTACGTGGATCGAGGCAGAAACGGAATAAAAGACGCAGGTCTTCATTAGGAGCCGAGAGTCCTACAGTAGGTTGTAGGTAGTTCATCCCCCCCCGAGAGGAGCACAGAGAGGGGTCATCACCCTCTCCCCAAACAGGAAGCCCCATCAAAAGAGGATCATGTTTCTGCACAAGCCAGTGAAGGAGAAGGGCAGACGAGCAGGCCGCTGACGACGAACCGCTGCACAGTCCAGAGACGAGCGCACGCCTCGCTGCCGTCGCTAAACACAGAGTCTGCTGACCTCTGACCCCCGGGGGCCAAGCGGAGGGGCGAGAGACACCGCCCGCCCACTGCAGTCGCCACCTCGGGGATCAGGCGAGGGGCACGCGGCCCCCGCCGGCTGGCCTCCGTGAACCAGAGCGCCGGCGCCCTCGGCGTCATGCGCGGCCCATCGGCGGTGGATGGAAGCGATCTGCGTTAGCGTTATAATCAAGACCACTCGCTCGCTTTGGCCCGTTTTATAATAGCCCCGGCATAAATATTTATTCGCCGGCGGCGGGAGGGGGGGGGGGGGATAAAAGAAACGAGCGCGAGTCGGGAGGTGGAGCTCGCCAAACGTGGGAGGATCCGACGCCGGCCCCGTGATGCCGATGCCCCCGAGGACCGCTGCGCCAGACGGGGCTGCGGCAGAGATCAAATACGAGGTCCCTCGTGTTGCATTTATTGTCTTCAGGTCTTCCATTTTTTTGGGCTAATAAATGAGTGACAGCTTGAGGTGGGTCTGGGTGCTTTAGTGGAGTCTTTGTATTTTCTCCCCCGGGTCACAGAGGAGACGGCTTTTAACAGCGATCCCCAAAAAAAACGCAGGGGAGAGCCGCAGAGCATATCTAATTGCTTTCATATGCCGTATTATTGGTTGATTTAAATAACCACAGACACCGGGGGGCACCGGGGGGCACCGCCTTTAACCTCCGCGTGGCCCCGGCCAAGACGGAGTGGCTGCGTTGCTGAGTGGCTCGGCGCCCACGACACTTTGAGCCCCAGCACAGCAAAATCAGGTCCACTTATTTGTGCGCCCGGTCGGGACTTTAATGCTTCTGTCAGTGAGCTGGTTTTTGCCTTTTTTGGACGTCACGGCTCTTTGGCCACGTGCTCGGTCACCGGTCCTGAAACGGGAGAGTTTGCGTCGTTATGACGACCGCGGGCAGGAAAAGTACACGGGATTTAAATACTAAACCGCGCGGTGACAGACGGTACCGTGGGATAATTACTTCAGGAACTAACGTAACCTTGTTGAAAGTGAACAGACTTCGTTCAACGGGACGCGTCTCACCAGTCAGATCCTTCTTCAGCTTCCTGGAGTCCTTGGTGAGGTCTTCAAACTTCACCTGAGCAGCCTGGAAGAAATCCTGAGGCTCCGGCATTGGGAACACACTCTTTTCGGTGCCGGCGTGCTGTGAATCCCACATAACATACATGAGGGGCCGATATTTAAAGAGTGTTTGAAGAGTTTAGGAGTGTAGCATTGTGGGAATTTGATTGACGGTGCCTTACCGTGTCAAAATTACGCAGGTAGTATAAAACCACATAATCCACCAGGTTGATACGATTGTCCTGAGGATAAAATGACAATCACAGTTCACACATATTATCTACATAACGTGGTGTGATTACACACTGTAGGTGTAAGATTTATTGGCTTTTGCAGATATTCAGTACAGAAGTTCAAGAGATGTCAAACCCTGCTTTTGACGTCCTTTAGTTTGGGGAGGATTTCCAGTCCGAAGCCATCAGCCTGACCTCTTGTCCTGTTCCCGCCGTTCATGTAGTTCCCGAAGGCCAGAACAAGACCCATTACATCCCGCAAGGCATTAGAATCCAACAGCTCCTGACACACACACACACACACACACACACACACACGAACAGTTAGTAAACCGTCACAGAGCTTAATGACATGTTTCTGGAGACGCCGTTTGTTGAAAGTTCTCACTTTGCTGACATTGGAGACGATCTCCACCTTACGGCGGATGGAGGAGATGGTATCGTGGAACACCGACTGGAAGATGATGCAGTGGGCTCGGCCCGCAAAGTCGGGAATCTGGGAGAGCTCATAGAGGAACCTGGAAAACAACAAAAAGAAAAAGAGAATGGGGCGAGATGTGTTATGACAGGATTAAACAAAATGTCTGACAGGAAGGACTATTTTAGTCTCCTTGGCAGCCCTTTGCGTCCCCACGCGGGCCCGTCTGAGTCAGTGTTGCTGCTCGGAGGCAGCTGATAGTCATGAGCGGCGCTGCTCTGCTGCGTTTGAGAGGTTTGAGGGGTCGGCGGCGGGGGGGGGGTCGGGCGGAGGGAGACCGATCAACGTTTGCCTCGGCCTGATGCGGGACGACTTGTGTAAACACGGCCGTGTCAGAGGGGAGGGGAGCGGTAACATCCTGAGTGATCAGCCCCCGCTGACGGAGGCCGACCCCGGGCAGGGATGACTCGGGCAGGCGTACTGACAGCTCCGGGCCAGGCTTAGCGGCACCGCCGGGGCCCGGCCCTCGTTAGCTGGGCCGGGACTACTTGACCCTGACAGGAACCACTGGAGCAATGTTCATTAATGCCGAGGTTTTCACACACAAAATGATGCCCCAATGTGTAATTGTAGGTCAGAATGACCTTTAAGTACAAACTAAACTGACAAATACATTGTTAAAATTGGGTTTGGATTTTTAAAAATGATTATTAGAAATAAATAATAAAAATAAACGAAATAATTTCAGGTTAATTTTCCTTCAATAAGGAAATCTCAGAAACTCATGCAAATTAAATCCAGGTACATTACTGAGAGAGAAAAAACTTATACCTGATCTGAACTCAATAACTGAATTCAATAGTTTCTCTAATTAATACCAGCAAGTTTGGATTTTTTTTATGAATGTATTTTGCTTAAAAACATTTGAGAAAGTGATCTTACTGCTCAGGTTTGTCCAGCAGTTTGACTTCCTCCTCCTTAGAATTCTCATAGTGTTTCGTTATCTTGACCATTTCTTCACTCGTGGCTCTCTGAAGAATCACAAACAACAGGTAACACAGAGAAATACGTTCACAAAGACATCCAGTAGAAATCTGAAGTGTGAAATGTTAAACAATAATACAAAAAAATTAAACTCATATCCATTGTGAGAATAAAAAATAAAAATATGACTTTCAGACTTACATTTTCATATAAAGCCTCAATGGTCTCCAAGTCCACCACAGAGTTGTCCACAGTAAGAACAGCTGGAACAGTAAAGATATTCATTAGAAGCAGTCAGTCCAATAAATCTCAATAAAAGATCTCAGCTAGAAGAACTTTTATTTATCCGACTAGAAACTCTTTTGAATTTTTGAAGACTTACTATAGATTAAAAGAGTGAAAATTCGAGTGACATTTTCGTCATTATCACTTCGTCACTTTAGCACCAATCCTGCATCAACGACCACATCATTCCAGTACCACGGAGTTGAATTAGCAGACGCCGGCTCATAACAAAATGCCTCAAACGGTTTGACCTCTGGGCTCGCAGTAAGAAGCCGAGGGCAATGCTTTTTAGAGCGAGACAGAAGAAGGTGAACCACATGAGGAACAACAGAGCGGAAGACGGATAAGAGAGAGACAAAGGGGGTAAATAAAAGGACCGAGATCCTAATTTCTGATTAGATTGGACTGAGAAACAAGGTGTGATTTTCTTGATCTACTGCACGTTTGCAGCAGCTCAAGCAGCAGTAAGAAAAGTGCACACGGGAGTCTGAACAGAGAGGACAGCGAGGAAGGAGAAAGTGACTCGTGCTGCGTGTCTGAGAGGGGTCTCAGGTTCACGGCTCAGCGACAACGGGGGAGGAAGCGGGGGGGGGGGGGGGGGGGGGGGCTCCAGGGCTGCTGGATCAGCTGGCAGCGGTCTGCTTTGGTGGCCGCACGCCACCAACCGACCGCAAAAACAAATACGCAATAGTGGTAAAGGTGGAATATATATATTGAACAGTAATGCGATGTCAATTAACAGAAGAAAAATTACCAAAAAACATTGCCATTGATACAGCTAAACAGTGAATTGGTAAGAGGAAATGCACGATTTTTTTTATTTAGTGTATAATTGAATTTTATTTTTATTTTCCGTATTTAAATTTGGTATAAAAAGGCGTGCTTTTTGTTCAAAATGAATATACAACAAAGGCATTGAGAGTTTTGGATAAAGTGTTAAAAAAAGAAGCCTGTTTTGATGTCGGTGCATCGTGTTCAAACGCACACACACTGCTCCCAGCCAGCAGTGTAACACAATGTAACACAGCGTAACACAGCGTTCTGCTTCCCAGCTGTTCCTGTTGCAAAGACGTTGTCAATGAGGCCCCAAAGTCTGGATCAGAGAGAACGCTGGAGGTCCGTTTCCTACATCTTATTAGAGTGGATTATTCAGTCCCTCAGCCATGCAACCGTCCATCACACACCAAAGGTGAGGGGCGGCGGCGCGGGTGGGGTGTGAGGGGGGGGGGTCTGCTCCAGTGTGCACAGGAGCACTCTGATCCGAAGGGGAGGGGGGGCCGGATATCTCTCCACACCGACAGATCAAAGCCTCACACCCTCTCCTTCCACTTTTCACTCATCGGCTTTGGTGTGGAAGGGCGTGTGTGAACATGTGCATGTGTGCGTGTGGCCAGTTGTGTGTGTGTGTGGCGGGGGGCCGGTGTGCTCTTGAACCATGGTGGCCCTTGAGGGTCCCCCAGCCAGGCGGGCGCAGTTGACCCCCCCCCTCGCTCTCTCTCTCTCTCTGCCAGAGTGCTGCCTCCCCCCCCCCTTCCCTCCCTAGTAGCTCTAATTACATTACATGTCCCATGTCCTTTTAATTTGGCAACAAAGGGGAGGCAAGCAGGCGAGGCCGGGGACTCAAGCCCTTAGAAGTACTTATTAAGGTGCTGTCCTGCATTGTCGGATTCAAATCGTCCGTTTCGCGTACAGCCCCTATTAAAGGCACAAGGAAGCCGCCTCGCGCCGGGGTGTTTCACCGAACCGCCTCCACACTGGAGCACAGAGGGGGGGAAAAAGAAAAAAGAAAAACCTAACAACTAAACGGGCGTCCCGGTGCTCTGTGCCGTCGCGTTTGAGGTGGTTTTATGTGGCAGCGCAGTGTCTGCTAACTGTGGAAGGTGGTTTTGTACATGCTTAGATCATTAGTGGGGTGTCAGTCCCATTAGGCTTGTGGAAACCGTCACTGGCTACAATAAACAGATCCGCTGGCCGCATGCTCAGACTAGCAGGCGGCAGGCGCTCGCTCCGCCAGAGTCCCGGGACAGGACCAATTCCTGGCCCATCTGCGCGGTCCCCGACGCACGTATTATGCACACGCACGCACGCAGGCACGCACACTCCTGCTTGTTCTGCAGAACAACCAAGCATGCAATCAATCCACGCAGCTCCGAAGAAGAAGGAAATGGCTATTTGATTTTAACCAGTGCGGGAGAGATTTGTCGCAGCCTGACAGAGACAGACGGGCTGCTTTTATCCCGCCTCACATTTTGATAAATCACGGGATTTTTTCTTTCCTCGCACAAAAATAAAACTCCACATACTCCTTGAAAACAGAAATGAATGCAGGAAAAGTGTCTCTAGATAGGAATTAGTAGCCGTCTGTTTCTCTGAAAGTAACTCCCATCTGCATTTCATCACGAGCCGTCCTCAATTCAGAGTTAAACGGAACTGTAAATTCATTTTATTGCTGTTGAATCTAAAAAGGAGCTCCCGGGAGAATTAAAATGATATCGTGGTGTGCTCAGGAAACTTCTTCTTCACCTTGCTGAATGTCCTTCATCTCCAGATGCAGGCTCGATATGAGGATGGCGACTGCTTGTGAACGCTTGGAATCCAGCAGCTTGATTATCTGGAGAAACAGAAAACAAGTTTGTGGATTTCCAAGAACGTTAGTAGGATTCATTGCATTGATTCATTGCATTCTTCCTTTAGGGATAGTGACTCTTTATTTAGTACCACGTTTTCGTACATTAACATCATATTGTGTGATGTCGCTTTTCAAATTTAGAGCAATTTCACTGTCTGTTACTTTCAAATCTAATACGGTGTCTTCACTCCAAGATCCAGCTCAGATTTCTTCACACTTGCAAAAGCTTGATCTTCATTTAAAGACGGGCATGAACCAACGCGCCCGTCGCCGCGATGCAAGCGCCCGGGAAGTGTCAGTGTCAAACAGAAAAGCACCTCCTCCGGGTTTAACCCAAGAGCATGTGAGATGCAATCAAAGAATATCAAGTCGCGGCGAAAGTACAAAGGCAAAAGTGGCGCCATGAACGGACAGTCTAGAAGAGCAAGCTTTTTGAACAAACTATAAATTCACGGGATTTTTATTTGTGCCCACACATGGACGCAATTACCCACGGCTGAATTAGCCGTAAAGCCAGAGCGCGTTTTCGCCCGAGCTGAAGCCGCGCTCTAAAAGTTAATGTGTCGGGCGGCGTCATTAGGTAGCGCGGCGCGGCCGGCTACCGGGCCGTCCGGCGGGAGCCCGACAGCAAGAAGCCTTAGAAGTGGGTATTGCGTTACAGGGGCGTTAGTGGGTGCCATGCTGCTTCCAGCTCCATTACCTGGATCACTGGGGGGATCCCAACACCTCTAATTAACCACTCGGGACGGGCCGCACTAAAAGCAGGCCAGGGACCCGCAGCAGTCGGCCATTAGCCTAAATAGTTACGTTAATGAGAAAAGACAAGTGATGCTGGATGCTGGGGGGGCGTCGGGGGGGGCGATGCTGATGCTGAGACGGGTCAAAGGAAAGAAGATGGAAGAGAGAAAAGAAAAATAAACCAGAAGACGTGTGTCGGCAGCTTGAGCCGAAGCAGGTGGCTGATGTTCGGTGAGGTGGGCAGGGGGGGGGGGTTGCTGGTTCAGAGCCCAGCGGACGGTTTACACAACCAGGGCTGGCCCGCTCCGCGGTGACTCTCTGTCTGATTATCTGTCGGGGCAGATGTTGAAATAACAACTGGATCGAGGCGTCCCATCAATAACCAACCACGGTACACTCGGCAACCCCAGCGGTGTTAATCTTACACCCACTCTCCCACGTCATAGCCGGGGCTTCAAATATGCCTTTAATAAACGCGCTGTGATTGCTCATAAGTCATCGCCATAAACCGGTTAAAGCCGGTGTTTGTTTAAGGAGATCCGCTACGTATAAACTTGATACGGGTTTGATTGATGTGGGAGAGGAAATCGCCGTTTCGGTGTTTACCGACGTGCATACTTGCTCGCCTACGAACTCAGCGGCACATTGGGCCTCATTGATTTCACCTCCCTCCCATCTCCATCTCCCTCCCATCTCCATCTCCCTCCCTCCCTCGATCAGGAATGCACAGACGTGCGTCTCCTATAGGTGCCCGGTCTCCGTCGCCTCCTCGAGCCGGTGGAGCGCAGCCACATGCCTGCAATCACCCACCTGGCCCGGCCCGGCCCGCTGCGGCGGGACATCCCTCTTCCACGCCGTCTCCTCCGCTTTGATATGCTAACGAGCGCAGGGCGAAGGGCTTCGGAGTAAACAAGAGCTTTTGATTTCTCGCCGGGCACACGTGATAAAGATTAACTTACTGGCGAGGGGAGAAAGCGGGGAAGTGGCTCATATGCATAATGCACACGCACATTCCATCGCCTCCCACTCATCTCCTCCCCCGCCGCCGCCGCACATACACACACACACACACCCGGGGGCTGTGGCGTTTGCGTGATCTGGTAACACTTTCTGGGCAAGTGCATAATGGCTGGCGAGGACGTGCCGTCATCAGACACGCACACACACGCACACACACAAACACACGTAGAAACAAACAAACAAGCTAATTGAAACACACTTTCTCTCTCACGGATTCGGTGGCAACATTCTGTTTGATTAAACGACGATGTCTCCAATGACAATTGATACAAATACGATTCAAGAAGTCAACATGGGGAACTGCTGGTCGGCTTAAAGAGGGAAAACCTGCTGATTGGAAGCAGCAAGAAAGAAAAGTCCTCTGTTCCAATTGTATGGTCAATTGACTTAGCCTCCAACCCTGCTCTCCCGTGTCGCTCTCCCCAGTCTCCCCTCCCCAGTCTCCCTCCTCCCCAGTCTCTCCCCCCAGTCTCGTCTCTCTCCCCAGTCTCTCCTCCTCCCCAGTCTCCCCTCTCCTCCCCAGTCTCCCTCCTCCCCAGTCTCTCTCCTCCCCAGTCTCTCTCCTCCCCAGTCTCTCTCCTCCCCAGTCTCTCTCCTCCCCAGTCTCTCTCCTCCCCAGTCTCTCTCTCTCTCTCTCGGTAAGCAGCACGACTTCTTGGAAATATTTTTCGGGCCAATGATTCCGAGTGATTTCTCTCTGAAATGATTTCTCTCCCTATAACTCAGAGCATAAACTTCCAAGGATAAAAAAGAAAAATGATGTAAACAACTTTTTTTTATTTTTTATTGAGACGACCTTGCCAGTGAGTTGGACTCCGCGCGGGCTGAAAACCGCCACGCCGTCCACATATTCACTTTCTCTCTTGGACGGTGGACTCTGTACCCTCCCGCTGACTCTAAACACAGACCTTTATATGAAATAGAAAACCTTTGTCTCATCACAAATATCTAAACATAGAAAGGATCCACAGCCAGTGTACAATATCAACACTATATATAGATTATATGGATCCAAATAGTACAGTTAAAAGAAGGCAAACGTTATGTTGGGTTCGTATGAAATGGTCTTAGTGGGTTGTTGTTTTTTTAATTCGAGGGGGTCGAACCTCCTCTTGGCTGCGGTGAGAACAGACAGGAGCCAGTTTGGTGTCTGGATGTGAGTTGGATCAAATGTTGGACACTTTGCTGCTTTAGAGTGACCAGACTGAGTGGAGAGAACTAAGGCATGAGATCATGGACGGAACACACACACACACACACACACACACACACACGCACACACACACACACACGCACACGCACACGCACACACGCCCTGTGGAGCAGAGTGGAGCCTTAAGAAATTGATCAGAATGGATTTAGAGGGGCAGTCTGGAGCATTGGCCAGTTGTTAACTCCTTGGACGCCACAGTGAGGACCAGGATGCTGACGCGGCGCTGGCTGCAGCAGAGGTGCTGAGTTGCAGCATTTGACGAGACATCAACAAGTGTGTCTTTGGTGGGGGGGGGGGACTAGATCAATCTGGCACAAAAAGGCCCACTTCTGTTGACTTTGTAGCCTGGTTTCCTTGAAGAACGGTTTAAGCCACACCGACATTACATACTCGTGCACACTTCAGCTTAGTGAACTCACACGTATGTGCGAGCAACTCACAACTCACAATCCACTTCTCCCTTTAATTTAGGACTGAACATGACAGCATGCAAAAAGTATTTTCTAAACAAAGCTTGATGAGAGGCCCTCCGGAGGACAAAGTGCACAAGATATCCTTCGCAGGAGAAACAGACTGAACGCATTGGGCTTTCCACACAACCAACAGCATCGAGGATGACGCGCGACGCGCCACTGACTCACCTTCTTAGTTTTGGCTTTCTTCTCAAAGGTGTCGGACAGCGGCTTCTTCTTCGTCTGCAGCGTGGCTTTGGAAAACAGGTCCTCGAACTCGTTGGCGTTGACAATGTTCGGCTCCTCCAGAGACCCCCACAGTGTGTTGTTGCTGCAAAACGAAGGGAAGTTGGAACACGGGGATTGACTTCCGTTTTCAGCATAAACCTATACGTCAAAACTCATGGTGACAATGGCTCGCGGTGGCTAAACAAATGGTGTGGTTCCATTTGTGGAAGCTTATTTGATGTTTATTCAAACTGCCCACTGGTTTTCGTTTTTTCCATTTCGCCGTCGGACAAAAACTTGGGGAGCAAACGCTGACAATCTCGACCTTAGACTGTTTATGAGAGAGGTGATAAAAACAACAAAAGATCAGGACGAGCTCGTTTCTGGAACAAAAGGGTCATTTCCAGCCAGCGGGCGAGAATACGGGAGGCGATGTTGTGTTCCTGAAGTTGCCGAGTAACGCGGCACAAACATTCCGGAGGCGGAATGAGGCCGAGAAGTGCTTAGAGTCAAGAGGACGTTAACCTCCCATCTGTCCATGCGTCCCTTCTGCGGGATGTAAATAAACAGGACGCCAAAGAAACGGGAACAAACGGAGGAATGAGCCGCACATGCCCAACTACGATGATGTCACCATGGCAGGTGGAAGGTCGCGGTTCATCGACAGCGCATCTCGTGGGTTAAACCCCCCCCCCCACCCGGCGTTGCCTCGGCATGGATTGCACTCCTGTCTAAGGGACTGAGCAAAGGAGGTCCAAAGAGCGGCCTCCGGTTCCAACAAAGCTTGGAGAAGAAATAGAAGAAATATTTCCACCTAATACTGCCCCCCCCCCCCCCCCTCATAACTCAGAACCTCACGCCATTTACAAAGATCACACAGCTGATCCAGCTACCGGTAAACATCTGAACCATTTTATGCCCCTGAACGGGTAAATTTATAGCCGACTTGCTGCAGTGCAGTAAGTTCGCACCAGAGAGGGAGAGAGACACAGCTCCCCTTCTCCCACTTATCCAGGCCGTGGGAATACAAGGGCATAAAGCTCAGGCCTGGGACTCAGGGCAGCAACCACAGCCGCTGTAAATGGGCCGGATAATCCACTTACAATTACACAGCATCTGAACGAGGCCCGTGTGCACCCACCGTATCTTTAATCTCTCTTTGAAGAGGAGTGTTCAGGGCCAAAGTAAGAGCTCCTTAGACAAGGGCCAATGACGCCCAGAGCTTCGTTAGCTCGGGAAGACGCTCTTTAAACTCCTTATGACGCTCTGCAGTAATCCACAAAACAATCACTGCTAATCATTACGGTGATATCGAATAAATACAATTACGCCGTTAGTTCAGGGAACAGAAATGCAAGTGTGAGGATATCTCATTGACTCTCTGGGTATAAAGTTATTATTACCACCTGAAATAATGGACAAAACGTTTAAACTATGAACCGAGCTGTGACTACCCACATTTAGCCTTTAAGAGCAATATGAGGGAATCTAAACGGTGTTGAACGTACTTGTTGTCCTCGATCTGTATCCTGGTCCAGTACAGAGGCTTCATGGGACACGCGGGTTCAATGGCAACTTTACGCGGGGCCTTCTCCACCATCTGAACAAAACTGAAGCCCCCCATAGGGGGTGGAGGTGGCGGGCCTCCGCCTGGAGGAGGGGGAGGTGGCGGGGGACCAGCTCCAGGTAGGCCAGGAGGGGGAGGGGGAGGTGGTGGGGGCGGCGGACCACCTCCGGGGAATGGAGGTGGTGGTGGTGGGGGAGGTGGAGGCGGCGCTCCAGCGAAGCCTGGCAAAGGGGGAGGAGGAGGAGGAGGAGGTGGTGGTGGTGCGGTGGTGCCCGGGAAAGGGGGAGGAGGAGGAGGAGGCGGGGCTGGTCCTAAGAGCCCTGGTGGGAGAGGGGGCGGAGGAGGCGGCGGCGGGGGCGGGGCAGCTTTTAGATTTAGCCCGATAGATTCCAAGTTGAGTTTTTTCGGCACGTTCTGGTTGGGGCTCTGGGCGGGCCCGCCACCGTGCCCCTCGGGGCTCTTCACGAAGGTCTCCCTGTCCGTCTGGATGCTCACGTTCCGGAAGGTCCGGGGCGCCAGGTCGTCCTCCGTGGACACGGCGGCATCACGGAGCTCGCCCCGCTCCCGGCCGGTACTGCAGCCCTGGTCGCTCCGCATTTTGCCGATGACCTCTTCCAGGTGGGACGTGGAGACGGCGTGCTCGCCCCGCAGTTGGAAGATTTGCAGCTCGTAGTCGGACTGTCGGGAACACGAGCAGGAAGCCGGAGACAAGACGAAAGTGTCAGAACAGTCGGCCACTTTCACTTACAGCCCTTAATTATTCATCCAACGATCTACACAAACAAGACTCAATAAATAAGAATCTCGTCCTGTTTCCAAGTACAGTGACATTTCAAGCAATGCAAAACAATCCCACCAAAGCAAAGTCCTAATTTGACACAGAAAGAAAACTGTCTTGCAATAAATCACGTCCCACATGTATCTGATCAACAGCCAGTTTAGGAATACCAGTATTCCCAGTGTCTCTCGAGGGCCGACTCCGGTACCACTTTCCCAGTGTCTGTTTAAAAAGGGTCAACATCAAATTAAAGGCCTAAAGCGGGCTGAGAAACCAACTCTGAGGTCACACTTTTCAGAGTAACGGCCCAAAATGCAATTCATCAGTGGTACAAATGATGCAACGCGACCACAGCTATGTCCCTTTGGTTTTCCCAGGGTATCCAATAGGTTGCACTCTTCATTCAGTTGAGGGACAAAATAAAAACACCTGTGAGACAGTTCTGAACCGCCGCTTCTGATGAATGACACATTTTTCTTTGAATTTGGAATGAGCAGTCCTATTGGAGACAAAGGAAATGTCCAGCCCAAAACTCTGTGATGACATCTCTGCATGTGTGACTGGAAATCATTTGAAATAATTAGATATATTCTCTTTTAGATGTGTTAAATTGGTTTAAGATGTTGCCTCTATTCATGTATTTTATACTATATCTTCACTTTGTATAAGTCTGCTAAATAAATATAAGTGCTGTTTAATTCACATTAAAAGTCTTGTCAGGACAGGAGTTGTTTTTAAAGTTCAATAAATTAAAATGTTTTCAATATTTTACTCCCTAAAGGCTCTTTATTTGGTTGTATAAATCACATTTTTGTCTGTTCCTCATCAGAGAAATGCAGCATTGAATTCCATAAAGGGTTTGAGTCGGTTTCCCCCCCCAATTTTTTACAATTTCTCTGGGAAAAATGTTTTAAAAATTGTACATTGAAAGTTAAAAAAAATGTTATTATTTTTTTTACTCAATGGTCTGGTTGAATAATAATTTACATTTAAAAAGTGTTCAGCATTAAAATCTGACATGTTAAAGCTTCTCAGTGATTGCTCAGCACCGGCCCAGCTGCTGCACTTGAACATTTCATGCTTACTTAGCGCCATCTTGTGTTCAGTAGAGTCAACTGCTGCGTCAGGTTAGACATGACAACTTACTAGAAATTTAACTAAAAGCGCTGTTCATGAATGACTCCCACACATAAACTACCGCTTTCTTTCCCAAAAGCCCAAATGTTGGTTTGATTTTTTTTGGACTTTCTTCATCTAGTCCGCCCTCACTGAGACGAGTGAAATATGTTTTTAGTCATTGTTAAAAGTCATTTAATAATTAATTTGAAAATAATGAGTTCTGAAAAGTTGATTTTTTAAGAGATCTAGAGCCCTCCAAAGCCAATATGTGATTTGGGGCTAAAATCTAAAATGAATTGAATTAGTAACAACTTACATGCATCCTCTCCAGATCGTCCTTGCACTCCCTCTTCAGCTGCAAGAGGGCAGCCTGGTGCTCTGAAAGCCGGCACAACAAGGGATGGTAAAAGGTAAATGGACTATTCACCCACCATCTCACTCACACACACACACACACACACACACACACACACACACACAAATCCCATCTAATTTCTTTCGGTTTTCTCAGCTATAGGAAACAGGGCTTGGAATAACGTTTTCTTCTACAGAAGGGTGGATCACTTAATCTCTCACAACCCAACCAACCAGTTTTAATCTATACCGCCGGCTAGAGTGAAAGCTCAAACTAAACATTTTGATCAGTCTGCTCAGATAATCGAGGATAACACAGTTCAAATTGAAAAACATTTTACTTCAAACAATAGATACTGACTTTGTCCGTATCGTAAAAACACCCAGGTTAGGGGTGGCAAAGGGGAATAAATGCCCCGACTGTTTGGGTCTGATTCACCAGCACAGTCTAAACTAGGAACAATGATAATTCTGAGTCAATAGCGTGTTAATCTAAGGTCCCCAGATGTGAGGTAAATAACAGAGGAGACTTGAAGAATTGCATTTGGTACGAGCCTGTTGGTGTTTGGACCTTTGCCCCTCTTCTGAACTTCCATGCACTATTCTCTTAGACAAGAGCAAAGCTCGATTGTAGAGCAATCAACAAAATAATCTGAGGTCGCTTGTCTTAATCTATCCTCTGGGATGAAGCTCCACAGAACGGCCAACATCTGTTTCACCGCAGCAGCTTGCGCTTTAAGTTCAACACAATTTCACTGTACCCTGAACATGAGAGAACCGTAATTGAAATCAACCCACTGACCGCCTTGGTGTTTTTAACCTGCGTGTCATTTCAGAGTACAAGAGGGGCCAAACGTGGCGCGCCGCCCCAAACAACACTCTGGTAAATGTACCTCGAACACCTACTCATGTGACACAACGAAACAGCAGCCGCACAAAAGCAGAACTGAAGATTAAATGTATTTAGAGGATGTGCTGCACCCTGCTGATGACACTTAACTAGCTCTACATGACACGTCTCTGGATTTCAGTCAAGTGTGAGGACTCAAAAAAGGGTGTGACTATTGCTGTTTTGGTGACAACAAAAGAGCCATTAACAAGGGCTGTGGGATTCATACTCCTTTATCTACGAAGCCAATCAGGGTGAGCTCCGTCAGTACGTCCGTCAGCATTCCTGGTCGATAAGATGCAGGGAGACAGACAGAGCTCGAGGTTCTTACCTGCCTCGGTGTACTTGAGCCCCACCTTCTCCTCCTCATCTTTGGTTTTGGGGGGTGGCCACACAGCCTGAAGACGCCCCGGGGTGCGGTCCTCACTGTCAGTAGGGGACGTGAGCTCAGTCTGTGAGAAGCAAAAATAAGCACACGCGTGGTAATGGCAGTGAAACGGTTTGTGTCATAGTCTCCTTATCGTACAAACCGAGTGTGCAGCTTCGATAACAAATCAAATATGAAAAATAATTGGGATTGCATACATTAGCTTCTGGGGCACTGCTAAGTTCCTTTCCGGGTGATTTGGAGGCTCTCTCAAAGATAGACCTCAGATTTTCTTTGTCATTCTTAATTTTCTTTTTCACTGCTTCCACATCCACCTCTTCCAATTTGTCCTTTTTAACAGTTTTGGGGCCGAAGATGCTCCTGAAGGTTTCATAGGCCTGATCCGAGGTGTTCTTTTTCTCCTTTGGAGGTGTGGAGCTTTCTGGGCCTCGAAGAACCTCTTCTCCATTCCCAGACCCTTTCCTGCTGTGTTCAGGAACCCCGTCTGGCCCAACGTCTGACTTTTTGGGCTCAGTCTCGAGACTGAGCAGCTGACTGAGCATTTTAGAGCTTTTAGTTTCCACCACAGGTTTAGGCTCTGCCCGTTTTTTGGCTGGCGAGATAACAGTCTTCTGCTCGGGGATGAGCTTGGCTTTGTTTACGGTCTTCTTCAGGCTGAGCAGGGCCAGGTCAGCATCCTTCTCCCTCTGCTTGATCTCTGACACGGTCCCCCTGTCTTCACCCGTTGCTCCCATTTTCATCACCCGCAACCCGCTGAAGAGGGCCGGCATCTGGAAGGACGGGGGAGAAGAGAGCGGCGTGCCCCTGGATGGGGATGAGTTGGTGGAGGATGCAGTGGATGGGGCCAAAGGTGGTGTGTCTGGTGTCTTCGGAGCTGTTGTGCGCTGTGAGGGAGGACTGCTACTCGGCTTGATGTCACCTTGGGACTCTTCAGGAGAGGAGGACAGAGGCATGGGGTTTTTAATCCCAGTAGGGTGATTTGGGATACCAACAGTTTCCGACTGCTCCTCTGGGCCGGAGATTGATTGGATTGAAGCTTCAGGTGTCTCAGGGGTGGAGGTAACGGAGGAGGACACCTGGCTGGAGGAAGGTTTCTCATCCCCCACCTCAGCTTCATCCCTTAGCTCATGTGTATTATTTAAATCTATTAAAAGAGGGGCTTCGGCATCATGACGCGAGGCCTGCTGTCCGGAGATGGTGGAAGGAACTGATGGGTAAACATCTACGCCAGCAATCTCCTTGCCTCCATCTTTTCCTACATTGTCTTTACTATTCTCTCCTGTACCAGATGTTCCTACATCCAAAGATGCCGTGGGCTTGCCCTCCTTGGGGCTGCGGCCAATTGCCCGTTTGGAAAGTGAAGAGCTCAGGGGTTTCCTAGCGTTCGATCTGCTGACAAACCTGCCTGAATATAGAATGGCTTCTATTCGGGATCGCTCCGTAACTCTTTGTGTTGTGAGCACAGTCGCTTGGCACTCGGCCCCAGTGCCATCTTTTATCTCATCACCATGCCCGACTTTATTATCATCAACCTCTTCAAGTAGGGTCGGCTTCAACAGACCTGTGCTGCCGCGGGCCGCCCCGGCATCCTCATTTTCCTCTTCGTCACTGTATGTTTCCACGCAACTGACCTGGACCAGATCCTCATCAAGCGACGCTCCAACTGCTGCCTTAACTTGGTCGCTAGACCCCTCGCCAGCCACCAAGGATTCTGGGCTTTGCCCTGTATCACAGAAAGCAGTGCCATTATCCTGATGCACGTCTTCCTGCAGATCCTCCTCCATCTTGGTCTCAGCAGTTGGATCGCCTTCCGGTAGAAGATTCCCATTATCCGACAGCTCCTTGAAAGACGTCAGCACGGCCGACTCGTCTGAAGAGGCGTGCGTATCTCGGCTGAAGATACTGCTGAAGACATTCTTCAGGGAGCTGCCGGTCGGCTTCGCCGCTCCATCCGAGTTATCACTCAAACCGTCCATTTTGGCTCAAAGCCTCACACCAACCACGAGAGAGCGGGAAAACCGCAGCTCCGGCAAAGAAGAGTTTGTTCAAAAGGTTCCCACCTCAAGTTATCCAAATGGCTCCTATTCCACTTCTTCCGGCGGCCCGGGACAGAAAGGCCTTTGTGTGGACGAAATCACTACAGATTCTCTTACCACTCTCCTGTGTTGCCGTTTAGTAAATAAAAAATAGGTTTCAGGAAATAGACTTTCAGAAACATCAGAGTAAGTCTACCGTTGACTGTATGTGGTCAGCAGTAATGTTCAGCCTCCCGCTGTGCCAGTAACATTCCCATGACGCTGTTGGCGAAGTCCAGCTGCTCAGCGGCTGGAAGCATGTCCTGCTGTAATCTTCCTGGGAGAGCAGGGGAGCATAGTTCGCCTGCCTTTCAGACTCACCCGACGAGCTGAGTCTCAGTGTCCACAAAGTTGTGTGTTTACCATCTCCACATGCCGGCACACAGGCACACACCGGAGTCCATGACCGAGCTGTGCTTCCAAGTTTACCTCGGTCTCCTCCACCTGGTTTCTCACTTTACAGGAAAACCCTGTGCGCTGTTGTGTGTGTGTGTGAGAGAGAGAAAAAAAAGAAAGAAATACTCCACAGGTTGGGAAAAGAATGCGTCTCACTGGTCCACCCGGTCCAGGGACGCCTCCCTTTCGTGGTTCCTCCCTTGCTGGGAGGGGACCTGCAGAGCCCTGTAGCACTGCAGGTGTCTGATTACCCCGGCTCACTTCCTGGTAATGGCCGCCACAGTGACGGAGTAAGCGCAGGAGGGAGGAGGTGGGAGGAGGTGTCTGTGGTCAGGTGGAGAGCTGCTGAGGTCCAGTAGCACAGCATTGCACCATTAAGCGGAAAGCTATCGCAATACGGGGCTTAAGAGCGGGTGATTAGCCAGATGGAGCAAACGTGCTTAGAGGCTAACATGCCATGCTAACGTTAAGTCAACTATAAAGTTATGTGTAGTCCTACATTTGGATTAAATGTTACCATCAATCTAAACTGACAGATATAAATTAAACTAAACCATATGTTTGTAGGATTTATTTTTTTTACAGAGAAAAAGCTTAGCAAAGTCTACAAGCTAACGTTGAATAAAGTAAAGCTAAAAGTAATAAAGTAATAAAGAGAAGATCAAGCTAACGTTAATTAGCCTTTGCAACCAAAGGTGGTCCTCTGAATGCGTCCTTTCAGACTGCCTGATTGAGCATGTTTTCAAATTATATTCATTATCATTATATTTAGAAATTACATATCGCCCCCCGCATGAAGGACCAACGACTTGTAAGTTGTGATGCTACACGAAACACAACCAGAAGAAATTGACTAATTAACTAGAATAATTTGTATCTGCTTTGACTTGGATTTCCACCTCATTCGAAGTACGTCACAAATAGAAAAGGGGCTTCTACGGCCGAGGAATTAAGTTATATAATAAAGCCGCTTATTCATAAACTCAGAGTAAATCTCCCACAGAGAGTTCTACTAGAAAAGGCACATATGGACAGCAGGAATGTTATGTGAACGCAGATCTGACAGAAATTAGCTCAAAATAGAAGTGAAGTCATTCCTTTCCTGGTCGCAGGTTATGACAACACTAAAGATCTAAAGGAGGAACAGGTCTGACCCACATAATTGCATTTTTGTCACACCCCATTGCATTCAGCCGTGACAACACACTGAAAAATCATCATGGACATTTAGGTGTGTCTTTTAAATCGACGTGGAAATGGGTGACAGTGAAGTATGTGAGTTGGCGGTCTCTTTCTGTAGAGCGTGGCGTTCATGTTGACTGATTTTCCTCACAAGGCATTTAGAAAACAATGCGGGGCTTGTGTTTGTACACTACCCGCCTAAAGCCTCACCCAGGTGATCTGCTTTGCCAAAGGAATGAAGCATAATGGCGTCCAAAATGACGAGAAAAAAAGGTCACATACTTCTACCAATGAGATTTGTGTGTATTTAGAAGACACGCACACTGTACAGTGCGATTACATCAGTCACACGTTCTGAGGCAAGCAAAATATCCTCTGTTGCAACTTCTACTCAAATTACTCCTAACAGCTGAAAGCTTTCAAAAATAAGATGAATTAGGAAGGAAGGGGAGCTTTTCCGGCCTTGGCTCTAAACAAAAATAGTTTGAGTGGAGCGACCTTGCTCATTTGGGCTTTAAACCACGTTCTACAGATTAGAATCCATGACCTGTTAATCCATTTCTAAGAATTCATGATCAGGTGGTTCAACGCCCGAGTGGAGAGAAATCCCTTTGAGTCCCAAGAGGAAGAAAAAAAAGAAAGACCAGTGCTATGGTACACTGTACACTATATCTGAATTTGATCTGTAGGTGCTTGTGCTGCTTTGGGGCGCTCACCGTGCACTCCAGCTTGGGACAGTAGGGCGTGTCGCCGAGGATGTCGTCCTCCGGCGGCGTGATGCGTAGGAAGTCGAGGTGATCGGGGCGCGGCCCGCGGGAAATGAGCTCCGGGTGGTCATCGCCATCCAGCATCCAAATGTCATCATGACGCAAGAGGGAATCCTCTGCACAAACAAACACACCACCAAACGGGTGATTAACTCGCCGCATTGTGCAAAGAAACAGCATAACAGGTGTGGTCTTGCGTGGCAAGGCTAAGCAAGCAGCACTGTCTGAGGGAGTCAAAGAGGAACCAGATAGAAAGTGGGCATCAGAATCTTTTAGCGTCAAGCAAGAGACACCAACGTTTTGCTGCCGGCCTGAGGCCAAACAGCTATTTTTGTCTGCACTTAGACGGCCCCGTTCCCATGGCGGACTCCAGCGGAAAGCCACACTGATCGAATAAAAGAAAAATGGCTGCAGGCCACTACCCTCAAAAACCGTTATTGATTTGCATTCAAGAGATGCACTTGAATAGCCGTTGCTCTGCACTACCAACGTACTAGAATCAGGTCAGCTGCAGGTAGGTGTGGGAAGTTTGCCTAAATGTGTCTTGCCACCCAAAGGCCCCCCGAAGGACGAGAAATACATGACTTCCGATTAGGAAAGACTGCCCTCTCCTGACCAGGCAGTCAAACAGAAGGTGATGAGTGACCGTTTAGAACATTAAGCTAAAAATGGGTGAAAGTACATTTGAAAACTTAGTTCTGTTCATGCCACAGTATGCTGGGGAGGTTGGATTCCTTCTGTGCATTTTAAAGCACCCGGCCCTTAGTATTTACTGTTTAGTGACACACTGCTGCTTCAACCTGAAGGACCTCCGTCATGTGCCCCAAACAAGTCACATGGTGTTGCCTTCAGGAACCACACTAGTGCCTTGCACATGCACAGGAATGCAATTTTAAAATCTTCTCACGTGCAATGAATATCTGATCTATCTGGCCATGACGCATGCAAGAGTTAATGTGAGCAGATTATTCAGTACGCCAGAAAAATATTTAGTCTGGGCCAAAACCTGGCATTAAAAATGTAGTACGTCCTACTGCCTGCTGTTACATTTAGTAGAAGGCACGCGCAAACGTTCAAGGGAGCTCATGTGCTCAAATTTAAAAAGATAATACGATTTGAAACGCAGTGTCGGTAATGCAAGGAAAAAGGGAGCAAAAGATAAGAGATATGGGGCAGGGGGAGTTTGGGGGAAGAATAAGGAGGTGGAGACAGGAGAGAACATAGAGGGAGTAGGAAGGAACAGGGGGGAGGGTACAGATCTCGGAAGCTTGTTGACCTCATTTTCCTTCAGCTGTAAAACAACAACTTGACATGTTTGGGGAGAATTATGAGAAGTAATCAGAGATAATAAGTAGGTTTGATTTCCCTAGTAATATGATATAATAGCATGAAATCCCTCAAAGAAAAAAAGAGGACATGATATATTGCCGTATTGCTTCTTGGGAGTCACTTCTAAACTTTTAGAAGTCCTCTTGTATAGCCCCTCCAGAGTCTTGGTCTCAGCTAAAGCCTTTCAATTCTGTTATTAGCCCCCCCCCCACACCCACACCCACACACACACACACACAGTGTGCTGGGGGGGTGTTATTTAAAAAATGAAAGCATTGAAATTCAATCAGTCATTGCGAGACACCAGCAGTGCCCGTAGTGCCTCCAGTGATCCAGCACTTGGGCAGCAGGAGGAAAAAGGGATTAGATTAATAACCTTTCGTTAAGATAATGCTGTGCTGCATGGTTCCGCAGTGGCAACTGCTGACTGTAAGTTGGGACACTTCCAGATTTCCGGGCCAAGGAAAAAGGACGAGTGATCAGAAACTGCTCTCTCCAGAATCTCTCTTAGATACGCAAACAATGAACGCCTACTCGTCTTTACGTTGGCTACGTTCATTCAGGACTCGGTTAAACAACCTGCATCTGGGCCACGTGGGCCAGGTTGACCGTTGCATGATGGCCCACACTGCCACCGCCTGGACAGGGCGAGGAAGAGGCACGTTTTTCTCCTTGTATTCAAACACTGCACTGAAGCTGTGATGTCAGTGCTGACACAGCGAAGTAACGCTGTAGCACTGCAATGTGACGCCGCCAATCGGATCGGGAGCAGCGACTCCTATTAGGTGACGCAGGCGCTGCACTCGTCCATGTACACACACGCAGGGCTACGGTTCACGAGGAAAACAGAGCGCCATATAATCTCCCCCACTGAAGACCGAATCACGCGTCCATCACCGAGGGGACACGTGGTGCAGTGCGGTTACGGTTGGGTCCCGACTGGAACATCCCAACCGGAGAGAAAAACAGCAGTTCATCGAGTGCCCTGATCGATAAGGGCCGACTGCAGGCAAGACAAAGCCGAAATAATAAAATAATCTATTATTGCATAACCTTCTGCAAGGTAACAGTAACCTCATCTCATGCTGAAGTCTCGTTGTTGTTGTTGTTACAGCGCTGTGCAGTCCGCCCTATTTTATCCACAAATTTGAAGAAAATCTATAACATCAGGAAGGTTCACAGACTTGTGTGAATCATAAAAATGAAGGATTTATAAATCGCCTTGTTTCTTTTGGGCCAGTCAAAGCCATATTTCCACGCAGGATGAAACTCAAGGATGAGCACTGCAGTGCTTTGAGGACAACGCCGCTAACAGAAACATTTTTATTCCTTTGATAGGGGCTTTATTTGGGCCTGGCACGCCATTTGGTTAAAGTCACTCCAGTCCAGTGGTGGGTGGGTACATGTTTGAAAGAATGGGACACAGCGGCGGAAAAGCACAAGACGGAACATAGCACACATTAACCAAGGTAGCACAGGAGAAGCCTGTATAAGCCCGTTTTTGGAAGAATTCACTTCATTGCTTGAATACAGCGGGCCCTTGTCTTGGCTGGGTGGAACTCTATTGAATGACAGCAAGCTGGGAGGGTGGGGGGGGGGGGTGACATACTCTGTCTCTGCACTGATCAGGTTCATATGACCTTGCAGGAACGTATTGGGTAATCCGGTTATGGTATTGCCTGCCATATGTCAGACAATAGAATAAGTAGGGACAAGACGGATAAAGAGACACAGGGACACTAATGGCTGAAATGTATGTTTTAAAAGCAGCTATCATCAATTATCATGCCCAGCAACAAACAGCAGACATGCAGTTAGCAAGTAACCTGGTGAACGGATTTGGCCATTAAACCCTCTTTAAGGAGCTAGTGACAAACAAAACACAGCTTAATAGGAAATGAAATGGTTAATTTACATTTACCAGAATCAATGCTAATGTTGCCATGGATCTCATTGGTGCAAACAGGAAAATGTATACAGAACTTTCACATTTCCACTGAGAGGCAATAATAGGTCAGTGTATTTGCGTTATGTTTCGCTGTACTCAATCTTTATCGCAGGTCTTATGTTTCCCGTGCAGCTTTGAAGAAATGATCGGTATAAGACAACAAGTAACCCGAACGCTAATGTGAATGGAAACTTAATAACACACATTTACGTAGATAAAGCGCAACACACATGCAACCAGTTCTAGAGAATACAGTGCTAGAGCATTAGCACATAAAGCGTGTTGCTCTATAATCACAATCCCTGTCTGCATCCTCACACTCATTAATAAATATTGAGATCAAAGCTCAGAGTATAATTAGTTCACCATTTGCAAACTGAAGGGCCGGGCTTCTGTTGGCTGGATCCTCTGGTGTCCTTTTGTCTGGGTTAACATCTAAAGCGTACTCAATTATCGAGCAACACAAAGGCGCCAAGGTGCTGCAAAAATCAACGAAAGGATCTATTTTAAGAATTAAAAGGTTTAACCCTTGACAACGAGGACTGTACGCAGCATTTGGTTAACATGATGTAGGCATCAAGTAAGTGCATCTTGCCCTGTCAGAGTCTCAAGCAGAGAGCTTATGGCTGGAAATATTGTGCAGTTACATCTGTTGCTGCAAATGCTGAGGATATAAAAAAAAAAAAATTAGGACTCACTATGTCCCAAAAAAAAGCTGTGGTCTAAAAATGTGGATTATGTGTGCATGCATTTGTGAGCCATCTGTGTATATAAGGAGTGCAAACAAGGACGGGGTCACTTCGGTGGGAACTGATCCAAATGACCTCCACACTAGTGGGCTGAGCCATCAACCGCTTAGCTTAGCATCACACATCTCAGCTCGCCTCCTCATCTGAGCGTGGCTGGTTAAAGCCGACCATTATCCACGGCCTATTAGTCAACGGAAGAGCATCTGATGCTGCTGGAAATTAAGACAACCTTAACCCTTCGCTAACTGAAAGGGACGACTGACCACGTCAAAGAGGTACACAATGCAATAATGCTTCAGACATCATCAAAATTTAGCAAAATAATTGATATGCTGTGAGTATTTAAAATTGTAAGCATAAAATACTACTTAAATACTAGAGATTATGGAAAGAAGAAGAGTTTTGAAGAAAAAAAAACCCTCGGGCCTGATGGGTCACGGATCCTTTGTCATGTCAGCGAATGTGGGTTTAAGGGAGAGACAGCAGGTCCCTAAAAGTCCAAATTGGACACGCTTCAGTTAACACGGCATCAACTTGGAGCCTTTGATCTGGGACACTCCCACTAATCTTTGCCTTCCCGACGGTGCTTAGAGAGTTAAAATGGATCATCAGCCAAAGTATTCTCAGGCCCCGTTTGCCCCTGTGCAACTCTGCTGGGTAGTTTTTAATTTGTGGACACAGCCAAAATGTGAACACAGCAATAAAAAAAGAAAGGAAATCTACCAGGACGGGACTAGCAGAGACCTTTTAGAAATCAATGCTCCTTTAGTGGACTAAAAAGTAAAAGAAAATGCTTGTCAAATACAATACTGCGGAGTAATTGCTGACACAGACTCACGCGCTTGAATCTCTCTCAAGTAAATATCTTAACATCTTTCTTGTTTCCGTTCTTTTGAAATCCAGCAACGTCAACGGCAGATGAAAGGCACATTCTGACAAACGCCTCCTAGAGGATCGAAGCACTTGGGTCGACGTTCACACGGTGGCAGGGAGTGTGAACATGAATCGGCGTCTGGCGGGCGGAGGTGGTTTTGATCTCTACTCACTCACCTGTTGTGGTGGAGTTGCTGGAGGAGTTCCCCTTGAAGTAGCTCGGCCGCCTGCTGAGGTTCAGCTCCAGACGGACGACGGGCCGCTTGTTGCCGTTCCTGTCGACGACGTCGGAGAAGACTTTGGCCTCGTCCGCGTTACAGGAGCCGTCTCGTTCGGGGTCCGCGCCGTTATCCGAGAGCAGGACGATGCGGTGGTTGAGCTGTGGGCTCGCCTGCTTGGGGGATAGAGGGGACAGGACCGGGGACATGCTGTGGAGACTGTTGGAGGCAGGGAAAGACGTGTTGAAGACCCCGGCCAGAGACGTTGAAGACGGGCTCTTGGCGTGGGATTTACCTGGGGGCCGAGGTTCGGAGGTATGCGATAACGGCAAGCGCAGCCCCACGGAGAGCTGGTTACTCGTCTTTTCCCCATTGACTGCTAGCGAGGGGTCTACGTTTGGGCCTCGCCACTCACTATAACCCTGCTGACAGCTGCCGGTCCCTGGATGCAGCACGGCTGGCCCCGTCCCGTCGGGCCTCGCGAGGTTCACATGTTGCACCCTACCTTCCACATACTGCACTTTGGCCACCACCCTGACCTCTTTACTAATCTGGTTGATTTCCCGACTCTCGGAAACGACCCCACCCGTGGCATCGGGCTTCTTGGCCGGGCGAAGGTTGTTCCCGCTTTCCCTCCTGGTCAGACCCTCCATCAGGTTGCAGAAGGACGACTCGTAACCCAGCTCGCCGTCGTACTCCGAGAAGTCGGCGCAGAAATCGGCGTCGGGGTCGAGCGCCCGGTTGTCCTCTGGGAAGTCCCAACCCTCGCGAGGGATCTGGAAGGGTTCCTCCATGGGCAGGATGGGATTACTGACTGCGCTGACGTAGGAGCCGGTGACCGGGCTGTCGGTGACGTGGCCCGAGGCTGAGGTACCCGGGATCTGCTGCATCACGGAGACCGGCTGCACGGACGCACTGCTGCGAGCGGGCGGCTCAACACACGGAGTCCCGCGCGCAACTTTCCTCTTTACCCTCATCTTACTGTGTGGGATGTCCTGCACGCCGTCGAGCTTCTTGCCTCCCGACTTCTTTGGCTTTTTGCTCTTTGACGCAGCTCTCTTAGGGTCCGGGACCCCCGTGACAACACGGTCGCCGCCGCCTTGAATCTGACCCCCGGGTTGAACTTCCGTACCCTCCATGTAATCCTGGAGTTTCCCGTCCTGGTTGCCCATCCTCACTTTGACGGCGCAATCCCTACACAGCGACAACAGATCCGCCAGCAACTGGTGGTGCTCCGCCGCGAGCCAGCAGAGCTCTGCAACTGCGTCCTTTGTTGCCTGCCGGGCAATAAGGAGTTCGCCGGAGGAGCCAGGAGACTGGCCCCTTTGTTCGGACACCGCAAGACTCTCCTTTGCCCGGTCATGGTCATTACAGGCTATTTCTGAGTGAGGGGCGCGGCTCTCGTACTTGAAGCCCGGGGGCCGCCTCTTGGAGAAGTACCGGCTGACGTTGCTGCGCTCTGTGACGGGTGCATACAGGAGCACAACGGTGTGTGTGCCCTCCATGACGGGGGCCATGTTTATCACTCCGAGCACTCCGATTAAGTGGTCAGCCCTCCCCTCCCTCCTCCCCGGACGGAGCGATTGGACTCGTGCTGCTGCGTGCGGGCGGAGGATCTCCGCCTATTCATCACCTGGCCTGTCCAGACGCCGTCAGCGAGAAAACAGCACACGGCTTTAGGCCTGTAAAAAAACGATACGATTATTTGAATGATAATTCTGAGCATTTTTTTAAGGATAACAATAAAAACTGCTCGCTTCTCCAAGATAGACCCTTCGTATTGCACTGTCAAAGCCATTTGTAAGTTAAAAAGATCAAAATAAAAAAGATAAAATCAAACCCTGCACACACACACAAACAATACTAACACTATGTCATCCTCATCCACCGTTCACGGCATTGTTCTACGAGTGGATGAAACATTTCGAAACTGCACTTCATCAACATTTCACAAGCTGCTGCCGCATAAAAAGCGGAGTGTCCCACAAGGTGACGTCGCGCGCACAGCCCGCTGCCGCCGCCGCCGCCGCTTGAGGTACAAAACACGCGCGCGTCGCTTCGATGGATGCAATGACGCACATGCACATTTGGCAATACCTGTTTGAACTGTTTACATCATAACATTAATCCCGTGGGTAACTGTCACCTTGCAACATGCCCCGGTGCAGTTGGCACAGTTAAAATGGCAGCTTAGTTGGATTTGCCTGCGAGGTTAATGCTGCACAGTGCGACTGAAATGGGAGAAATATTCAGTCACATCTATAATAAATTAAGATGCAACGAACGCATAAAGCTCTGCATTGGCAACACGTTTGCTCCACGTCAATGTCACGTGTTTAATTCAGAAGCCTAAAGCACGTCGGAGGGAAGCGCAAGCGCAGCCGGTAGAAGCCCAGCAGCACTTGATAAGACACTAAACTGTTACTTACCCAATTTATCGGCGTGGCAAATTATTCTTCACATCTCTGTTCTGCAGCCAGCCACGACTCACCGCTGCCTCGCAGAGTCCGTCCGTCGTGACTGACAGGAGCTTAGTCCAATAGATAAACCCGGCACCGGCTCGCGGCGATTTGATTGGTCGCTTGGTATTTATCCACAGCGCACAGTTTGAGTCAGTGCAGCTGATGCGCGCAGGTAGGGACGTGGGATGTGTGTCACATCGCCAAGAGAGCGCCGTTCGTTTGATTTAACAATCCTCAGCAGTTTTTTACTATTTATTTCTCAGGCTCACACGAGTACTTTGTTGTACACGCAAGAAAGATATCAGGATGTGAAAATAGGCGCTTTGAAGGCCGGAGGAGGTGTAATTTCCTGCGCAACAGAGACACCTACTGGCCAATGTTTGCATCGCTGTCATTTCATTTCCACTGTTTAGTTGCTCTGCCGAGGACATCAAGTTACAGCATATCTGTCTTTGTATGTAGGGAGCAGGGCATCTTGGGGGGGAGGGGGATTAACATAAATATATACAGAATGTGTTATTGTTGCAGTCACAACGTATAATAAAATAATAATAAATAGCCTTTGGAGGGAAAAAAAATACATACATCTCTACATACAAATATTAACAGATTTTAAGGAAATGTGGTAGAAATTGTCACCACAGAGTATTTTTTCAGGTAGACATGTTACTCTATGATATCTTTAAATTCTTGTCTCGTGCTCTTTTAATGCTTGTTGCATGTCCAGCTTGTGTCCAGCGCTGCTCAAAAACGTTTATTTAGTGATATATTTATGTACAAGACATGTCCCCTTTGCATTAGAGGCTCTTTTTAGTTCCTACCTGTAATCACACAGCTGGGGAAAGGTGCGAGTGTAACAGACACGTGCGACAGTTAAAAGGGGACCAAGAGTAAAATTCTTGATTAAAGTCGATGTTTGAGAGACCAGAATGGCCGTATGACTCTTAACAACCAACCTAAAGTGAATAATGACGGTGAAATGTACAAAGGCTTGTGAAATATGCGTGTTATTTGACATGTTGCCGTTCGCAGGTGAGCACAGGTGTAATTAACAGGGCCGTAATTATTTACACCTGTTTACCCTGAAACGACACCTCAACGTGGCTGCTGTCAGTAGGAAGAGAAACAGGGAAGATGATCGTCATAGAACATCGGGTTTATTTGTGTAAATGTTTCGGAGAGGGGAGAACGAGCAGATGCTATTCCACAGTTTGTACACCGGAAGGCGCCATCGCATAATCATAAGAATAATTGTGTTTATTTAGTTGATGGCTGAGGGTCATCTTTGGTTTAATACACATCTCAAATATCACAAATATAGCATCACACTTCATAATTGTAATATTATCTAAGGCGCATGTCAACATATCACTGGATATTGTTACATGGCCTGTAAAACATTCACACTTACCATTGTGGAACGGTTCTCCAAGACTGCTCATTTTGTTGCCCAAGCCGCCCTCGGCCAAGGAGACCGCAGAGGTCACGCTCTCCCAGGTCTTTCACCTCCACGGTCTCCCACAGGTCGTGGTCTGCGACCAGGTTCGTTGGTCCCTCATCTCGCTCCGCGGTTATTAATCCTGCGCAGTCCGGTTGAAGCTCCGCGGTACCATGAAGGTCCATCTGACCTTCCATGTTTCCAGCGTTCCAAGTTCCATGTAAGTATGCTTTTTCTACATTTAGTGAACGGCACAGGACATATCTGAAGATAACTGGTAACGAAATCACTGAGAACGCATTCGTTGACTGTCTCAGTGAAATCGGCTTCTTCTCGCGTTCACTTCTTCACTTCAGGGCCACAGAATGATGTCACGTAATGTGACTGTTGGAGCGGTTCACTCACACGTCAGCAACAGTTGTGGGAATGTTCTCCTCGACCCGTTTCATGTCTTCATCCCGGCAAAGCAGAGACAAGTTATTAAGTTGTGTGTGGGTGTCAATAGTTTCTGGGAGCCATTAGAGCCGGTCTTTGATCCTCTCCTCTTTTTTTAATTGTTGCATTTTTACTCAGTGAAGTTATCACTTTTTCACTTTTATTAGCTTAACTGTCTCTGATTGTATGTAGGTGGAGCACTGCTGTTCAGTCCTTTAACCAAGCCGCGTGTGCAAGAAGTCAAGAGTCCTTCTTCCTGGATCTGTTGAGGTAAATCAACCAGCAGGAAACAAAGGCTTATCTTGTGTGATAAAGGGCTGTTTCTGTTTGGTTTGGTATGACGTCCACACTGCAAAGGCGCATAAAGGAGGCCATATGTCATATTCTTTATGAAACTTTATGAAACAGCGTGGCGGCTCGGTGGTCTGCAGGTCAACAGGAAGCGGTTCCGAACAGCAGCAGCCTCTATCACGGCGGGCCTGAACTCTGAGGGAAGCACCAAAGGGTTTTACATACTGGTTGCTTTCTGACCAATAGTGATACAAAACAATGTAATTCAATATTCGTCATTGTCATATTAAAGTCATTGTTAATGGCTGAAATTTTAGAGACGTTGTTGAACTGCAGCTTCTGAGATGGTGCCATGTGATTACTGCAATAGAGGACCAGCGTGATATTCAAGAGAAATGGTACAGCAGGGGTTTCAAACACACGGCCCGCCGAGAGGGGGTCACGTGTGTAGTTTGTGCTAGACAACACTGTTCAAAATGCACGTATTCGAATTAGTCTTCAAAAGAAAAACAAACGTTTAATTGCGATTAAATCTAGATTAAAATGAACTACTGATTTTTGTATGTATTGACATTCCTAATAAATAAAAAATAAATATATATATTTCAATATTATATATATATATAATATATATTCAATATTATATATAATATATATATATATATAATATATATCCAATATTATATATATATATAAATATAAATATAGATATATATTATATAATATTGAATATATATATTATTTTTTTATTATTAGGAATGTCAATACATACAAAAATCAGTAGTTCATTTTAATCTAGATTAATCGCAATTAAACGTTTGTTTTTCTTTTGAATACTATATTTATATATACAAAAAACGACGTGATGTCTGTCACGCACCGACCGTCCAACGCGCTTTGTTCGAATATTCGCGCTTTCACGGTTGTATTAACGCCGGTGACGTCGACGATAAAGACCCCGCTGCTGCCGAGTTGCTCCAGCCCTCCGACGCACGCACGCACACACACGCGCACACCTCCTCCTCCTCCTCCTGGGTGCTGAGCCGGGTCTCGAGCACACGGGCCTGAGTGACAGATGCTGCGGTAGTGTCCCCCGCTGCACGGCCGCGGATTTTATGCTCGCATCGACGGGAGGGAGGAAGCCAGCGGAGGCTCCCCGAGTGTGAGCAGGCTCCCTTCCTGCAGCCATGGCCGAAGGCGGAGAAGGAGAGGATGAAATCCAGTTCCTCAGAACCGTGAGTGAATTTCTCCCCCCTTTTCTTTGCCCCCCCACCCGCGGTGTTTAATTACAACCCTCGATTGTCCGTCTCTCCTGCCACACACGTCCTCGCCGCCTGCAGCCGCCTGCAGCCGCCCTCTCGCCTTCCTGCAGATGTCGGAGGCGCGCGACGGTGCGCTGTCGTTTTGGCGCATCGCTCTCTGACAGCTATTGTCTTCTTCTGCGGTCCGCGTGCGGAGAAGTTGACGGCGCCGCGCGTCCCGCGGACAACTTGCCTTTTCGCGTGCGCCTCACGCGGTCTGAGATTTAACAGGTGGACGAGGACGGGAGCCGTGGTTCCACGCAACGAGTCGTGAATGGGCTTTTTTTTTTGTTTTTTTTTGTTTTAGCGGCGTTGTTCTTCAGGAATCACTGGAATCTGTCGGAGAATGAATGGAGCTGTGCACATGCCGCTTTTAAAGGAGTGTCTTACACGTGTAGACTGCCTGTATAGCCACCCCGGGGTGCCTGTGCAGCAAGTGAATGAACTGAGGGCAACATATTGCACGATATCTATCAGAGGTTTCTTATGAACGCCGGAAGCCAGTTATAGGAGACCGGTTTATGGTCATAAACAAGGCTGTAATTTAGTAATAAACAGGCCACTTGCTCTTCTTGCCTGTAGCGAACGGCAGTAAACAATATATTAACGGTTGTAGAGAGGAAGATGTAGACTTTGACACAATCTGCTCATCTATGCCAAAATGCAGTGAGAAGTGAATGCACGCTCCTTAAGGAGGTCCTGCAGAAAGACCCCGAGACAGTGGGGGGGTGTTTGGTTGCACATATTGCTGGCAACTGCTGTTTGTGGTTTCCCTTCTTCGTTAAGCGGCTCCCGGATGCGCCAAACCGGCTGCACTTTGAGGTGAAATCCGGGCAGCGACCTTCTGCTTTCTAATGCAAATTCTCACGTGGCTATTTATTTATTTTTTTGCTTTGGAAATTTGAAAAAGCAACATGTTATTGTCATCATGTCATCTCCAAAAAATGTCACGTAAGCAGACATAACGCAGATGCGTAACCTACCTTTTAGCTTACAGATAAAACAGCGTGCGGCACGGGACGGGTTCTTGACGGAGGCGGTGTTTTGGCACTGACAGGCTTACCCATCCCCAGGACCGCCGTTGTCTCACTCTTTATTTTGTCCCCTGACCTTTTATCCACAGCACACAGAGGTCACCACATCAGCACGCCTGCCACTCCCGAAAAAAAGAGCTGACATTTCAGCACCGCACCTGCTCACTTCGGGCCTTGAACTCAAATGCCACCAATTCAAACGCAAGATTAGTCGTTCCCCCCTCGCCGGGGCTGTTCCGGTCCCATTTCTTTGATTTTCAGGGAGCGTTTTCCTCCCCAGACGTGGCCCGGCGGGGAGGATGGGGGGGGGGGAAAGGAGCCGGCGGGGAGGAGGGTGGGGTGGGGGGGGGGTTGTATAATTCCAATGACATTGGCGAAAGGAAACTGCTGTTGCTTTAAAAAGAAGCTCGGCGGCAGCTTGTTGCATTCGTTCAGGGGAGCAGCTGATGGGCTGGATGGTGCTGTGATGGGGGAGCAGGGAGCGGGCTGTGGCTTGGTGTTCACGAGTGTGTGTGTGTGTGTGTGTGTGTGTGTGTGTGTGTGACTGTGTGTGTGTGAGTGTGTGTTGAATGCAGAGCTGTGGCGCGTCTGGTGCAGTCAGCCTGCACCAGACGCGCCACAGCAGAGCGGTGCAGACATTTTTCATCAGTCCTGGCTGAAGAACTGTGTAGAAGCACACACAGACTATATATGTATATATATATATATTATACATGCGCACACACACACACACACTGCATTCACAGTCTAGACCTGCTTATACATAGGTGGCGCTAAGTGGCAAACCGTCTGCGAGGAGGTGTGAACGCTATATATCTCTTGCTTATTATTGGAGTCAAGGAGCTTGATGAAGCAGTTCCCGAACTGCCTTTTTAGTTTTTCCTCCGACTGCACAAAGTAATTTCCCTGGAGTGGCAGCAGTGGAAGCAGCCCTGTCGGACCGCTGCCTATAAAGCCAACTCAGTGGGAGGAAAGGAGGGGACGAGTGAGGCTACCTCAGCTATGGGTGACGTGGTGTTACAGGAACTGTGCTGATTGTGAGCCAGGAGAGTCACATACATGCAACATTTTAATAAGGCTGCACATTTTGCAGAAACTTTATTCGCCGTGTCCTCAGTACGCACAAGCTCTATCGCCGCTGGCGTTGTAACGAGCAGTGAAGTGAATAGAATATCAGCTTATGGTTACAGTAGCTGCGGCTGTTCATTAGCAGTTTCATAAATGAACTGTGCATCGTGTCGTTCAAACCAGCAGAGAGTTTTATTGTGTTTTAATCCGTAACACCATCCTGACACAAGGGCAATTATTGGAAAAAAAAAAAATCATGGTGCAAGATGCGTTGAGACGATCAAACAGACACACGGGTGCATCTTCTCCGCTGCGAGGACCCCTGGATTCAGGGGATCTATCAGCAGTTGAAGCGGGCGTGTGGGCACTTTGAAAAAGGCCAGACAAGGGCCGCGACTGACGCGGCGCGGCAGCAGCCCTCGCTTCTGCATCCAGGCTCGTTGGGCAGGAAAAACGCCACCAAGGGCATCAGAGACCTGTGGACTACGTGAAAACCCTGCTGGGCATCTCCGGACTGTCGCTGCTCTTCTTTCCCTCTCAACATAATTCAGCATTCCGCGGTTTCACGTTCTCCGGCCTTTCATCTCTGGTCTCCTTGTGTCTCACACGCTTCTCGCGCATCCTCAGCGATCCATCCTGTCAGTCATAGACTGTGAAGAATACGCTTCCTTTACTGACCCTTCTCATCACGTATTTGTGCACGATTAAAGCGCTGACTTCATATTTGGCTCCTCCGTCTCTTGTTCTGTGTAATTGTTAGAGATCCCCATGAAATGATTCCCACTGATTCCCATGGAATTCAGTTCGCCACATCGCCGTATTCTACTTGACACTAAGGAGGGGAGCTTTAATGTTGTTATGATGAGTGCCGTTATGTCATGGTTGGATCAAAAAAGAAATGGCTTATTTTCGGCAGGAACCGAAAGCCTTAAAGAGCAGAGTAGGTAAGATTCCCTAACTTGAATTTTTAGATCATATCATGAAACTTAAAAAAAAAATGTATGTAAATTATCCAAGGGAATATTTTGTCTGGTGTTTTTGGCATACAGTTTTACCTGATGTTCCTGTGATATATAACTGATCTATAATGATTATTTTACTGCATTTAAAGTACTCGTAATGTGAAATGAGTAGGAGGCGAGCATGGTATTAATGACTTACAGACCCGCTGCACATAAACTTCTGCAGCCCTCCTGCAGCATCGATTACCTTCACATCTCCCATAACACAAGCCAACAACTCTTGAATCAACAACTCAACTTGCAGGAAAAGTAAAGTTGTACTTTAAGGCTCTGTGCGGTCGTGTTGCTGAGGCTGCTGATGAAGATGGACGGATGAGATGAGGCCCGCGATGTGCAGGGAATTAAGCCGGCGGGCCGGCCCAGAGACAACCCAGTGTGAAGCTGCCGTAATGAGCTATTGATCGCGCCACCAAATGAAGAAATTTCCTCAGTGATGTCAGTGGCATGCGGCAAGCAGGCCTGACTGATCCGGTGTTTTTCGGAGCATGAAAATTTAATAAGGCAGCGTAGGAAGCTTCTTCCCAAAGGAGACCCTGTTGTTCTTCGGCTTTTGGTTGTAGACCTTATAACATGGCTGCCATTTACGTTTGCAGCTATAGAATCATCATTGAATATATATATATATATATATATATATATATATATTTTTGATATATTCTAGGCCATTTATAAAAATCATCAACGGACACCCAAAACAATCATGCGTAGCC